AGTGCACAATGTACTCTTGTCGGTCAAAGTTTTGCAATCGTATTCTGATTGCAATAAATTGTCTCATTCTGGGAGACATGCACAGGCAATGTCTCCCGGAATGACACATGCAGACCAACAAGAGTGCACAATGTACTCTTGTCGGTCAAAGTTTTGCAATCGTATGATTGCAATAAATTGTCCATTCTGGGAGACATGCACAGGCAATGTCTCCCGGAATGACACATGCAGACCAACAAGAGTGCACAATGTACTCTTGTCGGTCAAAGTTTTGCAATCGTATTCTGATTGCAATAAATTGTCTCATTCTGGGAGACATGCACAGGCAATGTCTCCCGGAATGACACATGCAGACCAACAAGAGTGCACAATGTACTCTTGTCGGTCAAAGTTCCGCAATTCGTATGATGCAATAAATGTCCATTCTGGGAGACATGCACAGGCAATGTCTCCCGGAATGACACATGCAGACCAACAAGAGTGCACAATGTACTCTTGTCGGTCAAAGTTGCAATCGTATTCTGAATTGCAAAGTCTCATTCTGGGAGACATGCACAGGCAATGTCTCCCGGAATGACACATGCAGACCAACAAGAGTGCACAATGTACTCTTGTCGGTCAAAGTTTGCAATCGTATTCTGATTGCAAAATTGTCTCATTCTGGGAGACATGCACAGGCAATGTCTCCCGGAATGACACATGCAGACCAACAAGAGTGCACAATGTACTCTTGTCGGTCAAAGTTTCATCGTATTCTGATTGCAATAAATTGTCTCATTCTGGGAGACATGCACAGGCAATGTCTCCCGGAATGACACATGCAGACCAACAAGAGTGCACAATGTACTCTTGTCGGTCAAAGTTTTGCAATTCGTATGATGCAAGTAAATGCTCATTCTGGGAGACATGCACAGGCAATGTCTCCCGGAATGACACTGCAGACCAACAAGAGTGCACAATGTACTCTCGTCAAGTTTGCAATCGTATTCTGATTGCAATAAATTGTCTCATCTGGGAGACATGCACAGGCAATGTCTCCCGGAATGAGCACATGCAGACCAACAAGAGTGCACAATGTACTCTTGTCGTCAAAGTTTTGCAATCGTATTCTGATTGCAATAAATTGTCTCATTCTGGAGAAAATGCACAGGCAATGTCTCCGGAATGACACATGCAGACCAACAAGAGTCACATGCACTCTTGTCGTCAAAGTTCCGCATTCAAGTTATGAATGCGGAACAGTATGCCATTCTGGGAGACATGCACAGGCAATGTCTCCCGGAATGACACATGCAGAACCAACAAGTGCACAATGTACTCTTGTCGGTCAAAGTTTGCAATCGTATTTGATTGCAATAAATTGTCTCATTCTGGGAGACATGCACAGGCAATGTCTCCCGGAATGACACATGCAGACCAACAAGAGTGCACAATGTACTCTTGTCGGTCAAAGTTTAAAATTATGCAATAAATGTCTCAGTAGAGCACAGGCAAGCCCCGGAATGACACATGCAGACCCAAAAATGTAAACTTGTCGGTCAAAGTTCCCATCAAGTTATGAAAAAAATTCTGGGAGACATGCACAAAAACAAAGACACATGCAGACCAACAAGAGTGCACAATGTATCTTGTCGAAAGTTTAATCGTTATTATTGCAAATAAATTGTCTCATTCTGGGAGACATGCACAGCAATGTCTCCCGAATGACACATGCAGACCAACAAGAGTGCACAATGTACTCTTGTGCGGTCAAAGTTTTGCAATCGTATTCTGATTGCAATAAATTGTCTCATTCTGGAGACATGCACAGCAATGACCTCAGACCAACAAGAAACGAGTGCACAAGTACTCTTGTCGGTCAAAAATCGTATTCTGACATTGAAAATGTCTCATTCTGGGAGACATGCACAGGCAATGTCTCCCGGAAGGACACATGCAGACCAACAAGAGTGCACAATGCACTCTTGTCGGTCAAAGTTCCGCATTCAAGTTTAATATGCGGAACAGTATGCCATTCTGGGAGACATGCAACGCAATGTCTCCCAGAATGAGACACTGCGACCGTCAGGAGTGCATATTATCATCAAAAATTCAAAAAAAAACATTTTTCTTTTTCTTTGTCGAAAATCTACTTATTTTTCTAAATTTTCGAAATATCATTTTTTGGAGATTGAAAATTTTAATATATAATATGAGTTATTTTATTTCTCATTTGAGAGTCTGCATTTTGAGTTATGAGCAAGATGAAAAATTGAGACAATTTAGGAACATAAGAAATCGATTATCCTTCATGTAGATATTTTTCGCGTTCTGAGAGGCGAAAACGCATTTTTTGAATGCGAGATTCCGAATCACACGGAAAAAATAGGTTTTAATAAGAAAAATAGACAATTTATCAAAACAAAGCACATAGTATTAAAAAAAGAAAAACATTTTTCTCATATGAAAGAAATATAACGTATTTTTTACAGAGCGTAGGTATATATCGAGCCAATTCACACCATAAATTCTTTTCTCGTTCTCGGGCCTATAAACAACCTGAGGTGCACAACAATATTATCTATACTGCTGTTATCTGGATTTGAATCCTCATTTGAGAGAATTCCAGATAACTTCAGTATAAACAAACCATATACATGTTTCCCCTTGCTTCTAGGCAAGCATAACAAGTACATTACCTTAGAGCAAATCTCATTCGGAGTCTTATTTAATGAGAGACTCCGAATGAAATTTGCCTATTTGATTAATATCGTGCTTTTAGAGATGCAAATTCTGATGATAATAATTGATCTAGAGCTTATATAAGATCGAAGAAACTTCAAAAAAAGCTAACCGGTAAACAGCAACTTGCAACACCAAGTTGCTCACGTAGTGATTACAAGCATATCTGCAAGGCAAAGTCCTCAGGATGCAGAACTCTGCTGCAATCAGAAAAGAGATTGCAGCAGAGTAACGGTAAAGACAGCAACTTGGAAAGTCAAGCAGTTTCTGAGATTTTGATTTATAAATCATAAACCTTCATGCTTGATGATTTTGTAGAATTGTAACTCATGTCATCAGTTAATGCTCACCTAAGGGAGGTGTTTGCGGGAGCTGGGGTATCTTGGTGAGTACTCAGGAGCCAAGAAGGGCCCCAACCGACATTTTGCTGATGGATTGAGTTCGCAACACATTTTTATAACCGTAAAAACGTCGGAGCAAAACAACTTGAATAATTGAATTTATGATAATGATTGTGAAATAAATGTAACTATAATTTAAGAATGCCATATTGTTAAAAAAATTTCGAAAAGTGAGATATTTTCCATTCTAATAAATATATTTGATAACGCGGTGTCACCCGGAATCAAATAAATTATCATATCGAGAATTGGAGATCCTTGCAGTTTCGATTTTTTCGAAAAGTGAGAGATTTTCCGTTCTAATAAATATATTTGATAACCGGGGTGTCCCCGGAATCAAATAAATTATCATATCGAGATCGGAGATCCTTGCAGTTTCGATTTTTTCGAAAAGTGAGAGATTTTCCATTTTAATAAATATTTTGATAACCGGGTGTCCCCCGGAATCAAATAAATTACATTACGAACATTCCTTTTTTATTTAAAATTTCAATTCTTAAAACAAAGTTTTACTTCATATTAATTATTTGCATAGAAAGTATAGAACATTAAAAATTCATCCTACTACCTCCACCCTTATAATACCTTCAAAAAAATTATATCTCAATTTATTTTCTATCTTTATATTGATGTGCTTATTCAAAAACACTAAATCATAAGTCTTCAGTTCTCAAAATACTCTCAAATTATCTCATTGCGCATATTTTGCAATTTGATAATTTTAAATTGTTAAAAAATTCATTAATCACAGTAAAATATCTATAACAGCAAATTAACTAACTGATCCACATCTTGAACATTCGCATTTATTTAATATATTTGAATATCATTTACATCTTATTGAATTAGATCATAAATCACAGTTCTCTAATATACTATCTAGCTAACCATTATTGTTGCACAACTTACATGTGATTAAACACACGTGTAATATTCTGTACAACCATATCTCTATCAATACTTTATTTATAATCAAAAAAAAGGTTAAAATTGTATACCCTGTCACTGTAGATTACTCCCAACTTTAAAGTGAAAATCAAAATTTGATATTTTAGTAATTTCATGTGAGATCGTTATTTTATAGGAAAACATACTGAAAATGTTTATAAGATGTTTCTCTATCATATACCAAAATATCATGGTTTAAATGCTCTCCTAAGTGTCTATAACTGAATTTTAGGGCAATAACCTTATTCTAAATGTTGGGAAAGTAGGGGGTATTTTATTTGTAATAATTTATTCTCATTCTTATCCAATTCGTACAACAATGATAACATTTCATGTCGCATCTTTTTAACTTTCTTGATCTCATAACTTCAATTGCTTGATTTTCTAAGCTTCTACATTAAATCTTCATACACATATTCTTAATTTTCCTATTATTACCCAAACATTAGATTTGTTTGTTTCACAGTAACAATAAGATTTTTCTGTCTCTGGAAATCTTTGGCGTAAAGACGCCGAAACTTTCAGTTTGAAAGTCTTTTCTTCGATATGTATCATATATCACTTCCAAATTATTCGATATTAATTACTTCAACAAAACTGAGTAATTATTTATATTTATAAAAAAAAAGTTTATTTATTTGTATAGTTGAGATTATTTTGCAATTTGACTTCCATTTCAAATAATTTCAATTGATTAACTTCATGTTATACAATTTTTTGTTTGAAATCATTCAATATTTTGATATTCAAATAATTAATAAAAAATCTCTATAATCCATATCTTTTCAAAATTCTTCTTTTAACATATAAATTTTCAAATCACATTGAAAATAGAAATATTTTTACATTCGCCTGACATTTGCATAATACAAATTGCAATACAAATTCAACTATATGATGTAGAACGAACATTCAGAATTTCAATTCAAAATGCTATCGCGTAGCATACTCGACTCATATATTCCACTACTTCATTATTTCAGCTTAGATCATAATACAAACACTGAGCAAATTACTGTCCCGCGATTGAAGAAGACAGACTTGATAGATTTATTAAGAAAATGCAAAGAAATTTTTAGAATTGAGCCAACATTATTGCGATTAGAAGGAGATTTTAACATCATAGGAGATATACATGGAAATCTTAAAGACCTTCTTAGAATTATCTCATTTACAGGACTTCAAATGTCTATTGGATTTGTATTTTTAGGTGATTATGTTGACAAAGGAGATTTATCAATTGAATCGATAGTACTAATTCTAGCAATGAAGTTAGCTTATCCTACAAAGGTGTTTATGATTCGTGGAAATCATGAATTCGATAATATGAACAATGAATACGGATTCAAGAAGCAAGTCTTTGAAGTATATGACGATGATGTTTATGAAGCATTTCACGACTGCTTTTCTTGCATACCTCTTGCAGCACTTGTAAACCAAGAACACTTATGTATGCACGGAGGTTTAGGACCAGGATTTGTTTCTTTAAATCAGATTGAGCAAATAGAACGCCCAATATTTTCCGTAGATACAGAAACCAAATTTTCACAGATTTTGGATTCTATTTTATGGAGCGATCCAAGTGAGATGATTCAGCAATACACAAATAACAATAGAGGTAAAGGTTTTGTTTATGGAGGTTCTGCCGTTAATAAATTCTTGCAAAATAATAATTTGAAAACTATAATTCGTTCTCATCAATGTGTTGATGGCTACAAAGAGCTCTTTGATGGTGGACTGATAACAGTCTTTTCGTCAAGTTGCTATTCAAAAAATCCTGTAAATCGTTGTGGATTATTGCAAATTATTAGAAATGAACAAATAACAAAGAAGCACTTCCCTGCAAGCGAACCTATCAGTAAAATGAATATAGATTATAAAATTGTTGAAGTTAGCCAGACTATTCCATTATGTCAAAGGAGATTGAGCCTTCCATTCACGAAGACTACTACAAATATGAAGAGAATGTCATTTAGCGTCAAATCAGACAGAATGAAAAAATCTTTTGTTAGAAATTAAATCTCAGAGTAAAAATTTTGTATGTATTATGCCTAAAATAAAGTGCCTAATTCATTTTCCGTAGAATACTTCATATATTTTGAATTATAATTAAATATGCTGGCAAATTTAAAATTTGAAATTGAGTGAATGAGAAAGGGACAGACTAGCCCATTGTCACTTTTTAATTTAGCAAATGAACGCTTATGGAGTGGAGTTTTTGGGTAAATCTGATTTGCTTATAAATGAAATAAAATCAAAAGAAACCATATTGGCATTATATTATGCAAAAATAAATGATCTTACTTAGTACTTTTAAAGTTAATTTCAGAAAAAATTTGACACAATGGTATCCGGCACATACAAGTGGTGTACAACCAAAATATAAGTTGGTTTAAACATATATTGCTATATCTCATGATCTTACTTAGTACTTTTAAGAAAAAACCAGAATTTTCGAAAAAGTGACACCAACTATTAAAGTTATTTTATTACTAGATTTATTTACAAATTATAAGATAATATCATTAACCGAATATATTTTTAATATAAATAAAAAACTTTTTTATACAAAAAATTACAATCAATCAATAAATATTATAAAACATTTATTCCAAAAAGATTAAGTAATAGGTGGGATCCTGCATATAATATAATTTTATGTCATAAAGTTTACAAATTTTAGATGGACCACAGTGAGAATGTGAGTGGTTAATTTAAAGGTGGTCTGATAAAGATATCGAAGCTTACTCAACACAGCATGAAGCAGTTTCTAATACACAATCTTACTAGTGGTGCTTCGGTCGCCAGCGCTCTCATAGGGGTGCTGATTTCAAAAACCACTACTTCAAATTATTCAACAATACTCAATGCAGCATGAAGCAGCTACTACTGCTGTATCTTACTGGTAGTGTTTTGGTCGTTGGCTCTTGCACAGTCTCTCAGATTTTCAAAAATTTTTTTCAACACTATCTTGTTTCGCTCTCAGAAAGCTATCCTACAAAGACATCGAAGCTTACTCAACACAGCATGAAGCAGTTTCTAATACACAATCTTACTAGTGGTGCTTCGGTCGCCAGCGCTCTCATAGGGGTGCTGATTTCAAAAACCACTACTTCAAATTATTCAACAATACTCAATGCAGCATGAAGCAGCTACTACTGCTGTATCTTACTGGTAGTGTTCTTCGCTTCTTACTATCAACTCTAAAACTAGTTTGATGTATTATTTATTCAATATTAACCTTAATTATTTACAATTCTCACTTTTTTCATTTTTTAAATGAATCAATCCGTTCCTGCACCCTTGCTGATACAAAACAATATATTGATTTCATTCATTATCTTCAATATGGAGTTCAAGCAGAGATGCGTGCTAACTGCAATTATCGGAAAGATTCGCATTTGAATTCAGATGGAGTAACAATTATTAGACATTACTGTAGATGGGGAAGTTGTAGTGCTAACTTTACCTTTGAAATGAAATCTAATCAATACAGATTTGTAAATGGACATCATTTTCATAATCATGTTGGTGAACCACCGTCTTTTAAATATATACATATATAAATATATACATATATAAATATATACATATATAAATATATACATATATAAATATATACATATATAAATATATACATATATAAATATATACATATATAAATATATACATATATAAATATATACATATATAAATATATACATATATAAATATATACATATATAAATATATACATATATAAATATATACATATATAAATATATACATATATAAATATATACATATATAAATATACATATATAAATATACATATATAAATATACATATATAAATATACATATATAAATATACATATATAAATATACATATATAAATATACATATATAAATATACATATATAAATATACATATATAAATATACATATATAAATATACATATATAAATATACATATATAAATATACATATATAAATATACATATATAAATATATTTATATATATAAATATATAAATAACAAAATACAATCAAAAATAGTGTTTGAAAATTTAAGGTTAAGCGTCACTTTTCTATTGTCACTTTTTCGTAAATTCTACCACACTCCATATAAGTGGTGTGCAACCAAAATATAAGTTGGTTTAAACATATATTGCTATATCTCATGATCTTACTTAGTACTTTTAAAGTTAATTTCAGAAAAAATTTGACACAATGGTATCCGGCACATACAAGTGGTGTACAACCAAAATATAAGTTGGTTTAAACATATATTGCTATATCTCATGATCTTACTTAGTACTTTTAAAGTTAATTTCAGAAAAAATTTGACACAATGGTATCCGGCACATACAAGTGGTGTACAACCAAAATATAAGTTGGTTTAAACATATATTGCTATATCTCATGATCTTACTTAGTACTTTTAAAGTTAATTTCAGAAAAAATTTGACACAATGGTATCCGGCACATACAAGTGGTGTACAACCAAAATTTCATATCCCTAGTTTTACATTTATGTTTAGTTTTATTTCACCTATTTTTCAAAGATCATAATTGAATTAGATGGCCAAAGTTAGTATACATAACAAGTGTACTGAGGCACTGCGCGCCTCCTTACACTTGTTATGTGAATTTGACACTTTACAAAACCGTTAACGTATATTTTACAACACAAACGACAACACAAACGACAACACTAACTTAACCTTAAATATTTACAAAACCGCCAACCACTTCACCTCACTAACGTTTTCACAAACGACTTCACTAATGAAAAAATAAACGTTCTCATTTACAAAAGTATTGCAGCGCTTCCCATTGCTGTGCTTCACACAATAGTTCATATTCTTCAGTATCGCTGCTGTCACTCCAATCGTCAGAGTCAAAGTCACTGTCAAAATGAATGTATGTAAGTTTTGACAAAGCTAATGAAACACGTTTACCGTTTGTATCGTATGCTTGTATAAACTTTCCATTCTTCATTCCTTCATAAACGCTCAAACTAACTTTACCTTTTCTCCCTCGTATCTGATAGAATGTATTTTCACGAGGAACGAAGAACAAATTCTTGAACTCATGACCGTTGTAGTTTGTTATCTCAATAGTTTTCGTCATTTATATAAAAATAAAATAAAAAATAAACTTAAAAATTAATGATATCACCACCCTCACACGTATGAAAACATAGCACAAAAATAAACTTAGGGTAGAAGGTTAGATCTAACCTCTTTTCTACCCTGTTGAATTCATTGCTTTATAACTCTCTTCCTTTCTCCAACTCTTCTAACTTCTTCTTAAGTTCAGCAATGTTGTCCTCATGAAGTTTAATCTTTCTCAAAATTCCTTCTTTATCTAATGGTTGCTTTATCTTTCTAAACTGAACTCTACCATCCTTCATAGTATGAATGTAAAAACCTTCTGGAATAGTTCCTGATTTAATGTATTCTACCAAAAACTTTTGTTTCATTGCTTCAGTGACTTTATTTGTCATTTCAATCAAATAAAAATTTTAATATTAAATAAAAATAACGTTATTTTTTCAGTAAGGAAACGCAGGAGTTTTACGATTTATTTGAGAAGTAGGTTCTGGTTTAAATGTTGGAGTCGGTTTAGGAGTTGACTTTTGAACAGGAGTTTGTACTTCCATAGGTTCAGGAGTCATTGAAGGTTTTGCTTGTGAAGGCGTTGGTTTTGACGTTGGTTTTGGCGAGGGTGTTGGAGTTTGTTTAACTTCAGCTACTTCTGTATTATTTACAACATTTGCTTTATTTCTTTTCAACATCATAACTGCTCCTGCTGTAGCTAGCAAACCTAGTGGGAGACCATATTTTATATAAGGACTTGACCAAATGCTATTTTTGACAGGAGCTGGTGGAACACCTAACCTTGGTGAGACTGCTCTTTGCCATTGTGCAGCTCGTAAGAAATATTCAATAGGTGCTCCATAATCGTTTGGTAAAGTTTGTTTCATAGATGATGAAGGTTCACGAGAGCTTGATGAAGAACTCATTTATAAGCTTTAAAATAAACGTTCATCCTTTATTCCTCACTGTCGTCCGTAGCTAAGTTATAGTCATCTAATCTTATTATCGGGATTCCATTAGCACGCACCTGAATGGCAAAGCAACAATCCCTCATAAATCCAATAAGTGGCTTTGGTACATTTTCAGTTGCTAGTTCAATAGGTCCTTTAACAGACAATTTGTATGTTATTGGAGCAGTAGATGTTTGACCTTGCTGGAAGCAAAAGTCCACTTCTGTTGGAAAACCACATAAGAAATGTGTGTTGTCATAGCTATCCCATTTATGTTCCACACTACCATCATCCACCAATGACCTCATAACATCTTCATTAAATCCTATCATATCATTGTTTGTATTGCAAGCGTTCGCAACCATTTCATAAAATACAGGTCCATATGATTTTTCAGGTTCTGCAGCATATTTCCATAAGCTCCCATGGAAAGCTGAAGATATTTAAACTTAGGGTTCTCAAAATTAACATAATAGTTGTCTTTCTTTCTAAATAGTGCCCAAATACTTTAACATTAATAGGCGTATAAGCTGCTGTAAATATTGCACTTGAACTATCTGTATTCTTTGAGAATGAACCGTCCATAGGAATCCAATCCATAACTTTAACAGGAAAACATAAAGCCTCGTTTGTATAATGTTCTACAAGTTCTGTATAAATGTTAGGGTCTAAAGAGAATGACTTTGGATGAATGAAACATTCATTAAAATCCATCTTTGTTCGAAATAGTTGCTGGGTTACAGTTGTAATAGTAACTGTTCCACTAGCTTCTACTGCTTCGTTATCATAGTGAATGGTTCATTCCATGGAACAAATTTATTTGTCGGTGGATTTGAATCTGAAGCAAATGCAACTTTAAGAGTTGGATTGAAAGCAATGATATCATTTACAGATATAGATGTGCATTGTAAGGCGTCGCTACTGAACTTTACTTTAAGCTGAATGTTTCCTGCAAAAGCTGGAATAAATCGAATAGCTTCTAATGGAAGGAATCTTCTAACTGGAATTCTTAAACGAAGCTTAAAATCAAATGATTTTCCTGCTGTAATTGGACCACTAACAATTTGTCCTGTTCTGCATGTTCCCGAATGACTCCATACATCTTCATGTCGAGTCTTTGAGAAAACATCTACTTTCTTTATTTGTTCGGTAGTTTGTGAGTTTGAAGTTATATATGCTTCTTCTCTTGCGTTGTCTTGAGAATATACGATACGACCATTTGCAAGGATTTGATATCCAGCAACTGCATAGAAAGCGTCATCGAAACCAATCCAAAATCCTGGTGGGTTTGTTTTATTGGAACCTGAACCAATTTCTTTATCTACAATAAATTGACCTTCCATTTTATACGTAATGAATGTATTGTAAAGGTCCAACATATTTTCACCAGGAGGTGAGAGATTGAATGTTACCCATGTGTTATCTTTAGCAGTTCCAGGTTGTGATGGAATCTTTGCGTCAGAATATTTTCTATTAGTGTCACCAATTTGAACTGCATTGTCTATGATATCGAAATATGAGCGAATCTGATGAATATGCTCTGCTGGAGTAATTTCGTTTAACTGTTCGTTCTGCATGTATTTACTTCAGATAAAAATATCTATTTACTTCATTATTCCTCACTCTTCTTCTTGGCATTCGTGGTGGAAGTTTTTCTTGACATTTTCAATGAACTGTACATTCTCTTTTGTCTCAACTTCTTTCACTGGCGGGTCAGGATTCTTTGACTCGGTTTTGTTTTTCAATGAAATTCACGAACTTTGCAATAAGCTCTTGGTTCGTTATTGAAAGTACATCTGGCTTTTTTCTTCTTGTTCTTTGGTGGCTCAGTTTGAACAGAAGGTTTTATATGGGCTTCGTGGACTTCACCCTTGCCATACACCTTAATGTTGTCGCTTTCTGCATTCGCTAATGGAACCTTTCTTTTTCTTACGTATATTTTACCATCTTTACTCTGACTTACGTAATAGAAAGGATGTTGTATTCTCTCTTGCGTCATTTAATATAATAGACTCTCGCTCTGATTTTGACAAGCTCATTTTACATCGGTTAAAGTTTTAATTTTGTTTTTTATCTGCAGTCAAATGACTCAGACAAGCCCTACGGACAAGACCCAAGGGGTCATAGATGTTGAAGCATTGAAGAAAGAAATTCGTGAGCAAATTTTATCCGAACTGAAGGAACAAAAACAAGAACAAAAGCCAGAGAGACCAAAGAGAAAACTTAGTGAAAACAACTTGCTGCATTAGCTGCTGAAGACAAAAGAACCCAAGACTACTGGCGAAGAAAGCTAGAGAAGAAGCTGAAGCAAAAGCTAAAGAAGCTGAAGCAAAGAAAGAGTAAATGGTTTATTTTTTATCCGAATTAAATGTATAGACAAATACCTTTATCTGTTGCGTTCAGTAGTGAAAACCCTGACGTCAAAAATAAAGGGGAACAGAGTAACGTTTTAAGTTTTCCAACAGACTGGATTGTGAACATAAATGAAGAGAAGTACATTGGCATAACATCTATGTATATAACACATGCTTTCAGAAAGGTTGACTTTATACTTCAAGTCGAGATAGAAAATGACGAACAGTCTTTAAGCGCCCAAAACATTCACATATACAAATACTTTAAAGACGATACAACATTGTTGCAATGTATGACTTCATTTAATGAGATGTTCGAGAAAAAGTTTAACATTGAAGTACAAACTTTACAGCCTTTACGTGAGTTTCTTGCACAACTGAAAGAAGAAGGTAGTCAGCCACAACTTATAGACTTTCATTATGAATTTAATGAAAATGAAGATGGAACTCATGACTGTCAGTTTGTTATATATTCACCATTCAATGAAGTAGCTAAAAAGAAAAAAAATCCATTACGTATAAGATTTCAAATCTCTGAACCAAGTGATGATTTCAAGAATGTTTTCAATTATGATGCAATGCTTCCGAGGAAAAATGAATTTTCAAAGATTGTAACACCTGGTATTTGGGATAGAAAGCAAGCTATATTATATTCAAACTTAAGTAAGGGAGTTGAAAATGAGTTCATTGGTCATACAAGAACTTCACCACTTCCTAACCCTAAATACTATAAATTAACTGGCTTCAATCGTGAGTTTTGGATAGACATGTTCTCCACTCATGACCATAACTGCCCAGTGTTCTTACCTCCAGACCATAAGGACTGTCTCTACATTGAAGCACAACTCTTAAACTCTACCATCGCAGTATTGTAAATGACCACATGGGCTTCGCCCTTGCCGCTAGTTTTATTTTTATCACGAATGACCTCATTGCTGACAAAAATAAATGACCTCAGAACTTCAACTTACGAATAAAGCTTGTTTTAGTCGTTATTGAGAAGTTAAACTTCTCTTCAAAGCAAGGTTGACATGACTTACATAAGTCGAATGCAATCTCTTGACCGTCATAAAGTGCTTTATATAACTTCATAACACTGAACTCAGAGTCTTTGTCATATGTTCCTTGCGGAACCATTAAACCTTTATCTTCATCATAGAAACACTGAACAGAGTCAGGAAACATTTCATTAGCGGTTAAAGCAATAACATCTTGCTTCACGCCTTTCATTCTGCAGTGAAATGCAACTTCATTTAAATCATTCGTGAGTAAGTCTATGTAAGTCTTCTTTCCACAAAATATTGACTTGTATGCTAAACTTTGTTTTCCAGGTGTTATTTCTGCGAAGTCGCTATGAAATTGACCAAGGTTTTTACCAATGAGAACTCTTCCATAACGTTTCTCAAACTCTTCAGCTAAACGAGGGATATCTTCATTGTAGAGATGCATACTGTCCGTATCGCTATAAAAGATGTCCATTCCTAAGTCCTCAGCAGTACAGAATACTTCACACATTATTCTCTTCGACATAGACAGAATGTTAACACCAAGTGGACAGAAGTTAAAGTGTCTGCAAATGCTTTTCGTTAGCTTGAAAATAGTTTTATCTGAACCATCCAAACCTTCGAACTTCACTATATGGTTGTAGTTTCTGATGGCATATCTTATAGCATCTTTGTCATTTACTATGGTTATTTTTGACTCAATAGGAGATAGAATAGTTTTGCCATAAATACTGTTCAGAATGAGCTTTATATTTTCTTGCAAAGGATTTCCTTCTTTCTTATACTTTAACCTTAACTCAAACAACTTCTTTACTTCATCTCTTATTCTAATATCTCTGTTTCCATCGTAATAGTATCCTTGCAACACTTCACATTTGACACCTTGATATTTTATGAGGTCTTGTAATGTTATATGGTCAACATACATTAAACAGCAAGTGTTTGAACTTCTGGGAACGTTAAGTTCTGGATTTAGTTCAGGGTCACAAACTATTAAAGGAAAGTGTCTATGTATTCCAATCTCTGTTATCTTAATGAGAACAAAGAAGCCAGACACAAACTTTTCACCAATGGGTTCCTTTTGGTCGTCATCGAATAAATGTCTCATGAGATACTCTGTGCTTAACATTTCTTCCTTCAATACTTTCGGTATACCTTCTAAAGTATAGAGTCTTGCAATTGCTGAAGGGTATAATGAAACAGCGTCGAAGTCAGCAATGAGTTTCTTTTCGCTCTTTTGTTTAATGTTATCTGACAACATACATCTTCCACCTTGAATACAGCGTGAAATAAATTCTCTTGGTTTATTTGAGAGATCATATAAATTTCCATTCGGGAAGTACACTCTGTTCTCAGACAATTTGTTAGCAATTGAACAAATACTAACGTAGTCATAAACGTTTAAATCAAATTCTTTCAATATGTCATTGCGGAACTTAACAAAACCTTCTCTTAAAATTCTTACATCTTGTTTGCAATAAAATGTACTATACTTTTCTAAGTCGAAGTGGTTCTCATCTATTCTGCAACCTTTGATGGAATCTATGTTTTTCATGAATGTATCAATATCTTTTACAAACTTACATGCTTCAGAAATGACACCAGTTCTGTTGTCATTTGCTAACAAAACACTGCTGTAGTAGTTGTATGGAAATACTTCTTTCGGTCCTGTTTGTAAGTTAAACATAGCAGGAAATAGTTTAAGCTTCTTATTTATAACACTGTAAGAGTCTTTTATAATAATTGCCCTTCCTTTATATAAGCCAGTTATTTGCATTGTTCGTGAACCTTTAATGATGGGAGTTCCTTTCACTTCTGTCATGTGTCTTAAGATGAAGTTTATATCATAACTGAGGTTATGGAAATATATTAAACTCTTGTCAGGAAGTCGTTCCAAAAATTCTGTTGCACAGTTCTGACCCAAATGCTTTCACTCACTGAACCATCTTCACTGTCGTAACAGATGTTAAAAGCTTTATGAAAGCCGTCTGTGCTAACTCAAAGTCAGCAAAGAAAACGTGCTCAGGAATGAACTTGCACTTATTTTTATTTACTTCTTTTGGCTCAGCTTTCTTCTTCAGTTGTACACAATACTTTGGAGCATATGTCAAATCTTTAAATGGTGCAAGGTTCTGTTTATATAAGTCAGTCGTATATGTGAAAAGTTCTCCATAAGAAATAGGTTCGAAATATTTGCACTCCCACAATGTTTTCATAACATCCCATAACGGTGTTGTTCTATCATAACGAACTACATATTTGTTCTCTCTCTTTGTATAAATCTTCATCTGTTTTCAATGTTCATTCCACCACACTCCTTCAAGATTTCTATATAGTTGCGAATGAAATATGTTGTCATTGGTAATCTTTCATTTAGCATGTAGTGGTCTTCAACAAGAAGTAAGTCAAGAGTTCTAACAGTTTCACATTCTTTTGGTATGTATCTCTTTATTTCATTATGTCTTGAGTCATTGAAGTAACCAATGACAATTAAATGCTATACCTGTTGCGTCAGAAATTTCTTGTACTTTACTTTGAGGAAAGTCTCTAACACGAATGACTTCTCTCATGTGGTCAATAGTTTCTTCATCTACTCCAGCCTGAATGCAAGCATAAACGAAACAATTGTCCTCTGTCATAAGTGTTGCAGTTCTTTTGTTCAGTTCATTGAAGATTTGGTAGCGTTCAAGATTTATAGGTAATGTGCAAAGATACTTCCAGAACTGACCGCTTCTCTTCTTATAAAACTTCTTTTCACCATTATCTTTCCAAAAGCTTTCTATAAGTGCTGGTTTCCTGTTTGCTTAAGAGCTTCCAAAATGGCTTTCTGGTCATTTGTCAGTGTGCTTTCATCTCTATATGGTCTCTTTTTTGGTTTGCCTTTCTTTACATCTGACATCGTTAAGCCTTCATATTCTGTTAAATCATACATCTTTATTTCGGTAAGATTCTTTATGTTTGTCAAGAAGAAGTCATAGTGCATTTCAACAATACCTGCAGCATTTGCTTCTATCTCTGATATAAAGTTCTCCTTCAAGAGCTGATGTAGTAATGTTCCAATATTATTGAGGTTTAACGTAGAACATTCATACTTTCCACCAAGTTTATAACATACCATCCATCTTTGTTGGAGTTTATTTTAATCTTCTCTAAGAGTCTCATGAAAACCTTACCGAAATGTTTGTGTAAGTAGTCTCTGTTTGGTTCATCTAAAGCTTCGATGTTAAAGTCAATGAGTCTATTGCCTGACTTCACATTTCTCTTCCTATTCTCTTCATCTTTCTTTAACCATCTCTCACCTTCTTTTGGTTTGTCGTCAATGGAACGAATGACATCGTTAGCTTTGCGAACTTGTTCTATAGCACTTTTAAACATCTCTCTTCTCTGTTGTTTCAGTGTGTCGTCTCTTCTTCTTGTTTCACCAACGTTTGCATTTGTTATGTCAAACATTTCTCTTCTTACTTCATGAGGTACTGAACGTCTATGATATAAGTCAATAGCAACGTCATTTAAAGGAAATGCTCTTGCATGGACTTCGTCCTCGCCGCGTTGCGGCTTTATGAACTCATGAATTCTATCATAACTTATTGCACCATTATAGTCTTTAATGAAGTCAGCGAGTGCTTTTTTGTTTGTTGCGTAATGCTTTGCTACTTCTATGTTAGCTTCTGTAAGAAGTTGTTTTATTTCCGAGTGTTCTAACTTAGACAACTTCCGATACATCTTTAGTAGGAAATAAAAAAATATTTTTTGAAAAAATTAGATTAGATTTTTTAAAGTTATTTTTCAAAATAATTTAATATTTTTATTTTAATGAAACACATGCAAGATTGCAAGTTCTTTTCATACAATGCTCTCGCTACTGCCATCAAGAATGAGTTCAATAATGCTTCAAATGTTAATGTTATCTTTAACAAGAAGTTTGTGAAAGAATCTAAGTTTGGTCAGTATGTCAGACCATTAGCTATCGTCATTGACCGCAAACGTTATACTTCACAAGAGTTAGCAGTAGTTTTGAAACAAAAGAGTTTCTTCGTGAATGTCAAAGATACACACTATACTGTTATAAAGAACTCTAACGTTGACTTCTTCAGTATTGCTTTAAATCTTTCCGAACAGAAAGAATATAAGAAGGGTGAAACATCTGTGAAATATTATTCTTCATCTCTGAAGACAATAACGAACAAAGATGTTATACAGAAATTCTTACCAAAGGTTGAAGAAGCTTCTATTGACATTGACGAAGGAAGTGAAATGGTTGAAGAAATAGACCCTGAAGCTATTTAAGCAAAAATATATTTTTGAAGAACTGAAAGTGTCACTACGTCACCATGTGTCACCAGGTTAATTAACTTCTCTTAAAAAGTGTGACAACATGACATTTAGACAACAGCAAAGGAGGAAGGCATTTATGAAATATTTTGTATAAAATTCCAAACAGTCAGTCAGTCAGTCGTCATTGACTGACTGTAAAAAATAATTTCAAAGCATTGAACAAAAAAATTATTTTTGTTTATTCTTCCTCTTTGAAGTTGTCGAAATATTCTGTTATTTTTTCCTTCAGTAATGTTAAGTCTTCTTTGAATGTAAGTATTGTGCAACCTTTGATGTCATAGTGTGTTTGAGGAAGAGTATTTTTGACAATTTCCTTTATTTGTTCATTCGGTGTCATTGAAATCGGTAAGTTTTCACGATAGAACCAGTTTCTGTCAGATTTATATATTTTAGCTAAGTCATAAAAGCTCTTGTTGTTTCTTCTGACTAAATGTAACATAACCATATCTTTATCTTCTTCTTTCTCCAACTCTTCAGTATATATCATATACCTATAACTCTTTTCCTTTCCTTTTGGTACTGAACGTAGTATTCTTTTCTGTATGCTTTTGTCTTTGGATTCAATGACTTCATCTTTTGCTTGAAGTTTCTTTTCCAGCTCTTCACGTTCTGCTTTATATAGTTCATCTAACATCATGAAAATATAACAAGCATAACGAGGTGAAGCCCACATTGCTACAGCATTTACTAAAAGTCTATGAACATAATAACCTTTCAAACCAGGAGCCAAATTCTTGCGATTTTCGTACGGAATCTCTTCTCTCGGTTTTCCGAGGGAAGCAATCATATGAGGAAATTCTTCTAAAAGTTCTTTTGTCTGTTGGTTTTCAAACCAATGATATGCTTGCTTTGTAGAACTAAGAGCATTCATTATACTTTGCATTTGGTACATGTCATCTTTGACTGAACGAATGAGACGTAACTGTTTGTTATACTGTATGTACTCGTATTCTTCATTTATGGCTTCATGAACGATAGCAGTTGTTGTGTTCTCTGATGTTGACATTACTGTCTTTACATACAAAAAAAAAATTTGTTAGAAAAAAATTAGCGTTATTTTCTGACTTTCACAAAAGACCAAAAATAAACGCTTTACATGTATTTTTCAGCAACTTCGTCAAATAATTTTATAGCTTTATCTATCTCATCTACTTCAAACGTTTCTTTACCTTTTATGGGAGCACCATACATTTTCTCAAACTTTTCAAGTAGTTTTGTTTCAGCAGCTCTCATATCATTAACAAACACAACCTTGACTCTATTGACTGTACTGTCATATCTTTGAGTTATATTATATGTTCTTCCTATCTTATATCTCTTTGTATTGAAGTCCTTCGGTTTCTGAACGATATAAAGTAAGCCTTCACTGCAACGTTCCGTATCGAATGAACCATAAGTTATGAAGTTATATCCAACAACTGGGTCAATCCATAACAAAACTATTGGTATAAGACTTTTGTCGATGAGATATGCTGTAGTTCCATAGAATCTTACTGATATCATAAGCTCAGGATTTCTTGTCAAAATTTTCTGAGTTGAAGCATTTCTAACCCAGTGGTTTGTTTTCTTTTCAGATGGAGATATAATGTCTGACAAAGAATATTTGTTGTATTTCTTTGAGTATCTTACGTTTAAATCACCTATTCTAACCACTTTGGTGTCATTGTCAATCTTTCTAACTGTTTCAAACTCAATGTTTGTCATTTCTGTTCTTACATACAAAATAAAAATAAAACTAACTTTATTTTTTCTATCTTAAGGAAATTCATTATTTTTGTGCTGAATTCAGCAAAATATATTTTCGGGTAGATGGTTAGATCTAACCTCATTTCTACCCTCATTTCTACCCCAGTTATTTTATAAACATTTTACATGATATACGTTATGAATTCGTGAGATTCTAAACAGTTTTGTAGCTTCTATTTCTTCTTTTAGTACATCGAATGTTTTAACAATGCCGAAGGTTTCTTTATACTTCTTCTTGACGTCAGATAATAGGAAATCGTCAGCAGTTGGATAGTTTTTGTTCAGAAATGCTAACATGTCCATTTTATTTTCTGCTGGTTTTTCTGCTTCTTTCTTTAAGTCTGCATAGTCGTTTCGCATACGTTCTATCTCTTTGACGGAGTAGTTATATTTCCTCATTGCTGTTTTACATTTAGAACATTGCGGATTCATTTTTGCGTTATACATTGAAATAAAACCAGCTAGAACAACCAAGGCGTCAATGGTTTTCTTTAAATCTGAAGCAGTTGGTTTTATCTGTTCATTCCATACCTTACCTCTTCTATCTTTATCTCTTATCTGCCATACACATTCTGCAACTAATGAAACAAAGTTGTCGTATGTCTTAAACTCCCCAGATTTATATATGTCAGAGATGTTCTTATATACCATGTCGCAATCTTTGTCCATAACTTTATGGTTGCAATGATATCCTAGAAACTCATAATTTACTTTACGTATGAACTTCTTTATTTCTACTGAGTCAGTTGGTTTCACTTCTATTTCATCGAATTCAGGAATAGTGAGCTTTTGTTGTTGGATTTCAGGCAATTTGGGTAAATGGTCAATAATGTCCTGCATGACATAAAGATATTCTTCATTTTCTTCATCCTGTGCGGTACAGTCTAAATTACTTGTTAAAAGTTCTTGCTTTATCTTCTGGATTTTTGTTTCAAAAGTATATGAAGAAGGAATAAAGCTTTTCATCTCTACTAACATAGATGTTGGATTCATGACTAACGAGTTTGGTGCTGTTGTTTGAATTGTTGTTGTGCCGATTGTTGAAATCATATCTTTTATACAAAATAAAAAAAATAAATAAAATAAAACTAACTTTATTTTTTCATCTTAAGGAAATTCATGAAAATTCAAGACCCTTTGGGTCTCGCCGCTTAGCGGCTGAGGTTAGAAATGAGGGTAGAAATGAGGTTAGATAACTGTTATTTTTGACGAAGTGAAGATTTGCACTTCGTCAAAAAATCCCTGAAATCAAGAATTAATCCCGTCAAATACAAAAAAATGAGGGTAGAAATGAGGTTAGATAACTGTTATTTTTGACGAAGTGAAGATTTGCACTTCGTCAAAAAATCCCTGAAATCAAGAATTAATCCCGTCAAATACAAAAAAATGAGGGTAGAAATGAGGTTAGATCTAACCATCTACCCTAAACATTATTTTTAGTCATGGACTTCGTCCTCGCCGCTTTGCGTCTTTATGTTAAAATAAATGGTACCATTAATGATATCATGACTGTTCTCGTTCATGTCTGATTTACATCTAATGAAAAAGTTTAGAAGAATTTTCTTATTCTTTCTGGCATATTTTTATCTTTCCAGTACTCCCGCTCTAATGGTCCCAGATGAGTTGGTTTAGATTCTCTCAAGTTCTTAGATGGTATAACATCTTCAACGCCTCCTTCATATCTTACTTTATAAGTGTCATCGTTTATGTTATAACCAAGTATTTCAATAACCACTCCTCGCTTTGCTTCGTCAATGGTTTCAGCAAGTTTGCCATTACTACTTTCGACTAATTTATGTCGAGGGTAAAATGCAATGGAGTCGTCAGCAGCTTTTATAAGATATCCATTACCTTGCGTAGAGTCTACGATATAATAGTTTCTACTTAACCTTAAACGTTTCTTTGTCAACGGTTTGTCGTCAAGAACTACACGAACTTTTGTACCAGGAATGAGGGTAAATTGTGTTGAATTTCTGATATTTTGTGTTTGACTTCGTTTCTTTTGTATATACTTTTCTTCTTGTTGTTGTGTCATTGAATTTGGTGTATGTCCTGTTGTAGAATGTGTTGAGGAATTATATACTTCGAGAAAATGTTTCATTGTTTCTTCGGTAAGGTCTCGCTCTTGATTTAAATCTCTGAGAGTCCTTATGAAGCGGTTTATGATGCCGAGTATGTTATGGTTATGGTCTTCAGTAGTGTAGTGAGTTATGTTATGCTTAATGAGAAAATCTGTGATTTCATTGCTGAGGTATGCACTGTCTTGGTCTGATGTTAAAGTACTTGGGCTATGTTCTGCTACGAACTTTTGTAAAACTCTTAACATTTCACGAGTTCCTTTATTTTTCATTATATACGCAAAAGCTTTGCGAGTGTTAACATTAATGAAGATGAGGAATGGTGGCTTTCTTCCTTTCTTACTCTGAACGAGAGTGTCAAATTGGTATGCGTCAGGAGTGTTGGAGTAAATTGGTAAAAAGTAGTCGTAAGGGTTTATTTTTGTTTGATGTACAACATTTTTGTCAAAGAACCTTTTCACTTCAGCTCTGTTAGTAAATCCCCAACTTTTTGCAGCTTCATTGAACTTCTTAAATGACCTCCACGGTGATGATTCGAATACTTCTTTCAAGCTCATTTATGTAAAGTTAAAGATTTTATTCTAGGCTCAAGCGCGTTCATTGAACGCGGTACCATGCATAAACCGTCATAAATGGTGGCATATAATCTGCACCCGAGCCTGTTGGATTTGTTGTGAAAGTGTGTGAATGATTTCCTCCTGGTTCAGTTGGTCGAAAAGTCTTTTTTGCTGAATTGTTATAAGATGGAGATAAAACATCATTGCCAGCTTCATACTCTGAGTTGTATAATGGATGGTCTCTTAATGAGTGGCTATGGTCGCCAGAAAAGTTTGTAGTTCCTGTATGAGTGTGCGGAGGTAAGTTTGCTTCAGTAATTTTCTTCGAACCTCCTGTTTGCTTTGAAGAGTTAGCACAGTATAAGAATTTGTCTACAATCTGCTGCCATGTACCAAAACCTAAAACACTTGCTGGATTTGTTGAATTCATTGACGTATAAATAGAACCAACAGGATAAAATGTTTGAAGAATCTGAGCCTTCATTGTTTGAAGTTCATGTTTAACATTTATAAATCCTTTGCCATCTACAATATTTATATTGTTTGTTATTAAACCATTAGGAAAAGTAGGAGGATAAATTCTTTGTTCTTGTACAGTTGCACCGTTTCTTCCTGTTTTTGTTACTATTTCGATGCATGCTTTAATTTCTTTAATCTTGATTGTTTGAAATTCTTCATGTGTATGGTTCTTGTCGGCTTTTCCATTAAGCGCAGCATTTACTTCCGACTTCTTTGCATAATTTTCATCTACATAAGTTTTGTCGGCTTTCTTATCTAACATTGCTGGTAGTTCATATGCTTCAAAGTTTCTGGCATGACCTTCAATGTTCATACATTTACTATCTAAATTGTTTAGTGTATCTTTTACGCTTGTACTTGGATTCTCTAAAGGTGCACTTGAACCAAGGGTATAGTTCAATATTATGTCGTCTGCTCTAACAGTAGTGAAGGATTCATGTGTATGGTTCTTGTCGGCTTTACTGTCTAATGTAGCTTGAAGTTCATTTATATCGGAGATGTTGTGTTTATGAGATTTCAAAACTTTGTTCATTGCTTCGAGTTCAACTTTGTCAGCTTTACTTTTAATAGCATCTTCAAACGTTATTTTTGCCTTAACTCTCAATGTAAATCTTGGTTCAACTAATACACCGTTAACATTGAAAGTAGAGGCATAAATTTCACCGGTATAACCAAATGCTTCTGGTGCTTTAGCTACATCATACTGTACAGTACAGCTTATGTCATAACCTTTAGCACGAATGTATTTATATCTTCTTTCATTAACATTTTTTGTCTTCGCTTCATCACTTCGTGTTAAATATCCATGGTAGTCCGTTATAATCTGTTCCTCTGAAGTTATATAATGAACGTGGTTCTTGACTTTATCACTCAGAGCTAAAAGCTCATTTTTGTCTGCTTTTTCGGCTAATTTCTCATTAACATCATTCACTTCTAATTCAACTCTTCCGCCAGAACTCTTATTATCATTAATCTTTTTCATTAATTCGGTAATTACGTCATAAAGACTATATTCTGTTTTCGGTTTTGTAAATAATGAGTCAAAATTTCTTTTCATCATTACATCGCTGACATTAATGATATCACCAATTCCTTTTTCATTTATTCTCTTCATTAATTCTGCAATAATGACGAATATATAATCTGTTAATTTATTCTCTTCATCGAGGGTTATAGAATGTTTTGAAATTGAATCATTAACTCCTCTAAATAAATCAATAACTTCAGGATACACGTTTTTAATGTCTCGAATAACCCGACCAGTATCCTGTTGTTCATGTTCTTCGTTCCCGTCGTTACGTGGTTTTATATCTCTAACCATCATCAACGCAGCCATAACCGGAGGGTTTGTTGCTATCTGTTCGAAAATCCGTCCGTTATGTACGGTATATCTAAATAATTTCTTTGTGTTTGTTAAAACATTTGAAACAAGTCTTTTAAAACCATCTACAAAATTTCCTGTTTCACCTAATGTTCTTGCAGCATTTACAAGCTCACCCATTCCCGCTTTTGACCCCAAAAACGTCCATATTGCATTTATCTCACTCTGTATCGTTGTCCATTCCGCAAAACTAATGCCCGCATTAGCTAAGTTGAAAATGAAACTCAGTGGATCGAACTTAATTCCGCCTTCTTTTTCAATTTCAACGAACTCACTAACATGAGATTTTAAATATTCTTTCGTTAAAATTGTTTTCCCCGATGTTATGTCATTAACGAAACTATCACCGTCAAAAGTTAACGAATTCAATTTCGTCGTTGATGCTTTTATTTCATACACCGCTTTATCAATAGTTTTTGGCTCACCTTCTTTAGAAGCATATGAAACATTAATGAATGAATTATATGTATTCGTGAATGAGTTAAAATCAATGATTTTCATTAATGACGCCTTTAATGATTCATTTACTGTCGAATCCCTTAAAGTAATTAATGAACTGTCATTTATGAAAGGTACACTGCAAACCGTCGAGTTTGGATCAAATGCTGTAGTTGGTGCAGGAATATTAATGATATAAGTCATTAAATCATTAAGTGACGTAAATAATGTTGTCGTTTTTGATTTAATTTCTTTAGCATCTGTTATATACGGTAATTTTATTTCTGTAGTTTCTGAATTAAAGATATTCGCTAAAATGTTTTGTAAACTGTTTTGAACAGCTGTGTAAACCGTTGAATCCGGAACTCTTACGATTTCACCGTCCTTAATAAAAGGCATTGCACATGGTGTAGTGCTTGGGTCAAATCTTTTTGGGTTATGATTCAACATATATTCTAATGCTTCATAAACAGACCTATATATGGTTGTATTATCTTTTTCAATAATTTCACCGTCCTTTATAAACGGCATAGTACATGGAGTTAAAATAGGGTCAAACTTTTCATAGTCCTTCCATGTTATGTATTTCTCAGTATTTCCATCAGTGATAACAATATATTTGTCAGTAAGTGTGAGAGAGTATTGACCAAAATATAAACGTTTAGCTCTGTCAGCTTCATACGCATATGCAGCTATACTCATATTTTAATGAGAATAAAATGTTGTTCTATTTGCAAAGTACAGACCCAAACGAATACGGGACAGTAAAGCTACAAACAAACTTAGGTCTTCAGAATGAAGCGCTTGCTTTCAGAGTTGTTGACTTCAATACTATCGCAACTTTTGTCATAACAGATGAAACAGATTTCATGGAGATTGAAATAGATGGAAAGAAGCACGAAATAAGATTTCACAATAATGTAGAATATAAGATGGAAACATTAGCTGGAGTGTTAAATGCTCTCATAAATACTACAATAAACAAGGATAACGAAGAAAACTTAATGAATGTTAAACTTATTGCAGGAGTTTTGAAGTTCAGTTATGCGAAGGAGTTTAAGATACCACGAATGAGTCATAGAGTTCAATTGCTTCTGGGAGCATACCATATGACATTTCCTTTGAAAAGTGTTGACAAAACGATTGAGATGAAATCTGTTCCATACGTATGTTATGGTAATTGTTTGTACATTGAGTCTAAAATAGCTAATGTCACAGGCATTTCAGGAGTTAATAGTAAAGGTTCAGTAGAATATAAGTCTTTCTGTTATGAAGTAATTCAATGTTCATTCCAAACGTTCCTGTCATAGCAACTCATTTAGGTAAATGGGTTCGCATTAGTCCTCATAATTTGAAAGACATGCAATTCAGACTTGTTGACTTTCAAGGAGAGCCTGTAGAACTGAAGGCACCAGTGCGAATGACTGTTGAAGTTGACTTTTTAGAAAATATTAAATGCAACAGCTTACAAGAGAACTCAGAGCTAAAAATATAAAGTATGAATGTTATGTATTAGGTCATGAACTTTGGTTGTTGCTGTTTGATGAAACAAATGAATTAGTTATGTCAGTCAAGAGAACAGAAAAATATTGTGTTAGTGAAAACTGCACCAAGTCAATAAGATTAGGTTTGCATTATGAAGATGAGTTCGATACTGTTGAAGAAGTTTTGGATAGATATTACAAATTGTTTTAATTTACTAAAACATATTTCAAGCAAAGTTTATATTCTGTTGAAAGTTTTGTATACTCGTTCGAATATTTATACTTAAACTCAACTCCTGTAGTTCCTGGTGTTTCAATGATGCGGATGTTACCTATTTTCATGAATGGTGGCGTTTGACCACAGCATTCGATTTCAGGGTCGAGATAGTCAATGACACATTGTTTCCCTGTTATTCGTGAGATAACATTTTCAAGGTCCTCCTTTGTTAGAATTATTTGGTTCTTACTTATAAGATTTGTCAAAAGCTTCTTATCGTCTTTGAGTAAAATTGTTTGGTATAACTGAAGAAGGTAATGGTCTACGTTATCTGAAGGATTTGTTTGAACATTTGTGTAAGGGTTGTCGTTGGCTTCTCTTGAAAGAATTTGGTCCAGTGGTGGATACTCTAATTTAACATCTGATGTAGCGTTAGTGTTTGAAGCTGAGTTTAAATTCACGGATTTCAGCTCTGGTTCTGGTTCTTTCAAACACTCTGAACTATAGTTCTTTATGACAATATTGTTTGTCGTTCGTGAGTCAACATTTGATGTTGGTTCAATTGGAACATTAACGGCACCAGCTAAGATGGATTTGCTTCTCATTTCATATAGAATAAAAACCTTTTATATGTATGAAATGAACAATATACTCGACAAGGGTTTGAATGTAAAGCTAACGAATGAAAATATTGTTGAATTCACTGAGACAGGTGCTGTGTATAAAGATGTAGAATTACTGAACAAAAGAGCTAAGGGAAGAAGCAGGAACATGAACAAAGGGTGGAAGCCTATAAAAGTTTATGTCAATGATGGCTCAGGAGGTTCAAACATAAAGTATGCAGAAAGTTATAGAGTTTATGCTCTCAAGGAGAGCCTTCATTTAAGAACAGCTATTCTAACGCCATCCTCAAAAGCTAACGGATGGGGAAGTGGATGATATGAATGACAGCAAAAATATTAACAGAAATGGCGACAGAGATGCATGGAATTTGTTTACCATCAGTCAATTGAAGGTTAAGCTTTAAAACAATGTTGGTCGTTCCCATGGAATATTTTTGACTTTAATGGTATTAGTCATGATATGAATCTCAAGGTATGAACGAGGAGAGATGAGAGACTTATATGCTTCCCAAATTTCTTCAAAAGGTAATGTTATACCTGACTGTTTCCAAATGAGTTCAATATCATAGCGTGAGAAACCTTGAAAGATAACGAAGTCAGTTATGAGACGTTTTATGTTTAAAGCTAAAAACCTCCATGTTTGCATAAGTATTGCTACAGTTAAGTGATAATGTCTGACTTTAGTAATGATGTTAGCTAATGGTGAGTCTGGTTTTGACACTAAACCTTTTCCGGCGAAGTCGTCGCAAACTAATAAAGTGTTTGATGGATATTTTTTGAAGGGGTATTTTGAAAGTTTTGACAGAATGTAGTTTGTAAGTCGTTTCATATCGTAAACTCCTGAGTATTGACGTAAGTGGTGTTTGTCAATAATTCTTTCCATCTCCTCAGAAGTCTTTTGCATTCCTGACTGTATGAACTCTACGATGGCATAATATTTCCTCTTACGTCGAATGTAACGTTGAAGAAATTCAATGAGTTCACTGTCTGGAACTTTAACGACAGAGGCTTGAACTTTTGACATAAATGTTTTCGCTGTTGAGTCCATAGAGTCTGAAGTTGCTGATAAATGATTTGGTCATAGTAAAGTCGTTTCCTAACGCTCTGTTATGAGTATATGACGAATGAGGTTAAATGTCTTTCCTGAACCCATCTTTCCACAATAGAAATACACACCATTTGAACAGAACTCATAGTCCTTACTGAAAGGAAGAATAAGAGAAGAGTTAAGTTTGTCTGTAGTTTCATTCATGTCTTCATCTACGTCATGTATTAAATGCTTCATTTTATCTCCATTAAAAATGCAAGTCAGAAATATTCAGAACATAGCACCGAGTCTAACTGACAAGAGTATAAAGATATACTATGAACACGTTATGATGAAACCAACCAAAATTCAAGAAAGTCAGTATACTTATGAATATCCAAGACACTGGGTAGAGTATGTAGGAGGTGAGAAAGCTATTGAAATCAGACAGGTTCGAAGTATTCCAGCAGGAAGAACAATATTATTGAAGAACTTTAATGTTTTGAGTATAATGATGAAACAAAGAAGCAAGATAGTTTCCCTGTTGCTGTGTATGTGAACTTAGATACAGGAGATGACATGAAAGTTTTTAATACAAAGCTTCAAACGGTAGTGAGAGAACAATTGACTGCGGAAGGACATCCATTACCTTCAGAAGTTACCATAGCATATAATTTTGAAACAAACTCAATAGATTTTAAAGTCATCTCTGCAAAGAAGTCAGGTTTTACATTTAATGAAGCAGATGTCTATTCGAATGAAAACTTCAAAGCTATTGCATGGTTAGATAATGACGATTGCTTTAAGAAAATATTTAAATACAGTGACTCAACGATGTCAATAGATGACCTTCGTGGAATGTTACCATCGACGTTTACAGTAGAAGGTTCAGCAGGATTGCTTACAAGATTGTCAATTGGTGGTATTTGGTCTCGTGAGAACATTGTTATAAAATCCAGTATAAGTGAATTTGCTGAAGAATCTATATTATGTCTTTCAAACTATATGTATTCGCCGCCGAAGCATTATAGTATAACAAACTTTGTCAGTAAGTTTAACATAAGACTTGTCGAACCTTCTTCAATGAAAGATGTTGTGCTACCTAAAGATGGAAAGGATGGACTCATTATTGAGATGATTTTAATAGCATATTAAATGAGCTTGTTCTTGAAGGTCATTCATGATGAAATAACTGTTGTAGAAGATGTTAGCAATTGTTCAGACATTTTGAAGCGTATAGATGATATAAGAAAGAAGTTAGATGGACCGCAAAGCGGTGAGGGTGAAGCCCGTGAGAACGCTTATGTTTCATTGACTTTCTCCAGTAACGAGAACTTTTATGAGATAATATTGAAGAGAGATGATTTTAATATGGTGTAAATGGTAGCTTGGGCAGCTTTAGGCGCAATGGGAACAAAAGCATTAGCATTTGGAGCAAAAGCACTTGGAGCTTATGACGCAGTAAATAAAATGAGTGGAGGAAGGGTTTCGAAGACATTAGATGCAAATAAAGGGAAGATTGGAGGCTGGGTTGCAAAGAAGTTAAGATTAAATAAAATAGGGCTCATAAATAAAGCATCCAATTTGGTTGCGACTGAGTCAGAAAATGCTTTAGGAAAGGACGATGAGTTTGCAAAACACGCAAAAGACTTTAATGACCAGATGAAAGGTGAAACAATGCATTTAAATAGAGTCGATGGAACTAAAGAAAATGTTTCTTCTCCACCAGTAGTTCTTCCGTATGGTCCCTATGGAATGTATGGAAACCCTTACGAAAGACCATTTGACCCATTGACTGGTGGAAGTAACTGGTATCATTACGGACGAAGAAGAAAGACAGTCAAGTTGGAGACAGACGTGAAGAAAGCAACTAAAAAGAAACCAAGGAAGAGAGTTATAAAGCAATGAATTCAACAGGGTGAAAAAAGAGGTGAAAAAAGAGGTGAGATCTCACCACTTCACCTAAATTTATTTTTGCGCTATGTTTTCATACGTGTGAGGGTGGTGATATCATTAATTTTTATTGTATTTTTAAGTTTATTTTTATTTTATTTTTATATAAATGACGAAAACTATTGAGATAACAAACTACAACGGTCATGAGTTCAAGAATTTGTTCTTCGTTCCTTGTGAAAATACATTCTATCAGATACGAGGAAGAAAGGGTAAAGTTAGTTTGAGCGTTTATGACTACAAGCATAATGGAAAGTTTATACAAGCATATGATACAAACGGTAAGCGTGTTTCATTAGCTTTGTCAAAACTAACAGGTATAAACTATGACAGTGATTTTGACCTATATGAAGAAGAAAGTGAGTCAGAAGATTATGAGCTGTTATATGAAGCACAGCAATGGGAGGAGTTGCAATACTTTTGTAAGTGAGAACGTTTATTTTTTACATTAGTGAGGTGAAGTGGTTGGTGGCTTTGTAAATATTTAAGGTTAAGTTAGTGTTGTCGTTTGTGTTGTAAAATATACGTTAACGGTTTCGTAAAGTGTCAAATTCACATATCATGGGTAAGTAGGTGCGCAGTGCCTCCGTACCCTTGATATGTTTACTAACTGCATTTGAATTCAGATGGAGTAACAATTATTAGACATTACTGTAGATGGGGAAGTTGTAGTGCTAACTTTACCTTTGAAATGAAATCTAATCAATACAGATTTGTAAATGGACATCATTTTCATAATCATGTTGGTGAACCACCGTCTTTTAAATATATACATATATAAATATGTACATATATAAATATATACATATATAAATATATAAATATATACATATATAAATATATACATATATAAATATATACATATATAAATATATACATATATAAATATACATATATAAATATACATATATAAATATACATATATAAATATACATATATAAATATACATATATAAATATACATATATAAATATACATATATAAATATACATATATAAATATACATATATAAATATACATATATAAATATACATATATAAATATATTTATATATATAAATATATAAATAACAAAATACAATCAAAAAATAGTGTTTGAAAATTTAAGGTTAAGCGTCACTTTTCTATCGTCACTTTTTCGTAAATTCTACCACACTCCATATAAGTGGTGTGCAACCAAAATATAAGTTGGTTTAAACATATATTGCTATATCTCATGATCTTACTTAGTACTTTTAAAGTTAATTTCAGAAAAAATTTGACACAATGGTATCCGGCACATACAAGTGGTGTACAACCAAAATATAAGTTGGTTTAAACATATATTGCTATATCTCATGATCTTACTTAGTACTTTTAAAGTTAATTTCAGAAAAAATTTGACACAATGGTATCCGGCACATACAAGTGGTGTACAACCAAAATTTCATATCCCTAGTTTTACATTTATGTTTAGTTTTATTTCACCTATTTTTCAAAGATCATAATTGAATTAGATGGCCAAGCTATTCAAAACACGACCAAGCTTATCAAAATAAGACCAATATATTCAAAATTCTTTATTCTTTCAAATCATTTCATTTTAATGCAGATCCAAGATCACGAACTCACATATATTGAGTTGCTTAAGTATCGAGTGCAACAAGAAATCCAAGCAGGTTGTAGTTATTCATATAAAACTAGGAAAGAAAGAAATCAAATCCAATTTAATTGTAAGTGGCCGAATTGTCCATGTCGCTTCCTTGTTGATACACTTCCCGATGACAAGTACCACATACGAAAATGTATTAACACCCACAATCATTCTGCCCCTTTTCCAAACAAATCACAACAAATTACATCATATTTTTATAGATCTTATTTAACAAGATATTTTGAATCAAATCAAGACCGTGTTTACGCACAATTAAGGTGTTTCAAAGATCTTAATATCCCATTGATAGTGGGATCATTCCGGAAATGTTTCAACAATCTACAGATGCTTTAAAAAAGTTTTCAAACGCCTTCATGCAATCAATACCCGTTTCTCAGCGGATGATGTTTACATCTCTTGCAATTTTTGTCGACATGGTTAAGAGTCATTCTCCAGATGATCTCATCGAGTTTATTCACGAGCCAGATCGTATGATTTTCTATTACGCCCCATTCGAAGCAAATGCTTTTTCACATCAAATACAAACTTATCACATTGATTCCACTTATAAGCTCTTGCGCTCTCGCATACCATTTTATGCCGTCACTGGCAAATTCGGAATCAATTGTTTTTCCGTTTTGTATTTTTTCGTTTGGCCCACACAAGTGAAAATATACAAATTTGTTTCACAGCATATTTTGGCTCCATCAATCGCGAACCATCTTATTTTTCAATGGACTGCGCACCTCAAATCACAAATGCTGTTGAAACAGCCATCCCCTTATGCCAGATCATTTGGTGTGGCTTCATGTGTTGCGCGCTGTCATGAGAAAGGCTGAAAGTTTCAAGATCGTTCCAACTTTCGAAACTTTCTATAACTTAATGAAGTTATGGTCTTTGGTTCTGAAGAGGAAGAAAATTGATCCTGATGGTTTACAACAATTTAGAAGAAATTTTAAATGAGGAACCTGCTGCCCGTGAATACTTTGACCAACAGTGGCCGCCATCATTGACAGGTGGATGCTTCGCTATAGAAATGAAGGAGATGGAACAAACAACATCTCGGAATCACATTTCAAGGTTTGAAGCACCAGTACTTCCCAGAAAGGCGAAATCTTCGACTCGATGAACTGTCATCGAGTTATATCTTCCAGTGTTGTTCCTTTCATTCCTGATTAAGTTGCAAATTAAAGGTCTGGATTCAGAGAGAAGTGTTAAAGTTATCAAAAAAGTCACAAGAGATTTCGAAGAAATGACACAATTTAAAAAAGTCGAATGCATCAGTATGCTTGAAGCTGTTCAGAAAGGTCTGAAAAATGATACACTTGATCCCAACATTGTTTACTCAACATTAAAAATATTATTGCAAAGAAAACATTTGATTTAATAAACATTTAATTTATTATAATTAATTTTTTATTACAGTATAGTAAAAAATGCTATAAATAAATTATTATATTTTATTAAAATGTGACTTTTAATAGTAAGTGAATAAAATAAATCAGGAATTGGGAAAGAAATAAGGTTAATTAAAAATAATGAAAATTACAAGTTTAAGGTTAATGAAAAAGTGACAATGGGCGAGTTTGTCCCCCACTCATTGAGTGAATATATTCATTATTATAAATTGTATAACATTTGATAATATCAGCTCATTATTATACGCTTACCACCAAAAATCATTTTTTTTCTAAATGTCGAGGTAAAAAGAAAAATTTAGTCAATAAAACAATTGTTTTTTCAAAAAAGATAAAAAAAAGTCAAGATTAATTATTGAAAACAGGTGAATTATCGACTAACTATGGTTGTGGTTGATCTAGCAATGTGTCTGGCAATGTGTAGTCTCCATTACCAAGTTGAAGTGTTATCTTGTCTTGTTCTTGGGTGGCACCCTCATTAGGGTTCTTTGTTTCGTCCCATTTAACCTCGGTTATATATCCGGCCTCGCCTATGACAACTACGATTGTTACATTCATTTTTTTTGGGCGGGAAAATTTAATTTCAATGAGAACTTTTTTTTGCTCACAAAAGTTAACTTGATTATGATTATTATATCTTGATTATGATTATTTTTGCTACTTATACCTAACATCATTTGAGTCAAAAATAATCGTTGTGAATACCACTCCCTAACAAAAATTGAAAGGGAAATGATATCATTTGAACTTTTTTTTTGTAAAGCTTTCAATCTTTCTCTAAGGAAGATGACAAGAGGAAATTCTTCTTTTATGCAAATACTAAAAACTAAACATTTTTTGTTCCATTAGCTTAGACACATATTTACTGCCAAATAACATGATTAACAAACAATTAATTTAAAATCACATTTTCTTCACTGTTACTGATTTCATTCTTTCTTTGATTAACTCTTCCTTCTTATCAACATCTTGAATAGCTTCAATTGCCAGTGGATCGATTTTTTCTTCTTTAACAGGTTTCATATTTCGTAGTTTTCTTCTTTTTTCTAATTCTTCTAAGCACCATTGCTGTCCAGCGATAATGTATTTCTTATCGTTGGCATCCTTTTGTGCTTTGGTACTTTCAAGAGCTGTTAAAGCTTTCTTTCGGAGCATATTTTCTCTACGTGTTCTATCTAGTGTTAATTGCGTGAACATATCCTGTCTATATTTCTCTACTTTTGCAACGTGATTTCGCCTTTCAGCAGCTGAAAAAACTGGAATTCCTTTAGCATCACTAGCAAAATTTGAATAAAATGGATGTTGATTAACATTCATCTTCGTTACTTGCTTTAAATCATCTGTTGATATGAATGTAGGATCATCTAAAGCTTGCCAAGGTGTATTTTCCAATTCAATAACAATATCTCGAGGAGAAACTTTTGCTGAAACTGGTTGACTCTGTGAGAGTCCTCTGATTTTGCGTGTTCCCATATTTTCTATTTCAATAAAGCATATTTTGTCTCTTGTTGAAGAATCTAGTTTTGGTTTTTGAATTTCTGGACTATTTTTGATGCCAAAATGCCTTTTTTCGAACTCATTGACGCTTTGCTTTGCTTCAAAACTTTCTAATTCTTGATTATATTTAAGGCGAGATTCAATGATTTTATCCGTTTCTTCCATTTTTGTTGGGGAAAAGGAGGAGTAATACGCAGGAATCTTTTGTGTTGCACCTGTTTGAACATTTCCACGAACGGGACTTGATATATCTTTCGTACGAGGAACTGTTAACATGATAAAATTTATGTACGTTATTGCAGATGCGTCAGATTTTGGTATTGGGGAAAATGATTATGTGCAGAATTGTATTGAATATATTAGCGACATCATTGAAATCAGAATGTGGACAAAATAAAATCATGAATTGATGCAAAATTAATAAGGATTTCATTTAATTATCTATTTAAGACAACTCAGAATTATATGAATAAGTTTAGAACTTGCATATGTTAAATCCGATACTATATATTTGCGATACGCCAATTGTAACTGGAAATATTAAAATGTAAAGGGTTTAAGATCTTAAAGCAAACACAATCTTTCGATTATATGAATAGACAACGTATGTTGACTGCAAATAATATATGCATGTAGAACTCTTTCATTTTCGGAAAATAATCGATTTCACAGTGACATTTCGTCAATTTTTTGAAGCGAAAACAAGCAATGTAATTAAACAGACTGTTAAGGTGAAACTTCGCTTATAAAAAAATAAATAAATCGAGTTTCTAAATTTGCAGTCGTTGATAAAATTATAGCATTTATTAATAGACATTAATTATTTACAGATTATATGTTTCTATTCGATCATTCATTTTCAATTTATGCATTTTATGCAAATTTTTTCAATTAAAATAGAAACATGATAGAAATAGAATATAGAACTGTTGTAAACAGAAATTCATCAAAAGTGACACCTCAGAAAAGCTAAAATATTGAATTTTTGGAACTTTTGATAGAGCACGTTTTTAAATATTAATTAAAGTAAATGTATATTTTGTAAAGATTCTTTTTAATAAAAAAATAAAATTTTGAAGAAGAACACAAAATCTTCTGAAAAATAATATCACATAAACTCATATTATTTTCTAATATATAACTATTTTATATAAAAATCAAATTCAATGATCTTAAAAGCGAAGGATAAACCTCAAAATTTACGAATATAATGAGTGGGAATATAATGCTTATCTATCATAAAACCATATGAAATATCAATTTTTGCTTTACGCCTAATTTTTGACGACAATTAGCAAAAAATGTTAAATGTTAACACTCAGTCCATTTGAATATGAAAAATAAAATTGACTTCGATTAAATGTTTTTATTTATCATGCAATTCTTCTTGCGACCAAAGGTTTGGAATAAAATTTCAAAAAATAAGATAGCTTAAAAAATAATATACGGTAGTGTTTACTAATAGATGAATAGTATATAAATTCTATTAAAATGGATTTGATCCAAAAAAATATATAAAATTTGATCATAAATAAAATCGTTTTAAATTACTTCTTCATTTAAATTATAACAATTATTTTTGGTTTTATATTTTTTTGGATCAAATCCATTTTAATAGAATTTATATACTATTCATCTATTAGTAAACACTACCGTATATTATTTTTTAAGCTATCTTATTTTTTGAAATTTTATTCCAAACCTTTGGTCGCAAGAAGAATTGCATGATAAATAAAAACATTTAATCGAAGTCAATTTTATTTTTCATATTCAAATGGACTGAGTGTTAACATTTAACATTTTTTGCTAATTGTCGTCAAAAATTAGGCGTAAAGCAAAAATTGATATTTCATATGGTTTTATGATAGATAAGCATTATATTCCCACTCATTATATTCGTAAATTTTGAGGTTTATCCTTCGCTTTTAAGATCATTGAATTTGATTTTTATATAAAATAGTTATATATTAGAAAATAATATGAGTTTATGTGATATTATTTTTCAGAAGATTTCATTCTATATGCCTATGAAAAGTACTCTCAAAACTAACTTTTCCTAATTATAATTAAATCTAGAATATTGTATTATGCTTAGTATTATTTCATTTTTCTCATTCAATTTAGAATTTACAAATGTCAAAAAATTGAGAGCTGTCACTTTTGATGAATTTCTGTTTATTACAGAACAATCGGAATCAAATATTTGATTCAAAGATTCCTGCTCACAAAACTTGACCAATTATTTTCAATCAAATGGAAAAGTAAATATTTTATTGCTTTTAAGATATTTACTACGATTTGCAACTAAACTTTTTGAGTAAAACGATATATGTAAAGCATTTTATATTTTTTCTTTTCGCAATAACATCGCATGTACAATACATTTTTTATTTAATAAAAAGTGCCAATTATCGAATTTATTTTAATCAAAATAAATAAAATGGAACCACCTCAAGAAAATCATCCTCGTAGTAAATCGACCCACGTTCGACGCGTCAAACGTAAGAAAGCAATCCTTATCTCTCCAGAGCTTAAAGATTATCTGATTGACTTGAAAGATTTTCAATTAGAAAAGAAAATCGGTTCTGGAACATTTGGAGAAGTTTGGCGTGCAAAGGGCAATGATGAAAAAGGCACGGCAGCTATCAAGATCTTGTTTAATGAAGAACTTTCTAAAGCAGAATTAAAACATTTCTTAATGGAAGTTGAGATTCTTGTTCGTTGCCAATCACGCTTTGTTATTCCATTTGTTGGCTTTACGAACACTTACCCATACGCTGTTGCAACTAGATTAGCAACCAACGGAAATCTTGCCGACTTCATTGGAATTATGAGGAATCAGGGCAAGTATCCATCAACTATCTTCCAAAGAATAGCAATTGGCATCGCTGTTGGCATGCAATACCTTCATAACCTCGGAATTATACATCGTGACTTGAAACCGTCCAATATCTTGCTCAACAAAAACTACTTGCCATTAATTTGCGATTTCGGTGTCTCCAGGAATACTTTGTCCAATGTTATGACAAAATGCACAGGAACTCCACAATGGATGGCTCCAGAGATCGTCGCGGGATCCGAATACTCATTATCAGCAGATATATTCTCTTATGGCATGATTCTTTACGAGATAGCAACTTTGACTCGTCCATTTGAAGGCATTCCAGTTTCCACAATTTTACGCGAAGTCCTTAAGGGTACAAGACCAACTCTACCAACTAACATACATCCAGGCATGAGAGAACTCATTATCCGCTGCTGGATGTCAGATCCAAGATTAAGGCCTTCTTTCAAGGAAATCATCAACCTCCTTTGCGATTTCAGAGCTGTTTTCCCAGGATACAACGAGGCCAAGGTCAATGATTTCATTTCTACCCTGCCTGCAGTTAGAATCATGAGACTCAACGATTACAGTGATGATGAAACAAAGATGGATATGTCAGAAAGTGTTGCAAGCACCGATGAGGTGGAATACGACTTCGAAAAGTTCTTGGCGCATCCAAGATTTATCAAACAACCAAAGATCGCTCAATTCCTCTCAGAAGCATCTCAATTACTTCAGACAGCACCTTCTGATGAGAAATCCTCTCGTGTTGTGTCAGTTATCAACCAATTCCTCCTTGATAAGAAATTTGTTCCAAATATCATCGAATCGAACATTTACAAATACCTTCCAATATCATTCTGTCGCGAGAAATGTGTCAAAGTGCTCTGCAAACTCGTAGCTTTCACAGATGATCAGACAGATTTGATTATTCAGCAAATTCTCTTATCAATGATCAACAAATACCCAACAGATATCATCAGCATCTTATACAAGGTCGCAAAACGTTCACGCGCATCACCTGCTCTCAAGATTCTCGTCAGTGACTGGAGATTACTTATTTATGACAATACGAAAGAGAAATTCTTCGACTTACTACTCGCCATTCTCGACGAAAACCCACTCTGGGACGAGAGAACACGCGGCATGTTCCAAGATATGCTGGCAGATTCAGAAGATTACACAATTATTTCATCATCATACGACGGATTGTGCCTTACAAAGCAGTGGGATGTCGAACTGAACCTCAAATCCCTTCTCAAGCACCTTTCGACCGACGAAACTGTTGAATCTACGCTTAAATACCTAAAGAACGCAGAAAACTTCCCAATCAACTCCAGAATTATCCATGCAATTATCAAAGCGGCGAGAATCTTCAAGATCGCTAACAAAATCCTCATTTCTTTGTTTGACGATTCTTATGTCATAAATTACTTCATCAACAACCCAGATTGGATCGAATTTGACCTCCCTGACCAATCATCAACAGCCAAACTCATGTCAAAGCTCGCAGAAGTCGCTCCAGAAAAAGCATTTACATTACCTTATTTACCAACATTCCTTGAGGTTATTTCCGAGACATTGCCATCCAGTGCCATTGCAACACTTTATCCTTTGAAGCCGAACGACGAATTCGTCGAAAAAATTAAGAATTCAAAGATTGTCTCGAATATTGTTTTGAAAGACGAAGATAGCACCGAACTGCTTAATTTCATCAAGGATAAACCTGAATACGCCAGCGTTCGCTTCGAGTTTGCTGCTCCAAAGTTAATTCAACTCCTCAAGAACAAACAGACAATGTTATTGGCTGCAGAGGCACTTACAACGCTTTGTTCGAAGGACAAGAACGCTGCAAAGATCCTTTCAAGGCAGAGAATTGATAATGCTGCGAAAGAACTCATCAAATCAAATCCACCGAACAAAGAGAAGCTGCAGGCACTTATGGCAGTGTTGTAAATTTAAATATAAACGTACTATTAATAAACATATTATATATATTCGTTTTCATCCAGTAAAAAATAAATTTCATCTCAAATTTAAATTTTTTAACAATATAATTACTTTTTAGCTACATATGACTGTCAGACCTCATGTGAGAGCTGGTATTTTGATCAGTTTCATTCCGTTTGAAATTTCTATTGAGTATCATATAAATTTCTTTGCCAAATATATACATTATATAGTACGATCATTCAAGAGTACAATTCATTTGGAAAAACCAAATAAAATTCATTTCTTCATCTAGAAATTTGACAAATTTTGAATGAATTTATTGTTTCTGGCACTCAGTATCCATAAAGAGAGTGAAAATTCATGCATCTCAACTTCTCATAATGTATTTAGCCACACAATAAAAGGAAATGATAATATATGCGATATTGACTTTTGCCAATTTTTTAATTTGCACCAAAATGGTAATGGCGGTGCAATTTCACTAGAAAAATCAATAAAAAGCATCAAAATACAAAATTCATTATTTACAAACTGTACATCAACAGGAAAGGCAGGTGCAGTTTTTATTATTTTGGAGAAGACAATTGTAAACAAAAATTGTTTTGCATCATGCTGTTGTGGAACAGGAAATGGATGTGATGGTTCCACATTCTATTCAGAAGCTTCAAATTGGACTTTCCATACTCAAAATTCTTACGATAAATGTCCAGCACATCATATTAACTGCTGGTATGGTATTTGCATATTCTGGAAAGGCGATATTACTAGTGAAGACGTCAATGTTTCAAATAGTCACGTTTCTTTTGTTTCAGGATTAGCTCATGGAGCACCAGTTACATCTAAAATACACAGATACTGTTCTTATAATGGAAAAGAAGGCAACTCTCTGACATTTATTAATAATATGGATTTAATTGGTGATCACAAGTATGGAATCATAGTTAAAAACGTTGCTTCTACAGGTTTGATTTATGTTCAATCTAGTATTGCATTGCTTTCCAATTTTATTTTCAAAGATAATCAAGGTCCTTGGACTTATATGTGCGTTGCTGGATATGCAACATTTCAGGACTGTAGATTTGATAAATCAGATGGAAATAAAGGAAATGCATGGAAAACTAATATTAATTGCAATTTTAATGATAATCAAATTGTTTACAGCTTTGATAATGATGTTTTATGCCAGATAGACCACTCTCAAGAAAACAAGGTCAAAAAGCATATTAATCTAGTATATTATCCTCTGATATTAGTTGTATTATTCTTGATTTTCAAGTATTGCAATCCAATTGCATTTTTCAGAAGAAAAATTGGAGATAAATCGAAGCCAAATTATTTTATCAAGCATGATCTTGATTATTTCAAAGATGTTGAAATGGAGAAATAATTTACTAAGTTTTCAGATTTTATTCGTATTAAAAATTAATTGTATGAATAATAAATGCGTAGGATAAAGTTTAATGAATTTGATATCTAATTTTTGTCATTTCTATTTGATATTCCAGTGAATATTGCTTATGATATCATACTGATTAAGTCAACTGATTGATTTGTAAGCTTGTTTTCAACTTTTGAGATAGCACACATTTCTGAAATTTGAAACATCGTTTTTCATTTTTTCATGAAAGAACAACATGGCATCTCTGATAACTCGATACATAGGAATTGTACAAAGATAATTCCATATAAAACATAAAGATAAATGAAAACATCAGATGTATTGAATTTTTCCAAAATGTTAGTCACCGTTACGGTTTTTTCTTTGGGGGCTCGCAAGCTCGCCCCCAAAGAAAAAACCGTAACGGTGAGCTCACATTTCGGCATAGTTTAAGTCTAGGTTTTGCATTTTAAAATGTTTGTTACCTTATCTTCTTTCAAAAAGTGGCAAAAATTTGTTTGAAATTTGAAAAAGATATTTTTATTTGCATAAATGACATTCAACTAAGCTGTAGCATGATTCTTTTGCATGCTCTAGTTTTTTTCTCAGTTCAATCTCCTTCCATACTCTTGCTTGTACCAGTAAGATCGCACCAAAATTCTCAAAATTTAAGATCTCCAAATTTTATGTCCAACTCCAATTATCAAACGCCCTCATTAACGCCACTCATAGCCATCTTTCATGCATGAGAAATCGTTATTAGAAGATTTTTTACGGCTAATTATCTGATTCAATTCAGATCAATACTCAAAGCCCCATTATTTATTTATAAATCCTTGTTTGTCGCCTATGCGAATAAAAATTCTTTTTATATTTTAAACAATTTTTTTTCACTTTGGAAGGAGAAAGGTGACTAACATTTTAAAAATGCAAAAACCGACTAAACTATTCGTAAATATTTTATTCAATTTTTGAATAAAATTTACGATCATTTCCATCAAATCGGATGATTAAAATTATTATTATTATATAGTGAAGATAAAATGATATTATTTGAATCATCATGTTTACAAAGAAACCATTGTTCAATTATAATAAACATGTTATTACGCACTTATTTCAAGCTTAAACTGCGCTATCTCAAAAAATTGAGATATTGTTTCCAATTCAAATTTTAAACATGTTAAATAAATATATTCAAAGCGGCTATTAATAATTTACAGTAGTAAATATAGATCAAATCTAATTGAATTTAATATTTTGAATATCTGAACAATTAATTTGAGATATACCTTTAAATTTTTCTGAAAGAAATGGAATCTCATTTTTATAAATTACAAAAATACAATGTGAGAGTAACATTTCAAATTTTGATTTTGATTTTGATTTTCGTTATTTTATCAATTCAATTTTTTAATACAACAGAATATGCAAATGTGCTTTGATGCAGAGGGAGTTTTAAAAGCCCATGGATACGAACTTATGGCTAAGATTGGTCAAGGTGCTTATGGTAGGTGCTATCGCATTTTCAGTCCAAAATATAATCAAACATTTGTATGCAAGACAATAGCTCAGAAATCATCATTTGTCCACGAGTTAAATGCTCTAATGCAGCTTGACCATCCTAATATTATCAAGCTTTATGACTATTTTTTGCGAGATAATATTTTCTATATCATCTTAGAGGATTGTGTCAATGGAAATATTAGTGAATACATGAAGAAGCATAAAGTTACCGAAAACCAGACTGTTAAATGGTGCTACGAAGTAATTGATGCACTGAATTTTATCCATAAGCAAGGAATTGTTCACCTTGATATTAAGCCATCTAATCTCCTCATCGATAAGTACGAAAGAATTAAGCTTGCAGATTTTGGTGTTGCTCAACCTTCCGAGATTAAATGCGAAAACTATGTTGGAACGAAATATTTCATGGCTCCAGAACTATTTTCATTTGAACCATATGACACTTATGCAGCCGATGTTTGGTCACTTGGTGTAACCTTATATTATGTCATTTATCAACAATTGCCATTCAAAAACGAAGCTCAATGGGAAATTTTCTTAGAAAGAGGATTTAAAGATTTTCCATCAGAAGTTTGCGGTGAACTTCAACAGTGTATGATCAGATGCATTCAAAAAGATCCTAAAAAGAAAGAAGAAATCGATCAGAAGCCAAAGAAACCAAACATTCTCTTGAGCATGATGAGATCTAAGCAGCCTTTCTGCACATCAATGCTTAACCTCAATGTAAGTATGCGCCCAACTAACTTATATTGTTCTAACTCAGAAGCAAGATTTAAGGGTCCACTGTAAGGCCAAATAAGGCCTATCGTCGTCCCAAAAATATTGCTTAAGATGGTGTTTTTACTAAGGCCCAAAACTTAAAAAAACACAAAAAAATTAACTTTACTCTTTTGAGATCCTTATCAGATGTGCAACAATTTGATGCAGTATCGCAATTCGAATCCGATTTTTTAATGTAGATGTACTCTAACATTCTTGAAAAAATGCAAAATGATATTAATCAAGCTTTTCATTTCTGTATCATACACGAAACAAAATCATTCATTATACTAAAATTTATCAAAGTTTGAATAATGAAAAAAATAATATCTAAATTTTTACATTGAGTCGGCTATTGATATGGTCAATATTAAATCGTTTAAAAATGGGCATTGGCCAGAATAATACCCACTAAAATACACATTTTTTTAAATTTTATCAATTTGTTTTGGTATATCTTTATGATAATGAATAAAATGCTTATCTTTCATAAGTCAATACATAATTTATGCTGAAACACAAAAAATAACACGAAAATTTTTGGCCAACATTTCAAAACTAAGGATAATGCTTTGAATATATAAACAATAATACTTTGTCTAGAGAATTAAATTTGTGCTATCCAATTGTCAATTCTTTGAATTTTTTATAAAATGCACGATATTCCGGCATTAGCCTCAATAAATATAAACTACATGCATCACAATATTAGGATGTAATGGCATTAAAGCGAATTTCCTAATTTCTTCTCAATTAAATTCCTAGAAAAACTTAGGAATTAATGATTGGAAATAGGTCAAAAAAATTCCTAATATAAAATTTATACTTAAATTAAAATCAAAATTCGAAAATATCTATTTTTCAAAACACGCATCCAGAAGCGAAAAAATTCGAAAAAATCATGTTCTTATAAAACTCGCTGATTTTGCAATTTTTATGTGATTTGAAGTGATAGAATGTATTATCATCTTACTAAAACATATACTTTATTGTTACATTCACAAAATATTAATCAGAACACTAGGAAAAGTGGATTTTCGAAAAAAGACGATAACGATTATTTGCAAATCGCCTCTCAATTTTGAGAGACTTTCAATTTTTACAGTGGACCCTTAACCTTGGACAAAAAGAATTATCAAAGCTTCCTCCTCTTCATGCTTAATAATTATATAATTTTATATGTGTATTTGTTTTGTTTATAAATAGATATTATCTTATATAATCGGAATTTTATTTGGATAAAAAAATAAAAATGAAAAGAATTAATTAGCAGAGCTGTTCATTCATTGATGATGACTTATCTAATGAATGCATCTGAACAATGAACGAATACGTTTTCCTCTCTCAGAGCATGATAAACTGTGCAAATAGAGGAGATAAATAATACTTTTCCCAGATTAGAGGTTGAGATATGCATACCGACGATATGTATAGGATATTTTCATAGGTAATGAAGAAATATAATTGTCAATAAGAAATCATATATTGTGCAAAAATATAATTCAAATTATAATATAAGAAATATAATCTATGGATGTACTTTTCATATTTAAAGAGAAACAATGTCAAAAAAATAGATTCATTTTTTGCAATCTAAAAAATTGATATAATAAAAAAGAGACATAATTCTTGAATGTTTATATGTTAAGGGTATTTGACATTTGAGCTTGAATTCGCTTAATATCAGCAGCGAATTCGTAAAACTCTGTCATGCCCATTTCGATAGAAACAGGCTGGATATTTTCGAATTGTAAACGCATTTGAATGAATGGAGTGCCTGCGCCTGTACTTGAAGCTGCAGTTAAACCAAATCTCCATTCAAGGTCTTGAAGTTTATCGCCTGATGATTTCTCAGCTAAATCTTTAACAACAGTATCTAATCTGTTGCTAATGACTTTGCTGATTACTTCGGAGTATTCGTCATTTAAACCTGCCTGTTTCAATAGTGGAGAACAATCTGAAGTAGCTGTACGGGATTGAAGAAGTCTATTAATGAATGATAAAATTGTATCTGCTAAAATTTGCTTTGTTGATGTGTCTGAGAATTCTAATCCGGCGAGCATCTGAGAAAGATTTGATTTAAGTTGTATATGATCAAGAACAACACCTGCTAATTGGGCGGCTTCTTCAGTCGAAATCGACTCGAAGCGAACCATATTATCCTTTATTTCTTGTTGCGAAAGCATTTATTTATAAAAGTGACAAAAAAATTTGACATTGTAAACTATAAGCACATTATTCTCTGAATATTCACATAATGTCATCCCAGAGAACATTTGCATGTGTAAGGATTCTGGAATGACACATCGTATCATTATATAAATGCGGAAGTTTTTGAAATAATAGTGCAATATATTCTCTCTTCTAGGTAGTTTCTTCTATTCTGGAAGTATTTGCATTGCAAGTTTCCAAGAATAGAACATTGCTCTGCTTCAATAATTGATGTATAACAATCATATTAAATATAAAATGAATTTTAATTTCTAATTCTATGAGCAAATAGCAGCTTAACCAATTGTTTTAAGCTTATAAATTGAACAAGTCCCTGTAGCATAGTCAATATAATGCATTATTTGCCAAAATTACTTATAATTTCAGACTGAATCAGGTAATTTCCAGGAAATAATATTTGCTTTTAAAAACTTAACAATATAATTGTTTAAATACTTAACAAACAAAATTTTACATGAATAATATATGATTATTCTTGGTAACCGTGTCTAAGTTGGTGAAAATTCTAATTATATTTTTATTTCATTTCATTTTTGTCATCTAATTTCATCTAAGAAGAAATAAAAACTTGTAAGCAAATTTATTGGAAGTTATGAATCTCTTATGCAGTGTATTACCTGATTAATATCCGTGGAGAAGTGGAGTTAAAATTATAAGCATTACGTGTCAGAAAATAAAATTGAGAAGATAAATTGTCAGAAAAATCACTTTTTTGCCTCTTTTTTAGGTTTACTTTTTCATGGTTTTCTTGTGCTTGTTGTTGCTGTTTTTGATGATTTTGATGATTTTGAAGATTTTGATGTTTTTGATGATTTTGTTGATTTTGATGACGAAGATTTCTTTTTCTTTGTTTTGCCATCAGATTTAGATTTACTTCTTTTTGATGCTTGTTCTTCGACAGGGAGAGGAGCGTTGTAAGGATTATTTTTCTGTCTTGTGAATTCTCTTGTTAAAACATCGTACATTCTTTCAGCAGTTACATATGCATCTCTATACTGTTTGATGAAATTATTTCTTACAGCATCATATGTTTGTCTTCCACTTGATATATCCTGCAATCCTTGTTCCATTTCTGCTCTCAGTCTTGGTTTCATGAAATCGAATCCCATTCCTTCGTAGCCATCATTTAATGCCAAACCAAGTGGTGTTGGTTTAAAATAGTTGTTTTCTTGAACAATGTATTTTCTTTCCATAATTTTCGCAATGTGGTCTTGGTAAGTTGCATCTGTTCCTATTCCTTCCTGATTCATCTTCTTTAGGAGATCAGGTTCAGTTAGTAAAGGAGGAGCTGTCGTTTTTCCTTCATTTAGTTCTATATTTGTAGGTGAAATCAATTCGTCGACTTTAAATTCAGGAATTTTCGTTCCTTTGAAAGGAATGTATGGATATATTTCATGCCAATTCTCTTCTAATACTCTTGTTCCTTTCAAATGAAATTGCTCACCATTAATATCAAAAGTGACACGTGTTGCCAAAGAAACTCCATCTTTTGAACAACAGGCTAAAAAGTGACGACAAACAAATTCAAAAACTTTTTGTTGATCGGGAGTGTCAAATTTATCTGGCACTTTTATCGGATAAATAGGAGGGTGTGCGTTATCCGAGTGTTTTCCAGCTCTTGGAGGAACAATCTGCTGCAGGATTTTATTGGAGTACTGTCCGATTTCGCCTTTGAATCTTGTGAGTGCATTTACAATATCTTTAAACTTGAAATCCGCTGAAAATGAATCAGTTTCTGTTCTTGGATATGATATACAACCGTTTTGATACAATTTTTCAGCGGCTTCCATTGATCGTTGTGCACTGATTTTCAAGTACTTCGAACATCTTCTTTGCAGCTCAATTGTGCTCAGCGGTAATGGCTTGTTTGATAATGATTCGCGCTCATCAACTGTGAGGACTTTTGCCATCGGATTGTCAAGAATGTCAACGTAGATGGCAAATGCTGACAGTTTACAAAATAATCGTTTTCTGTCCCATTTAAGAGTCACTTTTATGTTATCTTTTGTGATTAAAGGTTCGATCTTCCAAAAAGATTCAGGAACATGCTTGATGTGATTGAAGAAGGCTTCTACAACAAAGCCAAGAGTAGGAAATTGACATGGCCCGAATGAAATAAGTTCGGCATTTTGTAACATGCCTTTGAACTGACTCTGGAAGCGTGTGAAGGCGGAACCAATGCGTAGATCGATTTCTTGGCGTAGTTTGACTGCTGCTGCGTCGTTTCTGTTGATAGGTGTGGGATTATTGAATGCATGGATAATTTCTCGCGGTGAGAGGCCTGAAAACCGGGCTCGTTTGTAATTTGCGTTCTCATTAACTTGTTTGCATATTTCTTCAACTTCTTCTGAGATTCCTTCGCCTTCTCGATCATTATCGAGCCAAAGGAAAACTAAAAAGGCTTTTTTTGCTTGCGTTTGAAGATTACCAACAACTTTTTCCATGTTGGCTGTAATACAAGTGTTAAGTTGGCAATCAAATAACTTCGTATTTCCAAAAGTTTGCCAATTTTTGCATTCTGGTGGGAAACAATAGTTTAGAACGTGACCGGCTACTGATGTAAAGACAACTTTGACATCTTCACCTTGAAAATCTCGTTGAAAAACAAAATTGTTGTTAAATTTGGATTTTCCCTTTTTTGTTTCCATGTGCCCATTAGAAAGAATCTTAGCAGCTTCTCTTGCAACTGATGGCTTCTCGGCTACACAGAGAATCTTTTTTGGCATCCTTTGGTCCCTGGGAAGTAATGTAAAGTTCAGAAACAAGTTCCCTGGAGGAAGTAATGATTAAATGACAGAAAATTCATTTGCATATTCTCTACACATCAGAAACAATATCAATTTCAAAATATTTTATCTTTGTCGGTTTATAATTTAAATTCATATGAAGTAAATTACTCATATATTGATACGGAATGAGTGTTAGAAATATAATTATTCTCTCCGAATGGAAATTCATGAAAATAGTTTCAATGCAATCTCAAATAGTATAAAATCATTACTTATCAATCCCAAAATTGATAAAAGAAATTTTATTTTCAATGAACAGCACATTGCCACTCAAATATGCTTTTCTGTTCAAAAAAGTCATATTTTTTATGAAGTTATTGAGCTATTGTTCCCAAAAACAAGAAGTGTAATAATCCTCTATTTCATGTTGTTAACAAATCTCTCGGCACAAATAGAATCACATACTACGATAGAGGCCGAAGAGCGATCTTCGAATACCCTTGTCAAGGTTCTGACTGCACTCCATATAAGGGACTTCTTGCTCCAGGTGAATATAGGATAGAGTTATGGGGTGCCGGAAGTGGCTTTCCAGATTTCTCATATGGGAGCTATGGTGCATATGTTCAAGGAACTATCTCTGTCTCAACTCCATCTGTTTTCTATATTTACCTTGGCCAACACGGAACAGCTTCACCAAGTTTGACCTATAACGGAGGAACCCCAGGCTCCTCATACCTGGATACGACGAGTGGTGGCGGATCTTCTGATATTAGAATTGTTCCAGGTGAATGGAATTCCTTTGAAAGTCTTAAGAGCCGTATCATGGTTGCTGGCACTGGAGGTGGCTGCTGCAAACATTATAGCAGCATCACTGGCAATGGTGGTGGTATTAAAGGTGAGGATGGAGTTTTAACAATAAATCCTGGGTGTTTAAATGAAAGATGCAATGATAAAATTGAAGGTACGTGTTTAAATACAATTCTAACAGGTGGAAATCAAACAAGTGGTGGGATTGATGCTAATTCAACTCAAATTTCAGCTAAGTTTGGAATTGGAGGATATTTGGGTTTTGGAAAAAGTAGGCCATCAGGCGGATCTGGATATTATGGTGGTGGATATGGGATTGACTCGAATTGCATTATCAGTTGTGGTGCAGGCGGATCTTCGTTCGTTTCAGGATTGATAGAATGTGATGCAATTAACGAGTCATCTTCAGGGTTTGATAATATTCTGCATACACATCAGCCAGTTCACTACTCAGGATACAAATTCACCGACGCGATCATGCTTGACGGCGGAAACTCAGAAATTCCACAACCAGAAAGCACTATTTTCTATGATGGCGCATGCCAAATTACCATTTTGAGTGACTTTATATCATTCTTCATAACATGTCAAGTATCTTTCATTTCTTCTCAAACTTTCTTCCTATCATTTGTAATTTTCATTCAAAGTTGAATTTAAACATTTAACGTGTATTATTTAAGTAGGCAATTGCATCATGTAATGTTATATAATACCCATATATATATTCTCGAATTCAGAATTTCTGAAATTTGATGATAAGGCTAATATTAAAATCTTTTGAAGAACAAATATTCGCATGATTATGTCAGAATAATTATCCGTAACAATAATGAATTCTACTCTCATTTTTGTAAAAAAGTCTCAGATCTACTGACTGAAAGTTATACATTACCACATGAAAATAGCCCTAAAATAGAATTCCCTTCTACATTAGTTCGTAGTAATTATAGAAGTGTTACAATTATGGATGGTTATACTATAGCTCCTGATAATTGCTTTACTGGATTTTCTAATTTGGTAAATGTAATATTACCAACCACCCTAACATTAGGAGATTTTTTTCTATATGATACAAAGGTTTCATACATAAACCTACCAAAATCTTTAAATTCCATTTCGCCAGATAACCCATTTGATAATTCCTTATCTCTTGAACAAATAGATGTTGATCCAGAAAATAATTTTTTTTGCTCAGTTGATGGTGTTTTATTTTCTAGAGACATGAAGTCTTTATTGTCTTTTCCTCCTTCAAAAAACGCATCATTTTACATTGTCCCCACCGGAGTAATGAATATATCTCTTGGCGGTTTCTACTCTCTGCGCTACTTAAAGAACGTAATCTTTCCCACGACTGTGATTTATTTTTGTGAATTTGTTTTTAGTGATTGCAAAAACTTAGAATCAATTACTGTTTTTAGGGAATACAAGCAGGAGAAGATCATTGCTTTAACTTATGCATTCTATAATTCCATTCTAACACAAAATGATATTCGTTATGTCTACTCAACCAGAGTATGTAAAATATATTCCAACATCATTCATTCTTCTGCTAAAACCACAGCCATATTTCTGGCAAATTATGTTCTTTGAATAAAAATTTAAAATCAACTTTATTAAATAAATAAAGGATAGTTAAATCCAACTATCATGATGCTTTGATATCCCAAACTGGTTTGAATCTTTAGAGACTGAATACTTTTTCAAGCTTGACTAGATATTCTAAATAGTTTAATATGGCGGGATATTTTGGAGCTAAAGTCACTATTTCTTTGAGGAAAAAGATTATTCGGCAAAATTGAGCGATATACTATATATTCTTTGAAAGTAAGAACTAGTCATTGTATATCAACATAGATAAATTAGAATTAATATTATTTTATTGAATTTCATCATTAAATATCAAAAAATAAACAAACATAATAATCTTTTGTAAAGTAAATAATACAAAAGAATAAAAACAAATAATAACTATATTTTTCTTTTTCAATCGAAATCATAAGAATCATTATTCCTATTTTCACTTCTCTTTGACATCTGAGAAGATGATCTCTTAGAAGCATTAGATCTAGATGTCGAGTTCCCTGTTAAAGGAGGTAATCCACCCGATCTACTGAATGTTTTCTCCTTTAATTCATCATATGATAAATCAAATTGTTGGGCAAGTTTTCTCAGTCTTTCTTCTTGAGCATCCATTGGAACATTCGAGAAAGAAGACATCTGAGACAATATTTCCTCTCTTTGCCTTTGTATTTTGATGGCTTCTTTTTGTCTTTTCGCGCGCATTTCTTGTTTAATTTCTTCTGTTTTCTTCAATTTTCTCATTCTTTGATTAAATTCTCTTTGCCTTTTCTCGTTAGCAACAGTTCGAGCTCTTTCTTCTCTTGCCGCATTAGCACTCTTACGTTCTCTTTCTACTCTTTGCATAAGAGCCTTCTTTTCTTTCTCTCTTCTTGCCATTTCTATTGTTTGTCTTTGTCTCAACTCAATTTCATTATATCTTTCAAGCGCTTTTTCTTTTTCTTGTCTTTCTTTCTCTTGCTTTTCTTCAAGCATTTTAACACGTTGAATATAACTTTCATGTTCACTTTGAGCTTTCTGTTTAAGTTCTTTTTGTTTCTCAGCTTCAATTGCGTTTAATCTTTGGCTAACGATTAATTCTTTTTCTGTCATTTTCTGTAATCTTTCTTGTTTTCTTTCATAATCTCTTTGTATGTTTTCTGTTGCTCTTTGTTTCTTTTGTTCTTCTCTTTCTTGGAACTCTCTTCTTTCTTTTTGTTTCTTCAATTCATACATTTTCTTCTGTTCTTCTGTAATTCTTTCTTTTTCTTGGGCTTTTTGCCTTTGTTCTTCTATTTTCTCTTCTTGTTGCATTTTGGCTCTTGTCAATTGTATTTCTAAGTATTGTTGTCTTTGTTTCCTGTATTCAACCATTTCCCTTTGTTCTGCTTCGACTCTTTGTTTCCTTAAGGGTGCACCAGTATGTACGTTTATTTGAGAGGAGGAGGATTACCCTCTCAATTTTGAGGGATTCGTTAGTTTATTTTCTCGATGAATCTGCAATAAAATTTGATTTTTACCTAGGGCTGTACAAGATTTAAAAAAACATTGCCGGGTTACCGTAGAGGCCTAAAAAAATCGCGCCTCGGCGGCAAGCCGCCTCGGCATTAAGAATGCGCATCTAAATTTTTATATGTCCTTCTTTCTTTTATTTTTCCCTTCCCTTTCTTTTCTTTTTCTTTTTTTCCCCTCCTCTTGCTCTCATTTACCTTTTTTTTCCTTTTCTCATCATTTTTCAAAATTTTAAATTTTTATCAAAAATCTTGCCTATAAAAGCAGACTATGGAACCTTTTAATGCCTCTTAATCAATATTATACAGCATAAAGCATATTAAATGAAAGTAATTACGTATAAATTTATTTTATTATCTTATTTATTAATTCTTTAGCATGTATTGTTTAATATTAACTTTTCTGTACATTAAATATGATATCTCCAAAGTATGAATGCCTTGTAACGAAACGAAAACTTAATTTTATGTTGAATATTTGTCACAAACATTAGATTATTAAAATATATGTTGGATATCCCTTAGTATGAGACTTCATGACTCTTGTAGTCTAACGTGAGCTTTGGATTGCAAGCTCTGTGGTTAACGAACATAAATTAATTGTAAAGTTTTCAAAATTTTTCATCGTTTCTATCAGCATCTATTTTTCCTTTAAAATAATATATTTGTATGAATACAATATTTAGTAATTTTTTTATTTCCCATAATTTCATTCAAAATTTCAGAAAAAATTAATTTCTATTCAATATTATTTCAGCTTCAAAACACTTCATTCTTATAGATGTTGATTCACTAAAGTGTGATACTCAATGTCTTATTTCAATGAAAATTGTTCTGCAAATTTATTTCACTTTTGACCTCACTTTTTCTGTAATTCAATTTTTTACTTTTAATATTTTAGATCTTCATAATATCATTTGAAAAATTAACCATATAAAAAAATCAAGTTAACAATTCACTTTTTCCGTAATTCAAAAATCAAAAATATAAATAATATATCTTTTTATCAAATATTATTATTATATTCTATGAAAAATGAGGTCCGGAAATTTTGCGGATTCCCGTAACTCAATTTTACGGAAAAAGTGCAGTAAACTATTCAAAATACGGAAAAATTGGTGTAAACTAATGATTTTACGGTAAAATCACGGAAAGTCCCGGAAGAATATATGTGCCTATATGAAATTATACAAAAATGAATCAAACGCATTTTAAAAGATTGTTCTTGTATTATAAATGCTATTCGCAGATTTATTAGTTGAAGAAAATTACCAAATTTTTGCCGATTTACAAAAAATGATTTACAAAGCATATTTTTATAAGGCTTTAAAAATCTTTAAAATGTGACCGGTGACGGAAATCCATGGTAACCAACCGCGGTTCCCGTTTGGAATGCCATATTTTTACCTTATCAATATACTTCATATAATATACACATGTTCATGTAAAAACTTTTTTCCAAAATCCTCAGGAATTAAGGGATTTTTGAATTTTAAGAATTTTTTTCGAATTTTTTCGAAAAAAAAATATTTTCAGAACAGCCTTAACGGCTAAGATTTAGGAACAATGTTAAGTATCAAAAAGAAAGGAGGTCTGATATAGACAACATATATCGTTGAAGGTTGAAAAAATCTCTAATATTTGAGCCCAAAATTTCAAATTTTAATTTTTTGAAAAAAGAGGCCACCCGTATGTACGTTTATTTGAGAGGAGGAGGATTATATTTTTGAAAGGGTGAAACATTATGAATATGTTAATTATATAATAATATGTATTATTATAAAAAAGAAAAAATAAAGCACGTTAAAATTTTTCTTTCTTGATTTTTTACAAAATCTACTTAGAATTATGCAAAATATGACTAAATAATTATAAATTTCAAGTTAAATTTTAATTTTGATAAATAATTTAAATTTCAAAATATCAAGTTCGGTTCGACTATGTATGTAGTAATTCCTCAATAAAGTGCCAAAACCCTATTAAAATATATGAACATTTTCAACATTTTAATGTTTTTATTTAAAAATTTGATGGAATATGAGCTTCAAACAATTATTATGTAAATAAAAATAATTAAATATATGTATTTATTCGTATTACAACCGTAGTAAGTTGATTCTTCCTTTCTTCTACTGAGATTTGAATTTGATTTCGAATTGTAAAGAGATTCAAAGGGAAAATACTAGCGGATAAAAACTACCTCCATGAAAGGGTCATAATGGAGTCAAGTTGTATTTTTTGATATTTTTTGCTTTTCGAGCCTAAATAGGTAGCCAAGATAATGCCTAAAATAAGGTTCTAAATTCTGAAGTTTACATGATCCTCTCGTGTGCACCCTTAATTCTTCATTTTCGGCTCTTTTCTTTTCTTTTTCAATTGCATCTTTTTGCTTCTGTTCATTTAATTCTTCTATTCTTTGTTTAGCTCTTTCCATTTTTTCTTTCCTTATTTTCTCAAAGGTAACTAAACTCCTTTCGCCGATCCGATTTGCCCCATATTTAAAATATAGCTTGCATATGTAGAAGAAAAGCTAATTTTGAAGTACGCCCCAAATCCACCAACAGGATTTCGAGCTACTAAAAAGGTACTTTTAAATGTGATTTTTTTTATAAAAAATTAAATTTATTTTAAGATCAGACTAAAAACTAATTTTATGGAAAATCTATATCGACAAATTTATTACTTATTGGGTATATAGATTTTTTGATTATGGCGATTATGTCTGATATGCTTCCAATAAGCCAAAACACATTTCATACTGATTTCTATAAAAGGTATCTTTATTATAGAAGTGTAAGCTATATCTGTTTGTTTTTTTATTATAACAAATTCAAAATTCTCTTATAAGGACTAGATGAAATCTGTATTATTAAATCATTAGCTAAATGAAGGTTCAAATAGAAAGTAAATATCAATTTATATGATACTGAAACCAAATAGTTCTTTTAATAAAAGATAACACGCTGAAAATTATTGAGTATCTGCAAATCTCAAAAATCTATTGGTGAATTTGGCTCAACTTTTAAAATTATAACATCCATATCAAATCATAAAAGCAGACAAAAATTAAAGCCAAACCTATCGGCCAATTTTTTTTGATATTTTGATTTTTGAGGTATACTTTTAAAAGTGGATTTAAAGCGCTGATGAAAAAACATTAACTTCTGTCGTTATGATTATTGATTTAGACAATAATGATTTTAATCTTTGATTATCAAAACACTAAAGTCATCTTTTTAACATTTGCTTGGTAGCATTAACTCAAGTCTAAAGTACTATTTTATGTGGCACTCTTAGAATTTTTGTATTCATTGTACACGCTGAAATAGTACCATTAAAGTTATGGCGGACTTTCAAAAAATAGTTTGGTCACCTTTATTTTCTCTTCTTCCAACATTTTTTCATGTAACATTTTTGCTGTTTCATCTCTTCTCTTTTGTATTTCTTGTTGTCTTCTTTCTGCTTCGATTCTGTTCTTTTCTGCTAATTCTCTTCTTTCTCTTTCTTGTCTATCTTGTTCTTCTTGGTGTCTTTTTTGTTTCTCTTTCTCTTCTTTTCTCTTTTGTTCTGCTTGAGCTTTAAGTAATTCTCTATGTTCTTTTTCTTTTAGTTCTCTTTGTTTAAATTCTTCTGCATTCTTCTGTTGTATTAATGACTTAACAATCATCTGTTCAACTGCCTTTTTAGTCATGTTTTTAACTGCTTCTGTCGCTCTTTCTTCAGCTGCAATGTAATCTGTGTTTATCTCAATGTCTCTGGCTTCTACGTCTTCTTCTGGTTGCTCCATTAACTCTTTCCTTTTGTCTTTGACTGTTTGGATCAGTTCATCACATGTCTTCTTCATTTCATTGCGAACATACTCACGAAGGTTTTTATCATGAGTATATGTATTCAAAAGTTGATCGGTAGGATACATCAATTCGTTTGGATTGATTCCAGTCACTCTGAGAGCTTCGAGTGTCCATTTCTCCGTAAAGTTTGGTGGGTAGTTAGGGTCGAAATTTCTTATCGATGTGTTTTTAACAGGAGCGTCAGATTTTCGAGATATTGGAATAACGGTTTTCATTTTCGGATTAACTGGACGTTCCATTTGTGGCAACGTCTTTGCAGATCTATTACTATGCGATGGAGTAGGTTTTTTAGGCGATTGCCTGTTATTTGGCATTGTATTTGTCGATGAATTTGAAGTTTTAGGCTCCTTTTGTTTTTGACCGCCTTTTTGAGTAATCATGACGTTGTCATTGTTCTCGTGTTCGTCATCTGAACTTGATGAACTTGATTTATCAGATTTATCGGATTTTTCTTTGTTATTTTTACCTTTCTCCTCATTATCGGAATCAAACTCGCTTTCGTCTTTCTTTGGACTCGATTTCGCTGAAGATTTTCCGCTGCTTGATTCTTTATTGTTTTTCGACTTTTCGTCCTCATGTTCAGAATCGCTATCCTTGTTTTCTTTCTTTGGACTTTCTTTTGCTGATGATTTTTCACTTTTCGTATCTTCGTTATTTTTAGTTTTTTCATCTGCATCTTCAAAATCATCGTCATCGGCATTATTCTCTTCTTTTTTCTCATTTTCTGTATTTGATTTTTCTTCTTCTTGTTTTGGTGGTTCTTCATTATTCTTTTCTTCCGATTTTTCATCTTCAAAATCGTTATCATCATTAGTTGGTTGATTTTGTTCCGTATTGTTATTGTCATTATTTTGTTCTTGTTCTGGTTTTTCGTCTTCGAAATCATTATCGTCATTCATTGATTTTTCTTGAGGATTTTGAGAAGGATTATCATTTTCTTGTTCACCATTATTTGCACCGTTATCTTGAGGTGTTTCTTTGGGATTCTCATCAAAATCCTCGCTGAATTCACTCATAACGGATAAAATGAAAAGTGTCAACGTTTTGAAAAATATAAAGTCGACAAAATTTTCACAAATAGATGTTTTATTTCATGCATATAGAGCCTGAACTGGTCATCAATAAGGATGTATATGTTATCTGTGCATCTGATGTTTTTACATGCCATTTCAAGCCGAATTATGCAAATTTGAGTAATTTCAAGTCACGAAGTGAAAATGATGAGAAAATCGATATTCCTACGAAACTAGACAAAGCCTTATAATAAGTATGGATGTGAATTGTGAAGAAAATAATCGTCGGCATTTCAAGGGATGTTTTTCCTGTTCGCTCTCTTTGCTGCATCAGCTATGAAGCCACGTAAATCCGCTCCTGTCAACGATTGGAGCCCAATGTGCCTTTCTTGCAAGCTTGTTGTTTCAATTATCGAGAAAGAATTAAAGAGTGGAAAGAAGATCGAAGAAATCACAGAAAAGGTTGAAGCTTACTGCGCATACCTTCAGGGTGATGCTCAACAAATCTGCATAGAGATTGTTAAAGAAAAAGTTCCAGAAATCATCAAGTACATAGAAAAGGAAATGGAATCTCATGATGTTTGCAAGATCCTCGACTACTGCAAGTAAATTAAAATAAAGAATTTGATTTAGATTCGGTTTACTATGCATACATTTTTTATAAAATAAACACATTTTACAAATACAAATGCTAGATTACTTTCCTATGTTTACTTATATCCAAAAAGAAAGATGTGCACAATTAATTCATAGTTCGATAGTTGATTTTTTTAGAAAAAAAATTAATATAGAATTAAAAGTATTATGTTTTCAGCAAACATATTCTACAAAATAATTTATGATTGGGTAAGACCAACCGATTAAACTTGGCTCTAAATAAAATAATATTTCTCTAATATATTCACCTCATCATAAATGAATTTTACTTAAAGTATTATTTGAAAGGTAAAGATGAATTGTCTCAAGTTTGTAAAAAGATATTTATAAGAATAAAATTTTTATCACAAAAATAATAAAAGTAACAAAAGAATTGTAACAAAGTATGTTCTATATAAGCTAACAAACTCTTATGAAAATGAAATAAGAGCTGTATTATCTGCATAATCCTGCATATTATTATAACATTTTGCATCGTTAGTTTCCAATGTATCTGGGTCAAGGAGTTCTAAGGCAAAATTCACAACGCTCTTCCAATCAGGTGTAATGGCTTTCAGACCTTCTAATGCAGTAATTCCTTGATCTGAGCCTAATATACGAATTATTCCAAATGGATTCAAATATGCTGCTGCTTGAATACCCAATATTTCGAAGTCAACGTTTTCGCAACCTTTTCCATTGAAACTTATAAGAGGAGCACATAATGGTGCAGCAACATCAGCACAAAGCCTGCGAATCTGCTGCCAGTTCTTAGGAGGAATAGAAAATCTCTCGATAATACTTGTAATGAGTTTTCTGAAAGTATTTGAATTCGGATTGTTGTAAAAATCTGAAACAGCACGGATTTTAGTCCTTGTGCATTGTAAAAAGTCTTCGAATAATGTAGCTTGCTGGTCTTCATCAGCAGCCAAGCAAGTAGCGAGAAGATTTGATAAAGGATTTTCTGGAGTTTCTGTATATTTATATTTCAATGCATTAATTGCATTAATGTAATACTTCTGTTTGGCTTCGCATAGGGATAATCTAGTGACATATTGAATGCTATTTGGATCTAGAGATGCGATCATATCATTTCCAAGATCTAATCTGGAAAAATCAACCATAGGAATGTAAAACGGTGGAATTACGTCTTTTGAAGCAAGTAAAGATGCTGAATGTGCTACAGACTCTTTTAATTTCTTTGTGTAGTCAATACAGTTACGAGAGATCGATTTTCTGAGTTCCAGTATCATATCCTCTAAAGCGAGAACAATTCTCCAGTTATCCTGTATTCTCTGAATCTGTTTGAATTCTGGACAAGGATGTTGAATGTCAGACTTGATACCAGAACTTCCCTCATTAATGAATTTTTCGAATTGCATCACAAGTTTGACTGCTAAATACATTTGCAGTTGAATAAGTTGATCTCGGAGCTGTAAATCACCAGGAAGCATTCTATTGTCTATTAATCGAAAGTATAGTGCATCGTTCACGATAGGATGTGTTTGTAACCATAAGCAAAGCTTTGGCATTTGGTGCGCAATATTTGGATTATTAAGTATGCTTTGAACAGAAACTTTAGGCATTTCATTAAGTCTAGGATCATCAAGAGATACTGTTGGAATGTCTGGCTTCTTTTCAACTTCGAGAATTTTCTTTAGAAGAAACATAATTTATTCAAAAAAATTTTCTGCTCAAAAATAATTTTTGTATCTAACTTTATAAAATAAATCGTGAATTTTATATCCGATGATATATAACATATAAAATTTTACATAATCCAATAGAGATTTTTAGAATTTACCTTAAATCAGATTTGAAAATCTTTAATTTTATCGTAAGCATATAAATTATGAGAAATTTAGATTATTTTCTTAAAAATAGCCTGTCCAGCTCTTAAATTTCTATGAAAAATATCAAAAATTATTTGAAAAATTAAAATTTATTGTAAATCTTATAATTTTTTTTATTGAATTTCATATTTTAATAAAATTTTTGAAAAATATTCGTCACCGGGATTTAGATATAGTTTATGAGTCATGAATTATTTTTAGGTTAAAATTGAGAATGCATAATTACAATTTTTATTCTAAAATTTGGATCAGAAAATAATATAATATTTAAACATCTCGAAAATTCGAGAAACTTTTTACATGAACAAACAATACAAACAGAATTTTGAGAAATTGGATAATTTCTCAGCATAAATTTTCTAGTATTACTATTTACCAGAATCGGGGCAATTCTGTTTTAGATAAGGTTGATGTTAATGGAATTACGGTGTGGTTATTAACATCTTTCTTAATTAATATATCTTGAACTCTTGTTTTAATCATCTTTGGTCTAAGTTCTGCTTTAGCAAACTGTAGGTCACGTAGTCTTAATGATTCTTGGCGTATTTGCCCATTAGATATGAAATCAACTTTATGTCCTACTCTTTCTTTTGAATTCATCACTGCAATGTCGAGCATCTCCTTAACTTGTTGCGGTTTCTTAAAGTATATCTCGAAATCATTTGCCCCACGGATGGCAATAATTAAATCTTTGGGATTAATGTCCTGTAGCTGTATGCTTAATCTTTTATCTAACAGTTTGCCATTGTAAAGGTAATTCAAATCACCACTATTTACAGTGGGAAACAATTTATCGAAGATTGAAACATTGGAATTTTTAGTTACTACGACTGCTTTGACTGAGTTATCCATCATACCTAAGTATAATGGAATCTTGCAGTCGTCTGGAAGACTGCACATTTGACTATTCGTCCAAATCATAAGTGAACCAGAAATTTCCGATCGTTTTTTGACTATCTCTCAATTTTATATGAAAAGATTTTATTTCAAGAAATGCATATAGCTTTCAGACGAATCTAAAATTATTAACGAAAAAAATAATCGATGATTGGCTTTCAAAAATTTAAGGGAAATGTGTCACTTTTCAATGTTTGGCCGGATACCAAACCTCATGATCGAAAACCAACAATTATCAAAATTGATGTTTATTATAAGGTGATTAAAATTCTAAAATATTTTATCCATTTTCCAAAAGTTAGAAAAAAGTTTAAATTTTGGCTTAATTCACTGGATTTATAATTAATTATGCCTTTAACTTAAAAGTCAACAACCTATTTTTCATGTCGGCAGACAATTTTAAATGTAATCAAACTTTCGTTACTATTGCTTTCAATTTTTTTACCGTTTTTGATTATCTTGAATTCACTTTTTTAATTTCTTTGCTTGAATATTATCTTTAACCAATTTAACACCATTAATTAGAAGCGATATAGTTTTATTGGAATTACTAGGGATGCGTTAAACACGCCATTTGACCGGGCGTACATTTTTTTTTTGTTCGCCCAAAAATTTCGCCATTTGAGAAATTCAAAAATTAAAAATAAAATTTTAATCTTGATTTTTTTATTTTCGTGATTTTTTTGAAACTTACATAAGCGATGAAATACTTTTTTTTTAAGTAATCGTTTATTATATATAAGGGTTTCGTTTTGCGAAAAAAACGTACAATACGCAATTTCGCTAAAAAAACATTTAGCTAGCAATTTCGACCTTTGACTCCACTCAAGACGTCACTTTTTTAATTTTGCGGTATCATATTTTTGGAAAATCTTTATGAATATTATATAAAAAGTCTCTTTAATATCTATATTTCATATTTTTATCGATTTTTAAAGTTTTTGCGAAAAGTATTCAATTATTTTTGCTATTTGGTCGGGTAAATGTCAGATTTGCGACATTTTCTGATATGATATTCAGATTCTACGTTGATAATAATGCTTATAGAACCCTCTTGCTATTGTGTCAAAATTGCGAAACCGATAGCAAAAATATCTCGCAATATCAAAATTGAGATATTGAGTGAATTATGCATTATAGAGATTAAAAATCTGATTTGTGAAAACATCTCATCAGTTTCTAGCTAATTCAAAAATCTTTACTATCTTATTCGATTAAAATGAAAAGGGAATAGTTTCATTATGCTTTAAATGACAGCCTTATGATATAATCATAGTTTTCGCTCAATATGCAGCTTTTTTTTTCGAAATCTATGGTCAATATCCTAAATATTGATTGCTTTGCATTCATATCTCTTACATTTTCTATACCCACATCACTATTCATTGCTATTCCTATCTTTTTCATTTTTGTTTGTTTCTCATAATTTCTCAAAAAACACGATAACTTGATATTTGTAAATATCATACTTTATAACGTAAATAAGAACTTGACCTATTAAGAAAAGCAGTAATGAAAAGAAAATCTGAAATTCATAAAAATTACAAGTTTCTGATGACAATTAGCTTAATTAAACCAGGTACAAGATTATATAATTGTATTTTCTATCCAATTATCCATATAATATCTTATCCAGAAAAAATAACTTGATCAATACCAAATGATTTTTTAACTAGTAAATAAAGTATTTTCTTTACACACACATTGTATATCATAGTTTTTTTTTGGTTTCGCAAAACATCCAAAAACAAATATGCTATAAAAGTGACAATTTTAGCAAAATGAAACCCTTATTATATATAAATATATCTTAATAAATTTAATTCCTTAAGGTAGAGCGTGTTCAAATTTAAAATCTCATACAATATTTTCTTAATGGCGTATTTTTCTGAGGTCGCCCAAATAAAGGCGAATTCAAAATTGAGAACTCCAAGGCGTATGGCGAGTATTCAAAAAGTACGCCACTTACAAAATATTGAATGTGGATTATCAATTTTTTGGCGTGTTCAATTTCAAATTTTGATATTTATGTTTATTTTATTCAGTATAATGCTAAGAATTAAAATATAAAATTCATAGAATTTTTTCTTTGAAAATATTTTACATTTTTATTAGACCACTCCTAGACTAGTCATCAGGTTATCCTCAGATCATCCTCAGACTACTCCTTATCAGATTACTCATCATCCTCAGACTACTCCTTAGACCCCTCCTCATCAGACTACTCCTCAGATCTTCCTCATAAGACTCCTCCTCAGATCTTCCTCCTGAGACTACTCTTCAGACTACTCCTTAGAGTCCTCCTCATCAGACTAGTCCTGAGACTAGTCCTCAGACTACTCCTGAAACTACTCCTCAGATTATCCTCAAACTACTCCTCAGTCTAATCCTCAGACTCCTCCTCAGATTATCCTCAAACTACTCCTCGGTCTAATCCTCAGACTCCTCCTCAGATTATGCTCAGATTATCCTCAAACTCCTCAGATTATCCTCAGACTACTCCTCAAACTCCTCAGTCTAATCCTCAGACTCCTCCTCAGATTATCCTCAAACTCCTCAGACTACTCCTCAAACTACTCCTCAGTCTAATCCTCAGACTCCTCCTCAGATTATCCTCAAACTCCTCAGATTATCCTCAAACTCCTCAGACTCCTCCTCAGATTATCCTCAGATTATCACTTTACATATATATATATCGATAACTAAATAATTACTTATTATACTTTATTTATTTTTTTTTATTTTAAAATAATATTAATATATCTTTCTACGTTTAATGATGAAAAGAGAAAGAGGAGTAAAAAGAGGAAAGAGAAAAGAAAGAGAGAGAGAAAAAAAAAAGAAAGAAAAAAAAAGGACGGCGATAATTTTGTATTGTTTTGTTATTCGGCCGAATGGCGGCTACTTCGTACCCGCCATTCGGCCCCAAAAATGGCGTATTATTCTATTTTTAAACGGTCATGGCGTAAAACCGTCGCATCCCTAGGAATTACTATTTATCTTATAAAAAAACCGTTTTAATAATTTTTTTATATGCTTGTTTGATTGTATTGCTCTGCAAGTAAGGAGATATGCCTTATGAGAAATATATAATACTAATCAGGTTTCGAAAAAGTAAATGTTTGGAAAATATATTAATAAAAATTTGGCTATTTGGTATATCTAATTACATTTCTTTAATATACATGCGTAACACACTTATATTTCCAATTTGATTTGAGTTTGGAAACATTTCCAAAAAGACGTTAAGCATCAAATGAGTGAATTACAGAGCCGAATCCGTCATATTAAGAATAGAATTTATGATCTTGATTCAGATTGTTCGGGGTTTGGCAACGAGTGTGATTTTCTTAGTGATTTTAGTGATTTTTCGTCACTTCCGTTCATTCAATTAGAAAAAATCGAGATTCCTGAAGATAGCACAAGCTTTGAAGATGAAATATCTGAAATAAAACAAAAGACAACAAACAATTTGAAAAATTCGAATTGCATTACAAATGAAAATAGCGATATTATCACAATACCACCACCTCCTATAAACTACGCACCAATTTGTGGAAAACCTATCAAGGCAAAGAATATTTTATCGCCAGATCTATCAAAATACAAAAATGCAACAATTTATATTTTAAAAGGTCGCAATTTTCCAAAAATGAAGAGCGGAGTACATTCTACATATGTAACCTTTCAATTCCATCCATCATTAGATGTAATTGCCTCTCCCGTTTGCTATAATCATTCAAGAGAGGCAGACTATCATTCAGGCTATACAATTGACATTTCAAAGGTAAATATCGAAGATGCATTTCCTGTCTTGGAAGTTTATGATGTAATATCCCAGAAACATGGAAATTTAATTGGGTTTACAGTAATTGAACTCCAGCATTGTCAGCAAACTGATAATTACATTACAGTCTTAAAAGATCAATGGATTGATGTTTTTGTACCTCATTCCAGGAAGAAATCAGGTTCCATTTTAGTTTCTTTATTCCTTCACAACGGGAAGATCAATTATGCACCAAAAGCATCAAGAAATGCAGTATCATTTAGAATACATTCAAATGATATAAGCGATATCGAACATAATTCAACTAAACAAAAAATTAATAATGATGATAAAGTTAAAAATGAAGAAAATATTGAAAACAGCTTAAATTCATCCATGATTCCTACAAAAGAAAATGATGATAATAACCAAATTGATAAAGCCACACAAAAAACTCAGAATCAATCAATAAATACAGTAATCGCCGATAGTAAACCAATTGTTCAACCAAAAGCCACTAGTAATAACCAAAATGATAAATATGATAATAAAAATATTCCAAAATTAAAATCAGATTTTAATTTTGATATAGATGATCCGGACCTACTCAGACTCTTAACCTTAGATGTGACTCATAAATACAGTTGGTCTTCAACCCGAAACCTGAAAAGACATATCAGGTATCTCGATGAAAATGATATTGATCTAACTTGCGATTTAAGGAAATTTGAAGCAGAAACACAAACAGACAATAGCGTTAAGCAAAAGACAACTCAAACTAAATCTCCTAATGCTGAATCATCAGAAAATACGATCGATAGTTCAACGAGTGAGGAATTTAAGCCAAAGAAGCTGGTTCCAACAGATTATGAAGCACCATTAGAAGTTAATAGCTCTGACGCTATTCCGGTCAACCTTTTTCATTCTAGCGATGTATTTGTTCAATATTCTGATTACGGATTCTATTCCAGAAAGAATCATAAATAAAATTGTTTTGTATCTTATTTTCAATAAGCCATTTTATTTCTATTCAAATGTTTTAATATAATCTTCGATTATTAAATTTCTCAACTTATTTCAAGCTTTTCTATCAAATTAATAAATTTAAATATATACATACATATCAAACTATTTAATTACAAACAAACATAATATATTATTTTGACATTCTACGCTTAAATATCAAATTATTACAATTTTTGAACATTGAATCGGAAAACATCTTCGCTTCAGGCTTAATTATGATTGCATTGTGGCTTCTTACATTAACTCTGTTGTTCTTCTGGAGCTTAATTCCAGCAGAAAGAGTATCAAAATATTCCATTTGGAGGAGTTCATCGATTGATGGACGATTATTAGGGTTCAGGTTCAGGCACTTAACGACCATGTTCCTGAGATTTCTATCATGGATCTTGTACTTTGCCAACTGATTTTCATTAATCGCATTTAGCATTGTTGTTCTGTCCTTGCCCATATATGGGTAGCACCTTGCATACATGTAATAGAATGTAACGCCAAGGGACCAAATGTCTGCCTTCTTCGGATTGTATTCTTTCCTTTCTAAAACTTCAGGGGCCATAAAGTAGAGTGTTCCTTTATGTTCGGAAGTATTTTCATCCTGATTAAACTGGCAGGAAAGGCCAAAATCACACACCTTAACGCGTCCCTGCTTATCTAATAAAAAATTGGATGGCTTGATATCAAGATGAGCGATATTTCTGTCGTGGCAAGCTTTAATAGCGAGTAACATTCCATGAATATATTTTTGTAAGAGTTCTGGGCTAATTTCAACTTGATCAATAATAAATTGATTGAGATCTTCTTGACAGAACTCCATAAGCATGTAGACATATCCTTGAAACCTGAAACACTGATAAAGGTTAATTGTTAGTGGATTATTAATAGAAATTAAGCAGTTAATTTCGTTGGGATTAAAATGTTTTTGCTGAATCTTTTTTAATGCAAAGTAATCGTCATAATTCTTGGAATAAACATAATAGATAATACCATAGCCGCCTTTTGCAATGGTATCAACATAGTATATGCCCTGCTTTTCAAAGAATTCTTGCTCATTACTGTCCATAAATCTTTGCAAAAAATGAATAAAATTTGAATAGTATTGAATAATTTTACATGAGAATATAGTTTTGATAATAACATGATTTGGAATGCTTTTAAAAATTACGCTTCTTCACAATTTTAAAAAATTTCAATGAATAGAAAATTTCTATGTGTATTTTCTGAGGATGGAAATTTGAATAAAATCAAAATTTAACCAAAAACAATTGAGTTTAATTGAAAATTTAATGGCAGCATTTAAATCTTTATCGTTAGTGAATTTGAACGACATTCAAAATAGTTTATTGGCCTAATATATCAATATATGTCATTACATCATATTTTTTATAGTAGGTCACACGTTTTGATAAGTTTTATGCATTCAAAACATGTCATACGTTTTCATAAAAAAATTGAAAAGGAGTTTGCTAGAATTTTTGTCAGTTCAAAATTATGTGTGGTCACAATGTACAAATGCAAAATAACTGCATTATCTAGCTAAAAATTTAAAATCCAATGAAAGTATTGAATTCAAAGAGGTATTGTTCTTATCCAGCTCATAATATGCCTGATAATTAATGCTATATCAAAATATTGAATACTTAATGTAAAATTGATTTTTATTTATAATCTGTTCTTTTTAATCGCCTTTCTTCCTATTTCAAATATCTAATGATTGGTCAATTAACATTTATTGAGAAGATAATAAAATTCAACTTCATTCATTTTTACATTTCTTTTCAAAATCGATTACAGAAAAATTACTGTTTTCTAGCTTATAAGATTAATCATAACTACATACAATTGAATTTCAATATTGTCATTAAATTTCAAAGTTCATTCAAATCAAAATCTTCACTGACCAAAATAGCGAATTATATATCTTTCATGAAATATGTTGATTCCTCCAAAATTCATAATATTAATGCATTCATTTTTTTTTATCACAAAATATTAAAATCAAGACTTATTAGCATCAAAATAATCTTTTTTACATGTAATAGATCCTATTTATTTAGTTACTCCGTTCTTATTTTTCAAAAATGGGTTATAATCTTCATAAATCATATGATTTCATGTGGTAAATAATACATAACATCTTGTTAACATGTTTCACGGTAAAAATAAGACTACTCTAAAATGTTGAAAACAAATCTCTTTTATTGCGTTCATTATTTGTCATAAAATTTAGCTGTTTCAACTGTTAATATGATATTATAACAAAAATTAACAATTATAAAAGAAATTCAAATATATTCTAAAATTTTATTTACTTAGAGTGCTCACTCTTGATTGTCTTAACAGCATTAACCAAACGTGTGCAACCCTCGATAAGCTTACTCTCCTCATGAGAGAAGCAAAGTCTGAACCAACCTGGATACTTATATCTAAAGCCATTTGCGCCAGGTAATATATGGATATTGAATCTATCAATTAAGTCTAACCAAAGTTTCTTCTCTTCTTCAGCTGTTGGAGCAATATCTGTTAAATCGAGCATTAGGAACAAAGAAGCTGGTGCCTTCTTGAATTTGATGCCACCTTCTGTAAGAAGCTTCATTGCTGTCTCTTCGGCCTTGATAAGTCTTTCCTTGCCAACTTCGATCATCTTATCACGAAGTTCGTAGTTGCAGAAGAGCTTTTCGAGGTATTGCTTTGTATCACTTGGAAGAGAGAATCCATTGCATGCTTCGCTAACTGCATTGAAAACTTCTTTATTACGAGAATAGAAGAAACCAACGTGGAAACCAGCCATACCCCAATCCTTTGAGATACCGTAGAGATGGTGGATACGCATTGGATCGGCTGCTGGGTGTTCCATCATTGAAACAAACTTGCTTCTGTCGCGAACACTGAGGCCATAAACTTCATCAGTGAAAACGTGAAGAAGTGGGTTCTTGTTGGCCCAAGCAAGGAGCTTGTCTTGGTTTGGAACAACTTCGCCGATTGGGTTTCCTGGATTTGTCAATAATAAAACTCTTGCATCGGCTGGTGGTTCATCTGGAAGGTTATCAAGCTCAATGTACTGAACCTTAGCACCAGAAGACCACATATCTGGCTCGAAGCAGCCATAGCATGGCTTTGGAATTAAAATGATTTCTCCTGGTTCACAGAATGCTAAAGAAATCATTTCAACGAGATAAGCAATGCCACTACCAACAAGGATATGATCTGGGTTGACATTCTTCATGCCGAAATGTGTTTCATATAAGTTTGCAATGGCTTTCTTGAGATTTGTCTTAACATAAGAGCCGGAATATGTATAATCCCACTCCTTGAATTCTGGACGGCTTCTCATAAGTGGCAATAAAAAGTCATTGAGAAGATGATTTTCAGCTGTGCCAAGATTGATGACTTGTGGATTGTGTGCACACTTCTGGGCACCAAGCTCAAGTTCGGAACATGGCTTATTGAGAATACGCTTGATGAATGCTGTTGGTTTATAGGACATCAACAAGAAATGAAGTAAAAAAATTTTACAATCACAAAATTTTATCTGGCCAACAATTAAAAAATCATAACTTCGAATTATACTCATATGGGCCTTAGTAAATCTTATAAATAAAACGAAAAATAATTTTTTTCTCGAAAAAATAAATGAGATAATAACGAATCGTTATTATAATATTGAAGAATAGAGAATCAGCTATCATATCCAAGAGTTTTGACCATTTTTACCAAATCTAAGAAACATTACAATTTCTTCTTCAAAAATAGTCAAGCTACCCATTGAAAATTTCTTACAAATTTTGGATAGCAAAATTGTTCTTGCTTCATTTAGTTGCATGCATGCACATAACATACAAACATGCTATCTTTTGAACCATAGCAGGATTCAATCATGAATAAATTTCCATTGATTTATAATGGTGATAAATTGAAACATTACTATTGGAATTAGACAAACTATCGTCATGCCCACAAATACAATGATCAACCAATCTATTTGATACTCATTCATAGAATTAATCTCCAAATTTCCTTCACATCTTCATATCTAAGGAAAATGTAAACATCCAAAGCATTTCAACAGCATCTATAATCCATTATATCTCCTAAACGCTTAATAAATAGTCTAATTAAACAAATATTTCGATATGTTCTTCAAAAGAAAATAGGCATAAAAAATAGAATATATTAAAAGAAATCTTTATAATCTAAATAGAAAATTATTACTTTTGTCTAATAACAATCTCGGCTTTGCAGTCCATGACTGCATGGTTATGATCAATTTCGCCAACTGAATCGCAAACAATCTTTCCTGACTTAGGATTACGGATTGATAAGATATGACCCTTAATATCAGCATCAATATTTTCAGAATACTCGAAGGACCAGTTTGTGCCTTCCATTGTACAGTTAATGAGCTTTAAGTTCTTACAATAGCAGAATGGCTGTACACCTTCGATCTTACAGTTAATAAATGTGACATTATTAGAGAACCATGCAATATATTCGCCACGAAGAACAGAATCTCTGACAACAATGTCATTAGCATGCCAGAAAGCATCCTTTGTAACAACATCGATATTCTTAAGTTCTGCGTGGTTTACATACTGGAAAATGTACTTTCCATTGGAAAGTAAGCCATCAGCTTCAATATTGCTTCCATGCATGAGTAAATAATCGCATGTCATCTTTGTATTCTTAATCTTGATATTTCTTGATTCCCAACCACACTCATGAGAAACAACTTCACAGTTTTCCCACTCGATGTGATCACATTCACGCATGATTTTGATACTGTTGATCTTGCAATTCAAGAGTTTGCCGTGATTTGAGTACCACATTGGTGCTCTTGTAAGCTCGTCCATTTTAACATTCTCAAGAGTGAAATTTGTTGAGTGCCATAATGGATAACGCAATGAGAAGCTGCAATCCTTGAGATGGATATTATGTGTTTCCTTCAAAGCAGATTCACCATCTGCTGGACCTGCAAATGTACAGTTAACAACATTTGCATCATGAAGGTTGTATAATGCACGTTCCTCGTCAAATGTCTTTCCTTCTACAGTGGATAACATTTTGATAATGATTCTTTTGTGAACCCTTTCAAATAATTGTATCAGTTTTATCGCTCAAAATTTTAGACAAATAAACTAAATAAATAGTGGTCTATTCTTACCAAGATTCTTGATTTATTACCGATTCGTTTTATTATCGATTTATTTTTATCCTTTTGTGAAGATTGGTCATATCATATCGGTTTTTCTCAATTTATCACTTTGAATAGATTTATAAGATCGAATGCAATAACATATTCTTTTGAAATAGTTGAGAAATAATCCAATTGATATGATAAATAAAAGCATTCAAAGCTCATATGAGTTTTCGCTTGCACAGATGGAGGTATGTTTGATTATAACTGGAAGTTTTCTAAGAATCAACTTTCAAATCTAAATTTATCATTTGAGCCAGTATATAGCCATATTTCGTTCCAACCATTGTTCTTATGATTTATATGCATAATGATGCATTTTGGGCCTTTTCATTTCAATTTTATTTAATTAAATGATAGTAAGATATACATACGTAAAATATCCATGAGCGAAAATAAAAAATATGCGTATTCACAGATGGTATTTCTCGTATTTTAGATTTTCTTTTGTAAATATTGCTTAGATCAGAAAATAATTGTGGTATTTAACAAAACTATGACACGCATTTGAATATTAAGTTGAAAGCATTCTCAGTCGCATAAAATCCGAGTATATAAACTACTTTGTCACTTTTTATAGAAGTTCTCTGACTTCTGATAAATATGATGAAAGAGGTATTGAATATAATGACCCATCGAAAACAGTTCTAGTCAGATGTCCAGACGGGTTAAGTGGCGAAATTGAGATCCTTCAAAGTGTTAAAATTATTAAAGGTGGCGAAAATGATGTTAATAGCCCATTCTATGCCTGTAGAGGATCAATCACATCACTTAAATTTGCTGCTCTTAGTAAATGCGAAAGTATTTGCAGTTTTTGCTTTGCCTCATCAAATCTTGTTTCTGCTGATCTTAGACAGTGTCAAAATCTTCCTTTTCTAAATTATTCCGTATTCACACAGTGCAAGAGTTTAACGACATTCTATTTTCCTCCCAATATCAAAGAAGTAAAAGCAGGATGCTTTTGTAACGATTTTAAATTAGAAGTCATAAATCTCCCAGATTCTGTTGAAATTATCGATGGATGGGTTGATGGACACAACTGGGCATTTGCTGATACAGCTGCTACTGCCTTCAACATTAATCCTACTTCCAATTTGACTACGTTGAGACTTGAATGTTTTGCTGGAATTCGATGCTCGAGTATTTTTCTCCCTAAAAAAGTAAATAGCATTTCAAGTGGTATTTTCATTTATACCTTTATCGCAAGTATTTCGATTGATAAAGATAACCAAGTATATAGGACTGATGGCACATCGATTTATTCCGGAGATAACAATAATACATTAGTTGTTGTAGCAAGAAAAATTTCAGGCGAATATGTTGTTCCTCAATATGTAACTTCTATATATGATGGATGTTTTAGATCTTGTGAAGTTTCATCCATTATATTGCATGATGAAATAAGTTCCATTGGAACTTGGGCTTTTACTGATACGAAAATAACATCAATGAAAATACCTGAAAAAGTTACAGTAATTAATAAAAATTGTTTTGACAGTTGCCAATCCCTTAAATATGTGAATCTGTCAAGTAAAACAACATCTATTGGATACATGGCTTTCTATAATTGCATTAATCTTGAAGAATTGAAGATTCCTGCGACATTGACTGATGTTTCCACTTCTGTCTTTTATAACTGCATGAAACTGAAATTAGATGTAAAAGACAATATACATATTGGTTATGCAGACAATATGCTGCTTACTAATCAAAGGAAGTCTTTATCCGATTACTTTGGTAATGATCCAAACAAAGATCTGGTAATTCCAGATGGCGTGGAAACTGTTGGCTATTCAATATTTAAAGAAAAACAATTAAGATCTGTATTATTTAATGGTCGAACTCTGACTTCAATTTCTCCATCGGCATTCTATAAATGTACATTAGAGAGTGTCACTCTTTCAGCAAACTTAAATTTCATTGGAAAAAGGTGCTTCCAAGAATGTCCAAATCTGAAAAGAGTCGAGTTTTCAAATAATCAAGTACTCACAGCTATTCCTAAGTACTGTTTCTATAATTGCCCTCAATTAACTAATATCGTATTACCATCTTCAATAACAACTATAAATGAGTATGCTTTTGGAAGCTGTCCTAATATAAATGAAATCGGATTGTCTGCTACACAAATTCAAACAATTGGTACTTTTGCTTTTGCTGATAGCAGTATTGCTAATTGTGACAATGGAAAGAACTTGCTGTCATTAGATTATGGTGCATTTATTAACAGCAAAGTACAATCAGTAACTATTAGTACTAGATCTATTTCCGAAAAATGTTTCTATAATTGCTTTTATCTTACATCTGTTACCTTGGACAATAATATTGATTCAATTGAAGCTTCTGCATTTGAGGGGTGTTTGTTATTGCGAGAATTTGTTATTCCAAGCAGTTTAACAGTGATTAAATCTTTTGCATTTAGAAGTTGTGAATCTTTATACAAAGTTTCCCTTTCATTGAACAGTGTTCTCTCCGAAATTTATGGTGGAGCATTCATTAGATGCCCTTTACTTGTATCAATAAAACTAGACCAAAGTGATTCATCATATAGATTTTCCAATGGCGCTTTGACAAATCATGAAGAAACAAAATTAATAACATTCCTTCCATCAAGTCCAATTGATACATATGTTGTTCCAATGACAACGACATCAATTGGAAACTATGCATTTATGTCATGCACACATTTAGTTAGAATTCTTTTTAGCGGAAATAATATTCAATCAATTGGTCGAGAGTCATTCAAGGATTGCTCGAAATTAGCATTTCTATTCATAACAAGTACAAGTTTGTCAACAATTGGGGATTGTGCTTTCGATAATTCGCCATTACTCAGAAAATGCGGTGCAGTTCGTTGTGATTCTTCAAAAACAGATCTATTTATTCAAAGAAATATCCCTGAAATTTCATTTAGAATGAATTGCAGCAATACTCAAATTACTTGCTTGCAACAGCCAGTTTCATCTACCCATGTTTCCATTTTATTAATATCACCTTTTATTCTCATGTAAAAAATTAAAAATATTAACATGAATAAATGATTTCAATTATTTTCTAATCTAATTATGATTTTGTTAAACTGCCGTTCAAGTTTTTCAGGGAATCTCAATTCCTTGTAATACTTCTTGACATTTTTAACATATTCACGACCTTTTTCACTGAGTTTTGTTTTATCTTTAATAGCATTAATAACTTCTTCTTCAGAAGATACATCATATATGTCTTCATCAGGGAGAATATTTTCTTCTGATGTCAATATTTTATAAGCTTTAGAATGCAATCTAGGCGTTTCGTATGTTATTTTCATTTTATTAAATACAGCAGTCTCAAAAGCAAATGTAATTTTATGTGGCCGATCTTCATTTTTAATTTCAATTTCTATTTCTTTTGTTTCTTCTTTCTTTTCCCATTTATTTTCTTTCTTTGGAGTACTAAATTCTGAAACTTTGATTTTAATTCCTTCTTTAGTAGGATGAGGTTTCATCTCAGGAAGTTTTTGAACTGGTTTGAATGGTTTTGGTTGTTGTTTTGAAGTAAATGCGAACTTTGGCATTTGATTTTGATCTTTTTCTATTGGTTCATTAATTTCTTCTACTGGTGGAATTGATTCTTCTTGTTTTTGGGGTTGTTCAAATGATTTATTTTGCTCAGAAATGGTTTCAACACCAAAAACTCTTGCAATCCAGTCAACAATACCTGGAGAATCAGCAAAGTCATTGAAATCAAAACCAAGATTTTTAAGATATATAGACATTTGGCATCTTCCATCTAGTGTTCCCTCTGATTTAATTTTCACATTCAAAGATTTCATATGATCGAGATCCATACTTCTAAACATATTAACAACTGTAGAATAATCTTCAACAGATATTGGTCTATAATATAATCCGCGATTTCTTAAGAATTCTGAGTATTTTCTGGCTTCTTCCTCAGGATTTTCAACTTCATGATCCTCTGATATAATGTCTGAAGGGTTTCTAAAGAAGTCGTTGAAATCAAAACCATGTTCTTTAAGATACCTAGCAAGTTGGCATCTTCCATCGAGCGTTCCATCTCCCTTGAACAAAACTTTCAATGTTGGCAGTTCATTGGGATCCATACTGTTGAACTTTTCAATCGAATCAACAGAAGCATTAGATCTGTAATTAATTTGATTTGCTTCCAAAAATTCTTGAACTCTTTTGGCTCTCGAAAAATCTGGAGATCCTGTCATTTCTTGTCTGGGTGTTTGCTGAAATGTGGGCTGCTGATAAGTAGGTTGCTGAAAATCTGGTGCATATTGCTGTCTGTAATTATTTTGACGTGGTTCCCTGAAATCATTAAAATCAAGACCACATTGTTTTACGTATCTTGCTGCTTAGCACCTTCCATCAAGAGTTCCATCGCCCTTAAATATTCTATTTAATGAATACAGATGGTTCATATTGACTCGGGCCAAATCAGCCGGATTTCCAGTAAACTCCATTTAAAAAATGTTTTGAAAAATAAAAGTGATTGAATTGAAAATTTGACTTCTGAAATTAACAATCTAATAATCTTATCTAGTTGATTTAACAATTCTAAAATTAAAATTCAGAAGGTCAATTGACTCTCAAAAATTGAGAACTCTGTCAATTTTGTTTACCATGAAAATACTTTTCTCTTTGATATTTCTAGGCATCAATTAAATAAAATTAAATTCTTTTATTGTGAATCATATTTTTATATGAGAGAATAATATATTTGGATTCAATATCTATTAAAATAAAAACAAAACAAAATTAATTACTTTGAGAGGAAGGTACTTGGCTATCTTCAAGCTTTTTGATGACTCTACTAAATTGAAGTTCAATTTTCTTTGGAAAATTAACTTCTTTGTAGTGTTGCTTAATATTTCTAAAATATTCAAGTCCTTCTTTACTAAGTTTATTTCCCTCAATAATACACTTAATAACTTCATCTTCTCCATTGAGACTGTATTTTTCTGAATCAGAAAGTCTGTTTTCTTCTGAATCTAATATTTTATGAATTTTTGTTTGTAATTTCGGTGTTTCATAAGTAACTTGCATTGTATTGAAAACAGCAAAAGCAAATTTTTTTGTTATCTTTTGTGGAAAATTTTCGACTTTCTTTTCAATTTGGATTTCTTTGACTTCTCCTTTCTTTTCCCACTTATTGTCTTTTATAGAAGTGCTTGATTCTGAAACACTGTGTTGAGCTCCTTCGCTAGCTGATGATTGTTTGAATAATGATGGTTTTTGTGTGTGAAGATTCGATTGAAATGGTAATTTCGATGTTTTTGGGAGTTCTTTTGCTTGGACTGACATTTTTAATGCTGAATTAGTTTGGCTATTTAATGTTGGCTTTAATGATAATTTTTGGTGTTGTGATTGATTTGCTTCAGCTTCAAATATTTCTTCAAACATGTCTGTCGTTCCTGGTTTATCAGAAAAATCATCAAAATCAAATCCAATATCCTTAAAATATTTTGCCAATTGGGTTCTTCCATCAAGAGTTCCATCTTTTGTAAAATCTATATTCAAAGTTTTCATATGATTTTTATCTAATCTTCTGAACATCTTAACAGCTTCTAATTTATTTACAGTACGCATTGGCCTATAGTACATACCAAATTCTTTCAATAATTCTCTATATTTTGCTGCTTCCTCATGCGAATTTTGGGAATCTTGCTCTTGATCATTGAGTATAGGATTATCTGGTAATTGTGATTGATTCGTTTCATTTTGAGATGTTACGGCTTGCCTTCCATTAATGTCCATTCTATGACTTAGAGTACTTCTAGCTGAATGAAAATTTATTCAATGGTGCGTCACGCCGATAAAAGAGAACTCTAAAAATTTGACTTATCAATCAAATTCCATAATTTTAGTATGATTATAGTAACCAAATCGCAATAAAGGTACTTAGTTGAGAAAAAGAAAGCATTTTAAATGAATTGTCCTTAAGAAATAGGTTTTAATCTAAAATTAAACATGTTAACTGGTTCTTTGTGGACTAGGTACCAGGATTATATTAAACAATGGCAAAGTTCTTCTAAATATATTATTAAATTCAGAAGATCTCTGCCCTATTAGATTAATTACACAATTCTATGTCTTTTTGGAACCAAAAAAGAGTAGTAAGAGTATTTTAAAGTAATGTTCATTGCGAAATCTCTCATCAAATGAGAGACTATTTAATAAACACTGCATTTTACAAACAAATTTACATCCCAGACCCTCACATGTTCATAGATTATTAACATTAGGGTTGTTAAAAATATCAAAAATTAGCGTTTTGAAGACACCATGGTGTCTTATAATTTTCCCTTCCTTATTGGCGTGTATAAATAAATGCGCCAATAGATTGAAGAAGAAGAATTGTTTTTCTCTTAATGAACTTTAATCCTTTTGATATAAGAATATTAAAAACATTAATATAATTTCGATTTCGGAAATTAAATTTCCAAATTTTTTGTCGATTTCGGAAATAACAGGATCCCGCATCCAACACGCAACAACAAAACACAAAACACACTTTTTGGTTCTTTCATCGTTTTAATCGTAATTTATGTAATACATGATTTGGATAAATTTTACAAAAATAGAACCTATATTATATTCTTTTCAAAGATTTTTGCAAATCATCAAAAATAATTGTATTTTAAAAAACGATCAAATTATCCTTTCATTATTTTAAACTTAAATTAGTTTTATGATTGACTAAAGCAATCATATTTATTCATCATTAAATAAACAAAAAAATAATATTTGAGAGTTATTTCAAAAAAAAAACATTGAATTTATTAATTTGTCTCAATTTCAGTATTATAAATTTTTATAATTTCAATATTTTGAAATACACTTTTTAATATTTCAATATTTATGATATTTCAATGTATTAAGTGGTCTCAAATTGAGCTTCTCAAATATAAGTTGGCCTATTCAAATAATAAAATTAAATAATATTTAAAATAATAAATAAAAGTGATTGAGGTCATAGCAAAACGGCTGTTTCAGTCATTAATTCTTAAATAAAAAAGGGTAAAAACTAAATACAATGGGTAAAATTCAATAGTGTCTGTGCTATCGTTCAATTTGAAGGTGTCTTTTGAAACCGCAAGACACATTGAATTTTTGAATAGTGTATTATGGTTTGACAGACACCAATGAAAAAAATAAAATGATATTTATTTTAAATATATAAGATCCTTATATAAAATATAAATATTTTATCGTTTTATTTTCTTGTTTTAGAAATGTTTTTTATTGAAAAATCAATAAAACTAACTCCAAAATAAAATTTTTGATTTAAAGACACCATGATGACACCAGGCAAATCTTCCAAGACACCTATCGTCGGGAATCTAACAACCCTAATTAACATAGTCCACAAGGGTAATAAGGATTATCTAATATCGATAGAAGCACAATAATTACGCTACCCTAGGCAGCATCGGTATTGCGACTCTGAGTAACAAAAACATCATGGAAGACCAATTAGATTCCCCCGAAATCGCTTCCTGATGTGGATGGTACAGCATTGATTGGCCATATCAAAGGCTGCATAGCATCCCAGCAAGTGGGTAGTTATCGGCGAGTCCAGATGTGATCCTCCATGAGATTATGGCTCTTTTGCATTTTGGTGGGAATAGTATTGGAGCCATGTTTGATAATCCAGTATTTGTTTTCGTAGTTGTTGTTTGCAACTTTGCAGGTACTAATGAATATGAATAAGTTGTAATGGATTTGCATATCTTCCCCTAAAAATACTCCTAAAACATTATTAAATTTATATGTGGCCGGTTCATAAATGATGTTATGAAAATAATCCCAAAAACACTTTCTTTATTAATATGCCTAAGAGCGATGACTTTAAATTTTTTAATGTCTGATCAAGACATTCATCCAAATAAATTCAGTGAATTCCGAAGCAAATACAAATACTACATCGATTCATATAATGCATTGTATCAGTTAAAAACGGAAAATGAAGAAGATTTAAACTCGATTTACAAAATGATCAAGACAGAATTGATTGATTCAAAGAAACATCTTCCCCAAAATATCATTAAAGATATTTTGGAAATCATATATTATAATAACCGCTATACAAAGTCATACTTGGAACTTGCCAAACATATAATTGATGATTATAATGTTACAGAGATCAAAAATATCAGTTCTACTTTAAACTTCTAGTTTTATAAACAATATGGAATTAAATTAGACAACTCTACTAATTTCGAAAATCTTAATTTAGAAAATCTCGATATTCATTCAGAAAATACAATTTACAGAGCAATTATGTGTAATGATTTAGAAAAAATCATTTTATTCACAGAATGCGATGGATTTGATAAAAATCAATTACTTGAGAGTGATTTATATCCATATTCTGATGAAGGATATTCATTACTTGAATTATGTTGTTACCATGGAGCAGTTGATTGCTTCAAGCTATTAAGATCAAAATTTAAATCAGAAATAACTCAAACATGTCTAGAATTTTCATTTTTAGGAGGAAATCAAGAAATTATGAGTGAATGTTTGAAATATCAAAAGCCGAATGAAGAATGCATGGAGTGTGCAATTATTTCACACAACATTGATTTTGTTACATTCTTGATGAATGAATACAATATAAAGATCGATTTAGAAACTTGTGGACTTTTCAATAATCTTGAATCCTTTTTAGTTTATTTCGATCAAACTAATGATGTTGACAAATGCTTTATTTATTCACTGATGTTTAATATTCCATCTCTTTTTGCATATTTCTTTTCACATAGTGCAAATATCAACGAAAAAGGTAAATATGGAGAAACCGCACTTCATTATGCAGCAGAAAGTGATAGTAAAGAAACAGTTGAACTTCTTATTTCACATGGTGCAAATATCAACGAAAAAGATGAAGATGGGAAGACTGCTCTTCATTATGCAGCAGAAAGTGATAGTAAAGAAACAGTTGAACTTCTTATTTCACATGGTGCAAATATCAACGAAAAAGATGAAGATGGGAAGACTGCTCTTCATTATGCAGCAGAAAGTGATAGTAAAGAAACAGTTGAACTTCTTATTTCACATGGTGCAAATATCAACGAAAAAGATGAAGATGGGAAGACTGCTCTTCATTATGCAGCAGAAAGTGATAGTAAAGAAACAGTTGAATTTCTTATTTCACATGGTGCAAATATCAACGAAAAAGATGAAGATGGAGAAACAGCTTTCCGTTATTCTGTACGTCATCATAATAAAGAAATGGTTGAACTTCTTATTTCACATGGTGCAAATATCAATGAAAAAGATGAATATGGAGAAACCGTTCTTCATTATTCTCTACGTCATAATGATAAAGAAATGATTGAACTTCTTATTTCACATGGTGTAAATAACAATCTAAAAGAATAAAGATGTGAAAACCGCTCTTCATTATGCATCAGAAAAATATCGTAAAGATACAATAATTGCATTGAATACTATTTATTATTTAATAATAAAACATAGCAACTAATTATTGGAATATAAATAATATAACTCTTCATGTGAATGGATGATTTTGTGGTAATACATTTTATAAATATTCTCTTTTATATCAGAATCAGAATCTAATTCCTTAATTGTATCAAATCATTTTTTAAACTCCAAACTGGACAAAGAAAACAAAGATCAGATAATTAAATGAATCTACATAGTGCAAGTCCATGTTCCTACATCTGATGGATATAAGCCATCCTTTATTCAATTCATAAAGTTTGAAGATAATTTCGGTATTTGACATTCAATTTCTCCTGTAGTATTTTGCCTATTTGAATATGAATTCTACATTATCCCAACACTATATATATATATGTTATTTGAAAATCCTCAGCTGTATTTTATTTGAACAATAACTCTGTAAAAATGTTTTTCGATTCTTAAAGGTGATAAAACCCTTGTAATATTTCTTCATATGACTTAGACAATAAAATCTCTCATCACTCAATTACTTTCCTTTCTTAATAGCTTTCATTATGAGCCTTTCATTTTTTGAATGTGAATAAATTGTCTTAGATTTTTAGTCGATGTGTTTTCACAATGATTGTATCATTGCATTTGGGCTAAGTGTCTTTTTCTACAATTGGTACATCTTTATACTTGTGAGCTCCTCATCATATTTTATTTTGAATTCAATAACTGTGAATCATTGGATTGTTATTATGCATCTGACGAAGACTTTAAAACTTGCTTAGAATTGCCCTTATCTGTTGTTTCATCGTAAAATAAAGTTGCTGATTCGTAAATATTTGTAGTGTTTAAGTAAAATCGGTCTAATGATAAAAATGCTATCAGAGCATGATGGGCTATCATAAGATGGAGAATTATTTAAATATGAATCTTGTCAAAAATCATCAATTGAAAAGTCATTCTAATAACACGCTTGCCTTTTAACATATTTCACAAATTGATACCTTCCATCATTCTTAAAGATTACACTCATAATACCTTCATATGAAAGATGCATTCCAATTTTGAAATATTATTCAATGAATATGTAATCTTCAAAAACATTGATTCAATATTCAAATTTTTAGAATTTCACAATTTTGTTTACCATCTGAAATTTGAAAATAAAATTTGACTCTCAAAACAATTGGAATTTCAAAAGGAATTAATTTTTCTAATATATTTGTATAGAATTTTTATGCAATATATATGTTAATAATCAAATATTTAGGTGTGTTATGCGAAATCTTGATCAAATTAAACCTTATCTAGTAGACACTCATTATTTGTTCGACATGAGCCCAAATTTAAATTATTATCTTTTTAAAAAAAAATATCAGGATTCTCTTAATTAATTACCAAATAACCCAGACATTCCTAAAAATTACACGTTTATATATTAAAACAGGTGGTTTTTGTTTTTCTTCCCTTATCATCTATTTCAAAAAGGGGAAACTTTAGAAATAACTTTATCAAAGGTATCCAAACTTAGCACAATGATTTTAGTACTTCATTCAAGTTAGCATTAAATATATGATTTTTAATTTTTATAATCATTTTTATATAATTGATTTTTAGCCTTTTAAGATACGTCGTATGCTTCTGATTGTACCATCTCATATGTAAATCCGTTCTTTTGCTCAACTTTGACAGCAATATCAAAAACATTTATAAGATTTTCCATGCTGCCTTGAGAGTTAGAAAAATCATTTTATTATAACAATTATTTTTGGTGTTTTTTAAAATCTTGTTTTGTTGTGCATAAAAAAGAGAAACACCTTTAACATTGTTTAATCTTTTGTTTCATTTGTTCAATGAAGAAGATCAATTGCCATTTTCAAGTTTTAGGATTATTCTGGTATATTGGCTATCGATCTTTTCTGGGAATTTCATTCCTTTATAGTGTTTCTTAACATGGTTCAAATATTCAAGACCTTCCTTAGTTGGTTTGTTTCCATCTTCAATGCACTTAATAATATTATCTTCACCATTAAGACTGTATTTGTCTGAATCGGAAAGTCTGTTTTCCTCTGAAATCAAGATTTTGTGGACCTTTGAATACAATTTTGGCGTTTCATATGTTACTTGCATTGTATTAAAGACACAAGATGCAAATTTAAATGTGATCTTTTGATGCAAATCCTCACTCTCGATTTCAACTTTGACTTCATTTATTTCCTCTTTCTTCTCCCATTTATTTTCTTTCTTTGGCGTACTAAACTCAGAAATTTTGATTTTATCTCCATCACTATTTGGGTTTCTCAATGATTTGCTAAATCCAAATGAAATTTTTGGTCCTGGTTTCAATGATTTATTTGAATTTAGATGGATGTTTTTCTTTTCATTTTTTGTATTTGAATTAGGTAGTTCATATTGTTTTTGTAATTGATTGCTTTCATTTACAGAGTTCTTAAGAATTTGTTGTTGTATTGATTGATTTAATTTATTTTCTTTTTCTTTTGTATTTGTTTGTTTTACTTCATTTGCTTGCTTTTTAGCTTCTGCGTTTATTGTTATGTTTGGCTGATTTAATGGCATTGATATCCTTGGTGTTTCTTTAATTTTTGATTTAATGTCTATTTGTTCTTACTGTGCTTGAAGCAAAGGCTTTTTAGCTTCATTAGTAAATTTATTATTTATTGATGATACTAATTCTTGTGCATGTTGCTTCTGAGGTAATGTTTGGACTTGAGAAATTGTTTCTTGTTTAGCTGATCTCGTATTTAATGAGGATTCTTGTTTATGTGCTTGTTGTGTTGATTGAATTGTTTCGTTTATCTTCTCGGTGTCTTTTGGTTTATTATCATCTGATGATGTTGATTTTGGAGGCCGATTTGACGATTTTATAATTGGATTTACTGATTCTTTAACTTTTGTTGAATTATCTAATGATGGTGATGTCTTTTGAGGCTGTTTATTTGTTTGATCAGCAACATTTGCTCTTGTTTCTGATGGAGATAAAGTTTCAGAATTAATTGTGTTTTTCGTTTGATGTATTGGTGAAGTTACTGGTGCTGGATTTAATGTTTTTGGTTGTTCAGTAACTTTTGTTGGTACTTGATTATGAGCTGATTGCATAGAGTCGGTCTGTTGTTCTGTTCCTTTTTCTTTCGTTTCTGTAGGTGTAGCTGGCTTTGGTTCTGGCTGAGTTGTTACATTTGAAAATCGATCATATGAACTAACAGATGGATATGGACTATTAGAAAAGTCATTATAATCATAACCTCTGTCTTTAAGGTATCTGCCAAGTTGAGTTCTTCCATCAATAGTTCCATCATTTTTGAATTGGAATGATAAGCTTGACATTTCATCTGGATCCAAATTACGTAACATATCTGATGAATCAGTTGTACCTTTTCGATTGTAATAAATACCTTTTGATTCTAAAAATTTTATTGCAGATTTATGTTCTTTAACAGTTGGGGCAGCATAATTTGATTGATAATTTTGATAACCATTCGGATATTCAGGAACATAATTGTTTTGATAATCATAATTATTTTGAGGTACAAAGTCATTTATTGTAAAAGCACTATAATCAATCCCAATATTTTTGAGATATCTTCCAAACTGACTTCTTCCATCAATAGTTCCGTCCTTCTTAAAGAGTACGTTCATTAAATGATTATATCGTTTTTTGTTAAGTCAAAATGTAAAATTGAGAACCTTTCAATTTTGTCTACCATCTGAACTATTCCAATATTATATGATAAGAACAGACATAAAAATTTACGAAGTTCTAATAGATTTAGAGCATTTGCATTCATGATTTATTAGAATAGAATATACCAATTATATTTAGCTTAAGTATTGAATCAAAAAGTTTAAATTCAAATAATATAAAAAACAATATAATTTATTTTTCCTTTCATTAAAAATCTTAATTATTTTCTAGATTAATAATGATTCTATCAAATTGGCGTTCTACCTTCTTAGGAAATTTCAAATCTTTATAATTTTTCTTTATATGACTCAAATATTTGAACCCTTCTTCACTCAATCTTTGATTTCTCTCTATTGCATTAATAACTTCTTTTTCTCCTTTTATGCTATATCCCTCTTCATATGGTAACGAATTTTCATTGGATTTCAAAATATTAAAAGTTTGTGAGTATAATTTTGGAGTTTCATATGTAACTTGCATCGTGTTGAACACTGCAAATGCAAAAGGAATTGATATCTTGAATTGAGATCTAACATCTTCTATTTCATCTTTTATTTCTTCGAAAGTATTTTCTTTGTTTAGAACATTAAAATCTTGGGCTTCCGCTATCGGATTTTCTTGACTCTCTTTTTCTTTTTGTTGTTTTTCTTTCGATGATCTCAAAAGTTTAAATGGATTCTTTGGTTCAGAATTTAGTCTTGGAGTTGATTGTTTGCTATAACATGGGCATTTCGCTTTAACCATTTTTCTACTGATTGGTTTAATATTTGGCATATTTTCATTTTTTGATTTCCGATTATCAACATCTTCTGATTTCGTTTGAGTTTTCTGAACTAATAATTCTAATTGATCATACTGTTTTGTTACATTGTCTCTTATTCTCAATATGGGTGTTGTTTGTTTTGATGATTGGTCTTCATTTGTTTTTTCTTGTTCGTTATTTTGATTTATATCATCGATTGGAAAACCTTGCTATTCTTGAGAGGCAAAATAATTTTGGACTTGGACAAGTTTTTCTGAGTTAATCTTTAACTCAGGATTATTTGGCAAGTCTTCACTTATTCTAAGGACCAAATCACGGAATTCATTGCATATTGTGAATTCATCAAATAATTCAAGCAGGTATTTCATGTATTTGTTCACAATTCGGGCTGAATAAAAGTGATTGATTATTAATGAAGCACATGGCAACACAGTATCTGCAAATTCAGAATCTTTGATAGCCATATCTATAAATAAGTTAAGATACTGAGGAACTATTGTTTCTATGTTATGAGCAAGGATTACTATAGTTAAGCAGTTGATGTAAGCTATTTTTTCTTGAGTAAGTCCTTCTCTTATGCATTGTGTTGTATAATTTACAAGTTGTGGAACTAAATTAAAATAATTTTCAAAATGTGAGCAAACATGCGACCAAAATGTTACTGTAAGAACATTAAATGACCTGAACGTTACATTTTCTGGTGGGAAAACTATACCCTCTGAAGCAGAATATTCCAAACATTCTTCTGCGAGGTCTGTTTCAAGCAATTTGCCAAGGATTGTCATGTAATCGTAAAAGTATTTGCATTCACAATCTTCTTCAGCCTCAGTTGTTGATAATTTAGCCTTAAGATAACCATATTTCAGATTAAGTAACTGAGATATATCATGTTTCAGCAACTCAAAGAATTCCTCATTGTTTCTGGGTTATCATATAATTCATCAATATTTGATAGGGCTATCAACAAATTTACTCTTGTTTCTGCGAAATCATCTAAAGAACAGTCAACTTCGACCAATCGTGGAATATATATTTCAGCAGTTTCAATTGCCCTGTTCTGAGTGAAGATTTCGCTAAGACACATGTAAACTAATTCATACATTTTGCTCAATGTATAATTGTATTCATGGAACAAGCCAAAGCAATATTCATAGATCTTGAAATATGCTTCATTATCAAGGCATTCTTTGTAAACTTCTAGAATTGAAGATAATGAATTTAAAACTTTCTGGTAAATGCGAAGATCTACTTTGGAAATGTATGCACTTCTATTCTTATAATTAAACGATATGTAATCTTCTGAATCATTGATATTTCCATCATAAAAAATAATATCTGGAGTTGGCGACTTCGAAATCACATGATCAATGAGTTCTGGGATTTTTTCTGCTGGGATACAGCACAAACGAAGGAAATCTGGAAAATCATTAAAGATTATCATGAAATCAAAATCTTCGAATACCCTTTCCGCAAATTGATTAAGCATACCTAATATTTCTTCATTTTCGCTGATATCTCTCTTTGAAAGAGAGAATACAAGGGAAGAAAGGGCTGTTTCAACTAATTTTTGATTTATATCTTTTAACATTGATTGTAAAATAAGTTCAATGTAATCTCTGAATTCACTATCATTCATGTCGTTTGTGCTTGTTTCCATACTGAGCAAAAAGTAAATATTTTCTGTTTGATTGTATAAATCAAGAAAATCTTGTGTATAATCAGTAACTCCCGATTGTTTGATGAGCATATACATTAGTTTTGCTATGTCATAGTTTTCTGTTTGGATAAAACTCTGAAATAGTGTTTGGAAAATTGTTGGATAGTATTGTTCAGATATGAATCTCTTATATGACTTAGCATACCTTGTTAATGCAACTATACCATTATTTTGGATATAGGGATCACCTGAAGCAATGCATTGCAAACAAATTTCAATTAAGCTTGTATCTTCTTTGTATAAAGGAATAAATGCAATAAGAAAGCTAGTAATAATCGCATTATCTTTTGATTCAACAATGCTTTTAAGCTGTGCTACAAAATCTTCATCTTGATTATTTTCTATTGCAATTGAATAAATGGAATTAATGAGATAACGAATATCTTCTGACAAAAGTTCAAATTTGTTCGAATCGCTAATGAGTCCCATTAAAAATTCCAAAATTTCCGAAAGATTTTCAAAAATATAATCTTGGATGCATTGAACATGTGTAATTGAACCAGAAATGAGGGATAAGATAAAACTGCCTCTTGAGAAGTTTTCTTCGGTCAATTTGTTGAAACAAATTTTGAGAATATTCACTTTAGTTTCATTTGGAAGATTTGGATCGATCTTGAAATAATGGCCAATAACATCAACAAAATTATTCTCGCTAAGGACTTGCAACATCTCTGGAAGAGGTTCAAGCAAATCTGCATGATCTTCGATACGTGAAAACTCTAGATAAAGTTTCATTATTTCACAACGTGCCTCAATGGAAATTTCGATTGTTAGCTCATGAAAATATTGAATTATTTGGGACAATAATTCATCTTCGGAAGAAAACATTGCAATTGTTGTGAAGAACATTGCTCCAAGTCTAATGTGCTCGTCATCTTGAATATGAACAAATTCTGTCATAATTTGGGAAAGATTTGACCATTTTTCTGAGAGACTGTTATTAAATGAGGTGTTGAATACGTGTTTTTGGAATACACCAATGATATAGATTTCAGTTCAAGAGGAACTTCAGAATTTTGAAGGAGATTGACATCTAAGTTCAAAATCTGTTGATTTATTTCTTCTGGAAGAAGATACTTCATAAACTGGTTATTAATTATAATGAGAGCTTGTTGATGAAACCTTGTCTTGTCACTATCATTCAAGATGTTTATCAAACTTTGGAAAAGAAGAGGAAAATTGGACTCTGCTATGGAATTTATTTGAGCCTCTGCATTGTGAACAACTTCGTCATCGGAGATAAACAGGTTCTGAAGGATAGAAAGGAGATCAAAGTCGGACATGCACCAAAAAAATTTGAACTCTCTTCACAATTGCTCTCAAATTTGATGCATAAGAATTTGTACCGGAATATTTGTCTTAAATTAGCTTGTATAGCAGAATTTTCCAGAAATTATTAAGGAAATATGATCAATTAGAGATTCTTTAATGAGAAAGAGCATATTGAATGATTAAACAGAGATAAGAAGCAAATGATTCATATGGCATACTAATAAGGGTCAAGAATTTATAGTTGTAATTCTAAATACATTAAATAGAAAAAATATAATCTTTATAAATGGATGTTTATAGATTGATTTTGAGAAAAAATTAACAAAATTGTTGTTTTAAGGAATAATTTCATCATTATATGATGAAAAGTGGAGGTAAAAAGTTTTTTATGAAAATACGTTGGTTTTTTTAAATTTTATAGCCATAACTTATTTGTACATCTTTGTTCAACGCCAATCGAGATAATATCTTGAACTCTACGCATATTAATATTTTCAGTCCGGAATAATGTTGATTTTTTGAAATTCGGATTCAATATCTGGTCTTTCCATACTATGTTAATTAGTAATCTGGTATATATTTAACAATTTATAGTAATCAGTTTGATAAATTTGAAAATTTTCGAACAATTAATAAGTTTTTTCTTTAATTACTTATTGTTATTGATCTAATATTGACTAAGTAATAGGAGGTCAATAGATATGGTTGCTGATATTATTCAGGATCGGAGTTTAATGGAGAAAGTGAAATAGAGTATTCAAAAGTTAAAAATATTTTGACAAGAAGAGTATTGATTAAATACCTAATGGTATTCTTAGCAAAATAGTGTTGTAAACAGAAATTCATCAAAAGTGACACCTCAGAAAAGCTAAAATATTGAATTTTTGGAACTTTTGATAGAGCACGTTTTTAAATATTAATTAAAGTAAATGTATATTTTGTAAAGATTCTTTTTAATAAAAAATAAAATTTTGAAGAAGAACACAAAATCTTCTGAAAATAATATCACATAAACTCATATTATTTTCTAATATATAACTATTTTATATAAAAATCAAATTCAATGATCTTAAAAGCGAAGGATAAACCTCAAAATTTACGAATATAATGAGTGGGAATATAATGCTTATCTATCATAAAACCATATGAAATATTAATTTTTGCTTTACGCCTAATTTTTGACGACAATTAGCAAAAAATGTTAAATGTTAACACTCAGTCCATTTGAATATGAAAAATAAAATTAACTTTGATTAAATGTTTTTATTTATCATGCAATTCTTCTTGCGACCAAAGATTTGAATAAAAGTTCAAAAAATAAGATAGCTTAAAAAATAATATACGGTAGTGTTTACTAATAGATGAATAGTATATAAATTCTATTAAAATGGATTTGATCCAAAAAAATATAAAACCAAAAATAATTGTTATAATTTAAATGAAGAAGTAATTTAAAACGATTTTATTTATGATCAAATTTTATATATTTTTTTGGATTATTTATTAATAAATAATCTTCGATGCCCAGGTGGGAAATTCTTATTATAATGATAAGAATCAGAAAGTTTCTAATTGAATATTCAAATCATATTCAATTGGTGTTTCATACTGATAATAAAAATTATCACCCAAAAAATCGAGTTGAACGAGGTTCTCGTCAGACCAGTCACTCATTTGAGCAGAGCTTGGTTTCAAATCACCTGATTCAGAAGGATTTTTTTCCTCATCATATTTACTTAAATCACGTTTCTTCGACCTGCCCTTACAGAGTTTCTGAATTACGCCATTGTTGTTGATTATAAATCCATCAACAGGATCAGTGTCATCACTAAGCTCCCCGGTAAATTTGATGTATTTACATTCAGCTCCTGATACAATTTCTGCCATTTCCTTCACACGTTCGAATTCCTCAATTTTGCCATATTTATAAAACCAATATAATGACTCCTTGTGCCCCCTGGCAAATTCTGGATCCAATTTAATACTATTCTTTTGACAATACCTAATTAAGATTCCTTTTATCTTGTAGGCTTTCATTTTTGTAAATTTCTGCAAACAATTTTTCCAAAAACCTTCATCATTCATGATTTCTTCTCGAAGCTTCTTTCTGGCTATGGTTTGTCTAATGCCATACACTTTATTACTCTTGTTCGCTGGTTTTCCCATGGGAACAGAAAATAATGAAGTGTTTTCAATGCTCTCAATTTTAATTTTTTTGAGTAAGTCATCCTTGATATTTTTAAACTATATCGTGAGTAGATCTGACTGTGATTTTATGATTTTGCATTCAAAATTAGTCATACCATTCAAAAATTTTCTTTTGAATTTGATATTTTTCAAATAAAAAAAATTGAATAAGTGGAAGATGTCTTAAAAATACATCACATTTTTATGATAATAGTGTACACTATTGTTGTAAATGGTAAAACTCTTTAACTTTCTTATTCTCTTGAACAATACATTGGTGGAATGCATTTTTGTAAACTCATTCAAGAGTTTATGTTTTCAGGTATACATCTCTATATAGGCAATTTTTAACAAAAAAAATTTCATCACAAAATCAATCCAAAAAATATGAGTTCAAATAATTGCATCATCGAAAGCAAAGGAGTATACAGTATAATGCAGTCGGAGAGAAGAAACATGATTGGCTCAAAAGTTGAGAATTTATGATATATTCCAATCCCGTCTTACATATATAAATTTCATATTTCAGCTATATAAATAGAAATATTGCTATTAAATCACTCAAGTTCTACTGTACAAAATGCTAAAAAATTGAAAAAAAATAGAATGTTAATATGATCTTGGAGAAATATTAAGATTATCGATGCAATATCACGTTAACATATGTAATTGTATTATATTGATTATTATTTTCTTTTTTGGACATGTTTCGAATGAACTTTCAGGCAAGATTGTAATGAAAATCAATGATAATTGAAACATAATTATCATATAATATATAAGTCGTTATATTTTGTTATCATGAATAGCTTCTTTTGTTCCATCTATTTTTTCCAAAACAGAAAAAAAATGAAACGAAATTGACCATTTTAAAAAATTAATGTAGGGAATTCATTAGGATCTAAATTGATCACATTAAGTGATATGCATTGGTCAACTTTTTTCAAGTTCACGTCTTATATAAAAATTTCACCGGGATTGTTTTTGACAATTTTTGAACAATCAATCTCTCAATTTTGAATGGTTTATATATTAAATCAAATTTGGTTGATAAGATACATATTGAATTCAGGTTCATTTCAAATCTTAATTGGTGATGTTCTGTTTTCATATCATTGAATCAAAAGAGCCCAATTCGCTTCGTAGAAGTTTGAACAATGATGCAAATCAACGAATGCATTTCAGTTTAAAAAATAACTCAAGAAAGGTCAAAACTTCATTTTCCAGTAAATTTATCATTTGGATATGATGATAACTTGTTCATTGGCAATTTTAGATATTCTGGTTTCTATTAGATACTTATTTTGCTAGGATTTGAAATTTGAACTTGATCTTATTATCTTATTATTGAAATATTGCATTTTTCATAATACTTATTTAAGATCATGTGTATGTCATATCAAAAAATAGCCTGATTTTGGCTGATCGTAAATTTCAGAGCTGATTGTAACTAATATGGATAGAATGACATTAATTGTTTGATGTTTTTAAATGTTCATCAATATGTGTGAAAAGAAAACTATATTCTTCTCGGATTTCACTTAATATTTCCTCCGATTTACAAATTTGATCAATACCTTTAAATTTCATAACTACTACCAAAAGCATTATGTACAAAATGTCTAGTTATCATGTTTCGATTGTTACTTCTATACATGTAAAACAAAAGGAACCATTTTGGAACCCCTGTCAAAAGTCGATTAGTGTTTATCAATTTATTTCAATATGAACCTAAAAGAAGTATGAATGATCCTGGACAAGAGTTTGATCCAAAATTGATAATCATTTTCTAATCTTCTTCATTTTTTACAATATTATAATATCTTCGTGTTTAAAATGTTCAAACATGTAGCTATCATCAATAATTTATAATACAATGTCCAAAATTGAAATTTGATATTCATGATACTTTGTTTTTTTGGATTCATTGCATTTAAAGCGATTTTCCTCGATATTTAGTAATAATGTTTTCAAATGATTGTTTGAAATTTGAATATAAGCGCATTATTGATCTTGACATGGTACATTGATCTTAAATAGATAAATACATATTTTTGGACTTGGATGTTGGCATGATATACTATGATATTCTGTTTTTCTAATGTTAGATGAATATATGAACTGGAATTTGATTTGTTTTGAATTCAGGAGCATTTCACTGCAGCATTGAACTATTTTTGCTTCATCAATAGACTTTCCTATATATAATCGATGGTTATGTGAATCTCATCATGCAAATTGCTTGGAAGAAGTAATCAATAATATGAAAAAAAGTTAAAATCTCAATGAAAAAAAAACTTTAGAATTATGATGAATTCTTATGATTAATTCTTCGTATTGAGATCATGTCTTGCCATTTGTTGATTGTGCATTTGCATGCCAAGGTTAGAATGGTGAACATTCTGATTTGCACGCTGAGCTTGCATATTGTGAGATGGAGGGTTGCTGCTCCTCATTTGTCCTCCAAGATTTGCTCTGTGAGCACTTTGATTGGCGTGTTGAGCACTAGTATGGGCCATATGTGCGCTTTGATTAGCATGTTGTGCGCTCTTCGACATTGGTATAAGTGAACTGTATGTGTTTTATTCTATTTTGAATAGATTATCACAATATATTTTCCGTATGATATATAAAATTGAATGAATTTTGTGAAGAATTCGGATTAATTATTAAATTTATCAAAAAGATTCAGAAGTGTCTTATCTAATGAAAATTTTGTTTCTGACGTTGTAAATGTATTGAATATGTTATGTTTTTCATCATTAGCATGAATATAATGAATTAATTGAGAATTCATTAACTCTGAATTTTTGGATAATAAACAATTTGAGTTTTTTTGTTCATATGTAATGCTATTTCGATTATCAAATTATCAATTTAATAGAAAATTATTCGATTTTTTCAGAAATCTGATTATTAATATGTGCGTGCTCTTCTGAAATTTTGAATGAATTTAAACTATTACGCGGAATATTTTTTGAAATTACATCAATAAAATAATTCAAAATAATAAGTGAATAATGTAATTAAAATCTTTTATTTAGATCGTCATTTGCCATTAGAAAATGTCAATTTTTTAACTCTTTCGAAAAAAAAAATGCTTTTATTGTTGCGAAATCTCTTTGGCAATCATTTTCTATCAGCAACTGTCTTAATGATAGGATCTATGACTGCTGGGGAAGCTTTCTTATTCTGGCAAAAGGCAGGATTTACCATAGAATTTGAAATATATCATCAGTCGCCATATGGAAACGCATTTCCTATCATTGTTACAGTTACATCGTTCTTTGCAACAGTATTTCTACACTTTATTTATGCAAGACTCAATTTTAAACAGTTTATTTCGTTATCTTCCATTTTATCTGCCATTTCATGGTTCATAATGACATATTCTACGAAATATGTAGTCTTATTATTGATGATTTCGGCCATACTTTTGGGTGTTTCCATATCACTTTTCAACATTTTAAATCCAATTTACTTATTAAGCCTCGCTACAAGAGAACAGATCGATGCATTCGGTATTTTACATCCTATAGGTATAAGTTTGGGCTCGATTGTCTGTATTTTATTAGGAAATTTCATAAATTGGAGATTTCTTTGTTTAATCTTTGGTTTCATTTCAACTCTCCATCTTGTTCTTGTTCATTTCATACCAGATTTTGATACGCAATACTTAGAGCAGCTCAAAAAGGCAAGAATTAGCGAAAGAAAAGCATCAAGAGTTAAATCTTACGTTCATTGCATATTTTTAGCCTTTTTACCTTTCTTTGGTGGATATTTCGACGAATTCTTATCTACTAATGAATACCAGTTATATAGAAAACCACTTTATTTAGTTTTAACAAATGTTTTTTATATTTTAATGTTTTTCGTCACTTTTCTATTAGTTTATTACTTCGAATTCAAGGTATTATGGATTATTTCGTGTCTCTTATGTTGTGTCTCACAGATTGCATCAGCAGTTCTCACTGGAATGCATTTTGATCAAAAATTTAATTTAATTTGTTATATTTTATTTGTTGTATCGTTCAGAATCAGCTTAGATGTAGCTGGATGGTCAATGATACCTCGTATTGATATTAATTTGTTGTCTTCTTTGTCTTTAATTCGAGTTACTTGTTATGGAAGTTATTATGTGTTCAGATTGAGCGGAAATCAGTTTATTTTCACGTTAATTACTAAGAGTATATCAGCTTTAATATGTTTTGTCTTGTTATTCTACAGAATATTTATTTTCCATGAAGATAATGAAATTGGAGATGCAGTTTTGACTTCTAACTTGGAAAACATATTCGAATCGAATCCTGATAGCTTAACATCTCATTTATTATAAATTTTTATTATAAACTGTCGGTTTATTTAAATGAATTTTTTTGGATTTTTTAAGGTTCCATTTTATCCCTCAATTTTGAGAGATATCTCAATTTTATTGTGTGCTTTAATAGCTTGTATCATCTAATTAGAAAATACTTATTGCATTATGTGCATGCATTGACTGGGATATATAGTAATTGAGATTGAAATTCAGAATTGTTTATACGATTCCCTTTGCCCACTCAAATTTGAAAGATCTCTCAATATTATTCTGCGCTTTAATACCTCGTGTCATCTCATTGGAAGAATCTAATTGGAAATTACACATTGCAATATGTTCCTGCATTGGCATAGGTATATAGTGAAAGAATTTACATTGGAATCAAAATTATTTTCATGAAAATTTTTGTAAATTGATTCTTTAAAAAGAAATGATACGTTTTTTAATTTGATACCAAGATTAAAGCACAATTAACAAAAAGATCTATTAAAAAATTGCTATTTATATATATATTTGATTTGATATTAGATCTAATAGTTATTCAATGATGTTTATGCAATGAGAGAGATTCAATATTATTTTTGATACTACATAACATAAGATATAATATTGATTTTTAAAATGCTCTAAAAACTATGTATAACAAGATAATCAATGCAATATCTTGCAATAAAACTGCCCTTGTGTCAAATTAAAATGGAATTTTTATGTTAAAGAACCCATAAATCCATTTTCTTTGTAAAGTTTTCAATATGTGCATCAAAATTGAATACTTTACAAATATCACATTTTCCTATTTTATCAATATTTTATTGAAACAAAAACACAAATTACATATAGAAACATGTTTAATTCTACGTAATTGTACTGAATCTTTTTTTGAATTCATCAATTAAGTCTGGTAAAATGTTGGCTAAACTATCATATGCATGTTGGTAAATTATGTATTTTCTTTCTATTTCATCTTCGAATGGTATATCAAACAATGATCTGATTATTTCATTCTTTTTTCCTTCATCTTTTTCAGAAATAATTATATTTACAGATCTTTGATATAAACTATTCAATTCTAAGTAATTTTGATTCAAATATTTGGCCAAATCTCGACCTTCTTCAACCATCTTAGCCCTGTGAAATTTTTCGACTTTACATTTAAGAACCAAATAAGAAATTTCGTAATTTTGAATGTTATCGTCAAAAAAGTAACTTTGATAACAAATTTGAGTTAAATTTGACATCACAAAATCGTTTTCAAATGAATCAGGAATTAAATCAAACAAATGAGTAATAATTTTCATCAGTTTCTTTTCATTGTTGAACTTAGAATAAAGGTTGCACATAATAAAAAGAATTTTTTCAAGCAAATCTTTGTCATTGCATATATATTTCAAAATATCAAAAGTTAAATCAATGATTGAGCCTAGCTTTAGCTCATCCTCGCCGATACTTTCTAGTTTTTCTAATACAATGTTGATAGAAACATTAATTATTTCATTATTTTCATTTCCGATTCTTTGGATCAGTTTTTCTAATAAGTATATTGTATCATCTTCATAATCATCATAACTTTGTGTAAGAATATTCATAATATTGTTGGTAATAATTTTTAATGAGTTTTCTGTCACTTTTTCTATAAATTTTCCAAATACACTGGAAAAATGTGAAAAATACACCAAATAACTCTGGGAGATCAGAGAAAACAGCTGAAGCATGTCATCAGCAAATTCATCAGAGAGTTCCTGATCAAAAGAGAATTGTTGTAATAGATTTAAACACGAAAATGAAATTATTTCATTTTCAATATTTGATTTCAATGTTTCCAAAAAGAATTCTACTAAAGACCGAATTACCTTTTTGTTATTTGTAAGTTTAATAATATTTTCCAATGCTATTTCTGCAATTTCTCTTAAATTATCATTTTCATTAAGAAAATATTCCAAAATCTGTTTGAAAAAGTCATCATTAAACTCTATAATCTCTAAACATAGGCAAGTAGTATACAATTTAATATATATTACCGAATACTGTTTATTATTTTCCATATTAATAAGAATATTTTGCAAATCAATAGTTTCGCAAATGATTTCTTTAGTTTCAGTATCTAATAGGTCATTTAATGCACATAAACTTTGGTAAATATATCTTTCATCATTATTTTGTAAATTTTCCGAAATAATTTTTAAACAAATTGGAATTATTGTTTCATAAGTATAGTAAGGCTCATTTTGTGTCAAATAATTTATTCTTTTTGTTAAGTTATTGAAAAACCTCTGAAATTTTGAGAGATTTTGTTCTTTTTCCATTTTTGTGTTGATATCATAAAGAAAAGCTAAGTTAAACAGCTGTTCTATGTCAATGTGATCATAGATCCCTGGTATAGAGTGCAATATCTCGGAATACACAATGAATTTAAAATCTGAAAAAAATAAATTTAAAAATTTCTCAACAAAATCAGCATCATTTTCAATAATGTAAGGAATACAACTGCAGAAATTGTGTCTCTCGACGATTTTTGATACTTCTACTGGAAACTCTCCGGAAAATGAATAAAAAATATCTAAAATAAATGAAATTTTTTCTTCGTTGATTGGATTGATCTCATGGCATCCAATAAGTCGTAAACAAAGGCTTTTTATATCTTTGTTGTCTTTATTTTTAAGTAAATCGATTAATATATCTAAAATTAATTTTTCTCGAAGGAATATGCAGTCGAATTCATCATCAATAACATCTACATTCATTTTAAGTATATCTACAATAAGATTATCGCTTGTTTCTTGATGAATTTGTTGGTAAAAAAATAAAATTAATTTTTCACATTTTGTTTTTCTTAAAGCACTCTTATAAACTTCTTTGATGGGCTCATAAAATTCGTTTTTTAATTCTAAATAAGAATAAATTAATGATATAAATTGAATAATAATATCATCTTGCGAAAAAAGCTGTTTATTAATAGGAACTGATAACATTTTGATTGCCAGTCCTTTTGTTGTGTTGTTTATATCTGAATTATTAATTATTGTGAGCAATTGTGAAAAATATAATTCAGGATTGTTTTCTTTTAACATTTCAAGAACATGAATTGCCTCTCCATTTGTATTTTGATTCGTGGATTGAAGAAAACATTCTAAAAAAGTCTCTGAATCTATTGTAGACATCACAAATGAAAGCACATAAAATTTAGGAACGATTATTTTGAATTGAATTTTTATCAATCCACAAATCAAAAAAAATCTTTGATACACAAAAAACATTCTTTATTTAAAAAAATTGTTTACCAGAACTTTGGTAAAGGGGTGTTTGATATAAAATTTGAAGAAGGAATGATTGTTTGTGTTTTGTTTTGATGTGTGTTTGTTGTTTTGTCTTCTTCAATGTTAAGTTTATAGTTGAAGTTCCTTTTGAGTTGTCTCTTGTTGAACTTGATGTCGTTGAGACGTTGAATCTCTCTCCTGAAGCTGTTGTCTGCTGCTGCACGTGCACGAACAGAAATGTCTGATTCGTTGTGTCTGTCCTTTGTAAGACTGATGATTGTCTCGATCTCGTCATAATCAAGTGTGTTTCGTTCTTTGTCATCAAAAACAAAAATACAATCTTCGCTCTTAACATTGTATGCATCGAATTTGACGTTCTTAGATAAGATAACATTGTTGTGAACATATTGTGGTGTTATTAATTCTTTCATAAATAACTGATCAAGAATAGAAACATTAGAATTTTTCGTTACTACAACAACTTTTACTTGTTTCTTCTTATTACAAATCATCAACTGCATCTTCTCTGATGTATTGAATCTTTCCATCTCCCAAAGTGGAACCATCATCTTGCAGAATGATGGTAAAATCTCAATATTCATAGCATTCAAAAAAAAATTCAATACAATTTTTTGGCAGAAATTCCACTCTTATTGGAGACAAAATGTGTGCATATATGTGTGGTATAATAAGGATTAAGTGAATTTATTGTTCATAAATCACTGGAATTTCAAATACTTAGGAATAATTCGATTTCACGAATTTTTGTATTTTGAATATTATATATTAGCCATTAAGAAAAATTGAATTAAATCCGAAATTTAAATAGATATCCATCGAAAAAACGTTGCACATTTTTTTTTGGAATTTAGAAAAATTTAAAACTAAAAACCATCAAGATCTGGAAGCTTGTATTACATGATTTTCAATTTTCCTTTTCAATGTCTATGAAATGCATACATGCTCTCAGAGAAAAAACTGTTCTTTATATTGCAATTATACTAATTTTGAATTTTATATATTAACTTATCAATAAAATTGGTATTAGTACGAAGTATCTAGATATGTTGTGTTCAACCAAATCGATTTAACACCTATATAAGGCGTGTTCCAAGTATAACAAAATAAATCATACTTAATAACTGTCAAATCTTTATAAACATCATCTAGAAAAATATTAATACCCTGAGAAGGCCCTTTGATAAAGTAAAATTCTTATTAAAGAGTCATTTGATAATTTTTCTTTGTTTAATTATGAGATCATGAGACACAACACGCTCACAATCTAAGATCATATGTGATTTATATTGAAGATGTTGATTTTAGTTTGAATTTCTCATTATTTGCATTCAATTACATAGAATTATCCGATTTAATTCAAAAATTGTCACTTTTATCGTCTTAACATTTTATATACCTAATATTGAATATCATAGACAATGTATGCAAAATTCATTTTTTGATTGAAAAAGGAATTAAATCAAAAAAATTGCACTTGAATAAATGAATAAGCATATAAAATGAAGGAGAAAATTATTGATAGTCTCAAAATATAAAATATTTTATTCAAAAGCAGAAAGGTTTGTATAATCCCTGAAAATGATTATTTCATCAATAAGTAAAAAGTATCTTTTCCATATAAAAACATCAGAACGATCATTGTTTGATTGTCAATAAATCCTATCAAAAATGAATGCAATCACTGAAAACTGGAAAACAACCACTAAAAGTATTGTATGCATTATTGGTACTATTCGATCGAATAAATTGTTCTATCAAAAAATTCCGCATACAAAAACTTCATTTCAAATTTCAATTGAAGAAAATTTTTGAAACAATGATACCAAATTTTCTACTTTTATTTATTCATCCTTTATGCCATATTTTATTAAAAATTTTCCATAAAATTTTCAACGTGCTTTCGAAAATTGTTCAAATTTTGTTCTATTCTTTCACATAACTAATTCATAATCTGAGATCCAAAATTTTTGTCGTCAAGCTTCCAACGGTTTAAAAATTTTGTCATTAATGTTGACAGATGATTCTCGTAAGAAGAAAGAGGAGAAGGCTTCTGCCCACTATAATCCATATATCTGCAAATTGATGGCAGATGACCTTTTCTTCAAGAGATTCGAATTCATGAGGTTCTACCCTCATTACAACCCAGACACACCTACAGTGAACGACGCCGACAAGATAAAGCTCATCACTTCTTATGAAAGGCTAGATGGACCAAACGAGGCGCCACTTCCTCCACCTTATACTGACCTTGATGTGATTTTTGGAAAATGCAACTAAATTGTTTTGTTTGATTCTTTTTTCTATCAATTCTATTACGTTTTTACTTTTTACTTGTTATTCTAGAAAACTTGGTTTCTTGAGTTCTCATATTGAATAGATTTTCAGAATTAATATATAGCCTCAACTCTAAATAAAGAAAGTATGTTTTCTACATTCCTGAAAATTATATCCAAAGATGACTGAAAAGCACATTTCTGATCTTTTTCCATAATTGAAATTGACCAAATGAATGGATGATATCTTTCCAAGATGGATTTGATCGTAAATGTCTGATAGAGAAATTCGGATTTTTGCTTGTTGGAAAAATTATTAATAGCACATTTGATAATGGAGGTGTTTAAGTTATGAAAATATATCTTCAATATAAATTTAATACGATAAATATCCATAGACATTTGAAAATGAATGTCTATTACAATAAATTTGTATCCAGCTTCATAATTAACATAATGACCAGTATGAACTGAAGTAAATCAATGAAGTATGTGATCCAATCTCATGAATTTATTTCTACTATCTTGATTTCAGATAATAGAAATTGGAAATCAAATGGTTTAGTTATAAGATTCTATTCACAAAAATGTCTCCCATCAGATAAGTAATTCATCTCATAGAAACTCAAGTCATATAGCATATTAAAGCCTAAGAAATAATAACATTGGTTTCCATACAAAAACATATTTAGCTATACTGATGAAATATTAAATATTCCGACTGACAATGATTTTTTCGCATTTCACCTTCAAGACGGTTATTGCTGTTTTGACACTTACCAATGGGAGGTTCGTCGTCTTCCGTATCGAATGAATACGTCAAAGCCCTAGAGACATTAATATCATCAAATTACAAGAACGAACAATTCTTGGACAGGATTATTAGCGCTGCTCCACATAGAATTGAAGCTCCGCCGGTAGATCCTAAAATCCTGAACTCTATAGCGACCGCCCAACCGGACAATATTATAGGATTACTCAGGCAATGCGTCGATTATGTTGAAAAGCTTGAGGAATCGAAATCTGATTTAACTGCTGACGAACATAACAAATTTTCACTTGTTTTACAACTTTTCGTTACCGCCTCTACAGTACTTGCTCACAACCCGAAGCTCATTAAGCAATTCGAAGAGCTTGTTGTAGTTCCAGGATCCGAAGTCATCTACGCCGACGAGAAGCCAAAGAAGGCCAAGAAGGAAGAAAAAGCTGCTGAACCAAAGAAAGGCAAGAAGGCAGCCAAGAAGGTCGAAAGCGACGAAGATGAAGAAGAGGAAGAGGAAGAAGAGCCAGAGGAGAAGCCAAAGAAGAAGGGAAAGAAGGGCGCCAAGGTCGAAGAAGAAGCTCCGAAGAAGAAAGGAAAGAAAGGAGCCAAACAGCCAGAGCCAGAAGAGAAACCAAAGAAGAAAGGCAAGAAGGCAGCCAAGCAACCAGAGCCAGAAGAGGAAGAGGAGGAAGAAGAAGAGCCAGAAGAGAAGCCAAAGAAGAAAGGAAAGAAATTTAAAGCTGCCGAGCCAGAACCAGAAGAAGAGAAGCCAAAGAAGAAAGGAAAGAAATTTAAAGCTGCCGAGCCAGAACCAGAAGAAGAGAAGCCAAAGAAGAAAGGAAAGAAAGGAGCCAAGGCAGAAGAACCTGTAGAAGAAGAAAAGCCAAAGAAGAAAGGAAAGAAAGGTGCCAAAGCCGATCCAGAGCCAGAAGAAGAGAAGCCAAAGAAGAAAGGCAAGAAAGGAGCCAAAGTAGAAGAACCAGAGCCAGAAGAAGAGAAACCGAAGAAGAAAGGAAAGAAATCCGCTGCCGCTCCAGCAGAAGAAGAAAAGCCAAAGAAGAAAGGCAAGAAGGCCAAAGTTCCTGAGCCAGAACCAGAAGAGGAAGAGGAGGAAGAAGAGGAACCAGAAGAGAAGCCAAAGAAGAAGGGAAAGAAAGCGGCCAAAGTAGAAGAAGAAGCTCCAAAGAAGAAAGGAAAGAAATCTAAGGCAGCAGAACCAGAGCCAGAAGAAGAGAAGCCAAAGAAGAAAGGAAAGAAGTCAGCTGCTGCTCCTGTAGAAGAAGAGAAGCCAAAGAAGAAAGGTAAGAAATCCAAGATCCCTGAACCAGAACCAGAGGAAGAAGAAGAGGAGGAAGAGGAACCAGAAGAGAAGCCAAAGAAGAAGGGAAAGAAGGCTGCTGCTAAAGCTGAAGCTCCAAAGAAGAAAGGAAAGAAAACTAAAGTTGTAGATTCAGATGAAGACGAAGAGGAAGAAGAGGAAGAAAAGCCAAAGGCAAAGAAGCCATCCAAGAAAGGAAAGATCGTCGAACAAGACGAATCAACAACAAAAGTCGATCGCAGCTCAATGTCTCTCTTATCTCGCTTTACATCATCTGTATTCAAGTGCATGTTCAAGAGCAACATCACTGTTACAGAAAAGGATACTGGATTCTGGTCAGATATATCATCTACAAATGAGAACGCCGCTCTCACCCGCTATGACTTCGTCCATACTGTCCTTGCCCTTACAAATATTGCTGCTGTCGCACATCCCATCAAACCACTCCCAAGATACACAATCAGCGTTCCTCCATTCAGAGGTGATCTCTTCATCAACAGCCTCTGCCGCATCGCAGCCAACTTCGTCAGCGAGTTCAATTCCGGCTCCATTACCGTTTACAGCGCTGAGATGATCAAGAATTGTTTCGCATTAGTCGCAGACTTCGCTACAAAGGATCCACTCTTCGCCCGCGGCTTTGCCAAGATCGATCCAGAGGTCGCCATCCAGGCATTTACAGGAAATCCGATCCAAAACGAGTTGATTTTCGATCCAACCTCTGCATTCTCATCTGCTTCACTTTCCTTCTTGTACATGATGGCCTTGAACAATCCAACCTTCGTTCAGACCCTCGCTAAGAAGGATCTTTCGAACAGATTCATTTTCGACCTTATCTACACGATGCAGTTCTCATTCGAGAAGGTCGGAGTCTGCTACGTCCACTCCATCCTTGTTTCCACTCTCATGCTCCTTCTCAACGACAAATTAGCAGTTGAGAACTTAATGCAGCCACAGAAGCAGCGATTACTCGTCAACTTCAAGCCACATTCATCAACATTCGTCGACTTACTCATTGAGATTGTTCTCAACCTCTCAAAGAACGAATCTCTCCTTCCATCGATTGTCTGCCTCTACCATTTGATTTCGGAGCATATCAAGGAGATTTCTCTCTTCGCAACATTCAAACTCTTGACTCTCTTCGAAACAATCGCCGAAGCTACACTCAAAGACAAGAGCGAGCGCAATCGCCGTCTTTGCGAGATCTTCATGGAAGGTTTCGTAAGGAATATGATGAACGGTGTCAACATCAGAGTACTTTTCGTCCAGAAAGCTCCAATTTTCCGCAAACTCGAATCAGATGACGATCTCGAGTTCAACTCTTCTTTGGAGGCCATCGTTGCATTCCTCGGTGAAGCAAAGAAGATGATGTCCAAGGCAAACAAGAAGACAATGGGTACAGAGGAGGCATACGAGATGTTCAAGGGAATGGACATGGAAGATGTATTCGAAGACATCGACGTCGAGTTCAAGAACCATCCTCACATCTTCGCAGGAGAAATGAAGAAGACTTGGGTCGAATGGTCTGAGATGCTCTCCCTCAAGGCTTATGAGGTAGAAACAAATATGTTGAACCAGGTTCAGTTGTAAGATATATATATTTATTTTTATTTTTTTTTGCGCAATAAGAAAAAAAAACTGATTGATTGAAATAACAACATTAAAGTATTATTTTATACAATAAATGCTTAATTTGATACAGAAAAACTTCTTATCTTCAACAAAAATGGAAGATTTCGAATACGAAATCTGGTTCATCATGAAAATAATCAATTCTTATATAGAAAAACATAAATATGTCGACTTACTAAAAAGAATGATATAGGAATTAATAGAATTAAATGTCAATTTTGAATCTGTGATAGGTAAATATGAGGTAATTCTAAAATATTTGGTAATAACATTGTATACCATGTAAAAATATTAAGAATTGCAGTATTGTTTTGTTGAAATAATGTTTTTATAATTCCAAATTTTTTTTGAAAATCAAAAAATGATGAAAATTTCTATAAACATTGTAAGGCAATTGGATTTTTGAAATTTTTTTGGAAGTTATCATACATTTATTTTTAGATGTAGATTTGTATTTCTTTAAAATTATTAGCTTTCTTAGGTTATTTCAAGATATTGGATTCAAAATTATTAAATAATGTGGCTATGAGATTGATAATATAATGTATTCATATAATTGATTAGAATTAATAGTTTATAATTTGATTATACAGGATTTTACGCTGACGTATAGAGGAAATCACTCGAAATTCAATGATTTCATTTAAGTTTAAAGAATATGAACATTGACCTCGAACATAACTAATGTCTTGGCATAGCAAAACTTCCAAATTGTCATGTTTTTTGTTTAAATATCGCTTTGAGTATTGTATTTTTTACAAATATAAGGTTTGAAGTAACATGCAATTTATGATAGTGATGTATATTTAATCAAATTTAATCATTTTATTTTAATTGGCATAAAACGGTTTTTTGTTTTTTTGAATGTTTATTGAATCGGTCATTGTAAGAGCGAAAAACATGATATTCTTAATCCTCTTGTTAATTAAATATTGATTGGGATTTACTTTTATCAGACTTATTTGTTGTCATATGATTAGTAAAATTTATTCAATTTTCGTTGATTTTTTAGTTCAAATAAATTATTATCGTATACAAAAATTGAGTAGAATGAATGATTTTGTTTTGCATAATCAAACCGATTCAAAAATCAATGTTTCAGATTCTTCTTACCCTCGCATCCTCCAAGAAGCCGGTGATTCTTTTGCCCGGTCTCATAAGCTCCGTTCTCAGTGGCGATGTCACAAAGAAGCGTTACTGGTATTGTCCGAATGTAAAAGACCAACAAGTATGGTTTAATGATGATTATGTCCTTCCACCAACATACTATTGCCTTTTGGACAGTGTTAGACTTGAATGGGATGATAAGCTCAATAACACAAAGCAACCCGATTATGTCAATCTTTCTATCGTTGATTTCGGTGGACTGAATGGCATCAATAACATTGATTCATTGGGTGATACACACTTTGTTCCATATTACAAAGTCCTTGTTGACAGATTGATCCAAGAAGGATATTCAGAGCGTGTTGATTTATTTGGTGCTCCTTTCGACTGGAGATTCGGCCTTAACCTCCCACAAGACTTCTATAACCAATTCACCGCTCTCGTTGAACAAGCCTACACAACAAACCAAAACCAGAAAGTTACACTCATTGGTCACTCAATGGGTGGCTTCTTCATCAACCACTATTTGGGCAGACTCATGCCAAAGGAATGGACTGAAAAGTACATTGAATCAGCCATTTTTGTTGCTCCTGCTTTTGGCGGCTCGGGAATTGCCTTCGAGACACAAGTCACCCACAAGCTCCCATGGCTCAGTATCCTTGGCGAATTACCTGAAACAGTTTGCTCTATTCAGGGAATTCACATCCACATGCCAAACCATGTCATTTTCGGTGATAAGACACTCGGCTACAAACCAGATGGCCAACCACTTGTCGCTCGTGAAATGACAGATTTCCTCATCAATCAGGGATATTTGACAGGAGATTACATCAAGATCCACAACAAGATGAAACCATTCTTCGTTGATGCTCCTCCACAGCCACCAGTTCCATCCGCTGTCATCTACAATTCTGGCCTTCCAACAATCCAAGGCTTCGATTTCAGAACAAAGGACCGTGAAATGGTCTTCGGCGGTGGTGATATGATGGTTAACGAAGAAGGACCAGAGTATGCCTGCAACAACTGGAAGAATACTTCTTGCCTCGACCTTAAATCAGCTGATCTTAAGAATGACAACCACTTAACAATCATCTACAACAAGGATGTCCTCGAGTTCATTGTTAACTGGATCAAGAACTTCTAAGCGATGATTTGATTTGTTTCATGCGCGTATTATTTTTAAAATTTTATTTATATCTTTTCCATTTAATTTTCAATAAATTTTTCGAACACATAACTTAAAATACAAAGAATATCATTTGATTTATCTATACATTTGAGAAATTAATTTTCCAAAATTTTATATCTCAAAATAATATTCAAAAATGAAGTTATTATATGAAATGTTATCGAACATATTGATAGTATGTAGTCAATTTTTATTAAAACAAAAAACACTCTATAATTTTAGTCAGCAAGAATTGAATTATCTGGGTTAGCAATATCAGTATCAGCACCATAGAAGGAAAATCCAGGGACATCAGCTTCATCTCCCATAACAGGAGGAACAAATGAATCCATTTTTTGTTCAGAAGTGTATTCATTATCGAAATACTTGACATTTGCCTTATCTTCAAGGGTTGGAATATAAGGAGGAGTAATTCTCTTGTTCAAAACATCATCAAAATTAAATCCGGAGAAAAACTCATTTGAAGCGATTTCTTCAAAGCAGAATCTCTTCTTTGGATCCTTTCTTAATAATCCTTTGATGAAATTGACTTCAATTGGATTTGCATTGTCAGGAAATGGAACTTCATCTTTTAAGATTTTCTGGAAGAGCTGCTGATTGTTCGTACTACGGAAAGGAGGATTATGATAAATAAGTTCATAAGTCAAAATTCCAAGTCCCCACCAGTCAATTGCCGTATCATAAGGTAATCTCTTGATAACTTCTGGAGCAATGTATTCTGGAGTACCGCAAAATGTCGAGGCAGACTCATCAATCGTAATATCCCTTGAAAGACCGAAATCGGTCAGTTTGACATATCCGTCAGCGTCAATTAATATATTTTCAGGCTTCATATCTCTATAAATGATACCTATACTATGCAAATATTGCAAAGCGAGGGCAACTTGTGCAATGACAAGTTGATATTCACGAGGTTGTAAGAAACCATCGCGATAAATATGTGTAAAGAGTTCACCACCGGGAACATATTCAAGACCAAGATAGAATTTGGATTGCGTTTGAAAAGCGAACTTCAATTGAACGATAAATGGATGATGGGACTTTACCATGATATTACGTTCGGATAATACAATTCTTATCTTATTCTGTTCAATGAGAATTGACTTGCGAATGGATTTGATAGCAAATAATTCACCAGTTCTCTTGCATTTAACAAGAAGAACTTTTCCATAAAATCCACGCCCGATCACACTTAATACTTCAAAACAATCCATGTTAAGGTCTGGATTAGAGAACGTAATACTGCGCAAGAGTAAAATCCATGACATCATTTCATCATTATTTCGCGCTTCAAAAACGGAAACTTCACCATTGGCATCTTGAATGGAAAATCGATGCTTTTTAGGATCTTTGACAATATCAATTTTGGTATCTGGAGTAATTTCAATTAAAAATTCAACATTGTTTACTTTTTCTGATTTTGAAATGACAAGCTGTGATCCTACAAGCTTGCAGAACTTGGGAGACCAGAAACCCAATTTGCCACGCTTTTGAAGCCACCCGCCAGTACTTCCAAGCGTATTCATTTTATGATTTCAAATTGTGATAAAATTTGGTCGAGTTAATTCAATTAACCAAAAGGTGACAAAATTGAAAGAAAACAGTAAAAAATTCAAAGTGATCCAATCGATCCCATCAAAAGGCATTATTTGATAATTAGGGTTAACAAAGGATTTAAAGCGAACATTATTATTATCCTCCTAAGAGTTAAAATGAGTTCAAATTTCATACGATTTCTTCAAATATTTTCCCAGGTCTGATGGATGAAAATAATATGGGGAATTCATTAGACCAACATAAAAATGGCTATTTTTCTAAGAAAAAGGCAATTTTAATGAGAAAATTAAATTTTGATATTTTCTTTCTTGGAACTGATGATTTCCCGTAATCGAACAAAGAATACCGTTGGAGTATATACTAATTGTACCTCCTTTTTGGAAGTATCTTATCTATTTCATTGGGATATCATCAAAGAGGGAATTGTTCATAAAATTTTTAAAGCAATACGTCGATCAAATATTACTACAGCACAAATTCACAAACTCTCAAATAAGAATTCGGTATACACATTATGAGTTGCAAGCATAAAGAGACATTACAATTTTCTCTCTGTTTACAGATTATTCTTCAAGTAAATTCGTATAGAGTCACATTTTCATCGCTAAAATAGTATTGTTTCAAAATATTGAATATTTTTGCATCAATCTTTAAAGTAAATTTTAATGCATACCAAAGCATTATTTTGAGGAAATAAAGATGGTGTGTTGATTAAAAAAGGCTAATCGACGAAATTAAATTTTGGATTGAATAAGAGAACAATTATTAAGAGTAATGCACCGGCGGTAAAGGGAAAAAGTACTCAAGTCAATTTGATCAAGTTCATTTGCATAAAACTTACGAGAAATCAATGGTTCACAAACCGTTTGTGAGCAATTCTATTATTTACCGAGGTAATTCAATAATACATAGATGGTTGGTCAGATGTTTTTATCTGAAATCCTTCAGAATCAAAAACCAATCATAAAACTCATTCTTTAGTTTATATGTCACTTTTCTATTTGTCGCTTCTTTCACAAAATTTTGAAAACCTCTGAGAACACTTCAAAACTACTCAATTAAAATAGGTCATTGCATTTCAGAAATAATTTAAACATTGAAATACTTTTTTATTTTCCTCTGCCTAATTTTCAATTGAAAAGTAAATCCTCTCAAAAAATGATAGGTTGTCACCTTTCAAAATTTATAATAAATTGTAAATCATTCAATTTCGATCAACTTCATTTTTGCGTAATGTCGCTTGAAGTATTGTCAAAACTTAAACAACCAGGTACTGGTGGCCTCAACTACTTTGTTGCTGCCCATGTTGGTGGTGCTGGCATCAAAATGAGGTTCACTGACGCCAATGATTCCACAAATTTCGTTGACTTACCATTACTTAAGGCCCAAGACACAGTCAGTCTCTTAGGACAAGTCAGCCGCGTCAGCAACGAGTTTGATAACCGTTTCAACAAGTCAATTTGCTGTGGTGCAGTCGTTTCAATCGTAGGACCTGTCAAAGACGGCGAAACAGGTGTCCTCACAAACTGGGCAGGCAGACCAGATGCCAGAACAATCTCTGTTCAGCAACTTCCTGTTAAGTTGTTCCCAACAGGATAAACTCATTTCGTCAATGACGTTCATGCTCATTCATATGGCTTAATTGAAGCCGACAATGACGGCTCATTGAACGACAAGTTCCAGCAGATCTGGATCAAGCAATCCAAGAGAGGTCCAATGATTTCTCAAAAGAGAACTTGCATTTTAACAGTCGGCTCAGGTATGGGTGTCGCTGTTATTTTGAAGGACCCACTCCTTAAGTCACCTTTCGTCTTCTCATCTGAAATGGGACACCTTCATGTACCATCAATCCTTGATGACGAGACAAAGTTGATCAAATACATCTCCATGAGAACTACAATGACAGAAGCAGCCCAGAATTCGAAGATATTGTTAGTGACAGAGGTTTAGCCATGTTATACCAATATCATTACTTCGAAGACCACGAAGTCAAGATCCAAATTGATGAAATCGATACAAAGGATATCATCAACCTTGCACGCAAGTCAAACGTCACAGCAAAGAAGGCTCTCAACGATCACTACAAATATCTTTCAAGAGCGGCCAAACTTCTTGCTCCAACAATCGGATGTGACTCTGTCTTGATTTCACACGAAAGCTACAGCAAGAACAACTGGTACTTCAATTCTATCCAAGATGACCTATACAACGAATTCAAGAGATTCAGCCGTCCACAGTGGATGCAGAACATCAGAATCTACAACCAGGTTAAGGACTTCGACTTCAATGTTATCGGTGCTTCATATCTTGCAAAGAAATATGCTGAGAATTAAATTTTAACTTGTATTTAGAATAAAATTTATGAAAAATAACTAAAATTCTTAATCTTTTTTGTTAATTAACATCAATAAATTATTCATGAAATATTGTTCAAAACCATTATCTGTTAAGTAGTTTATCGTTCAAAACAGGAAATAAAAAAGCCAATTCTATTACTTCAACATATTGAATCACATAATTTTAAAACAATATCGATTAATATCTTGAAACTAGACTGTTTTGTTAGACATATCAATTTGTCTAAGTAAGTATTGCATAGTAAAGATATGAAGAATGATGTATATCTATTCAATCAAGTATCGATATTAGATTTTTAATTGAATTTGTTTGAAATAGCAATCAATAGCGTATGTATACAATGGATTAATGATTCGCTTTATTAAAATCAAAAAATCAAATTTGGAATCACATTTCTATTGACAAAATTGCTCGCAATCAATACAGCCCAACTCACAATATCGATTAAACGATGCTTATCAATGAAATAGAAAACGGTATTGTCAGTTTAAAAACAAACCGTTTATTTATTTTCAAAAAAATGTCTGCACGCAAACCAGCAGCTCGCACATCTGCTCGTCGCCAAGGCCGTCCACGCGTTGAGCTCACAGAAGATCAGCGTCTTGAAATCAAGGAAGCATTCGACATTTTCGACTCAGACAAGTCTGGATCTATCGATAAACATGAACTTCGTGTTGCTATGCGCGCTATGGGATTTGATGTTTCAAAGAACGAAATCCTCGAAATTATGGAAAATAAGGATCCAGATAACACCGGATCCATCAACTTCCAAGCATTCCAGGAAGTTGTTGGAGATAAAATGGCACAGCGCGATCCAATTGAGGAAATCAGAAAGGCATTCGCTCTCTTCGATGATGATCATACAGGAAAGATTAGCATAAAGAACCTTAGACGTGTTGCTCGCGAATTAGGCGAAGCAATGACAGATGACGAGCTCCAGGCTATGATTGATGAGTTCGATACCGACAAGGATGGATATATTAGTGAGGCCGAGTTCATCGCTATCATGGATCCAACCCAATCCGTTTAAATCGTTTTTTTCTAAATAATTATTTTATTAAAGGGTTACGTTAATTGTCTTCATATTTTTACCGATTTTTCTACAGTCCTAAAAAAGCCTGAAAGAGCAAAAATCATATTTGTTCTGATCGATGTAACATTTCAGAAATCACTTTCATCAATAAAATCATAAGTCTTCTAGTAATTTAATTTTTCACCGGTTTGAAAATACAATCTGATCATTATGTTTCGTTATTTGCAATATTCTTTACAATTCATATGAAAGATCCGATCAATGACAATGATTTCATAAAGTCATACAGATCTGTTGTTTGGTCTTATATAAAGACTCATACAAGCCTTTACATATATTTATCGTATGAAAAATCACTTTTTTTCTATTCGAAATAGATCAAATCGAAGAAATTTAACACCAATTTTACTCATTATCAGTTCTCAAAAACACAAATGAAAATTATTAATTGATTTTTGATTTTTTTTTTCTTATCAAATTCATTGGACACAGAAATTGATTAGTTTGGTGCCTGCTTAAGCTAATGAATTTCTGTTACACACTCAAAATTATTTGTATATTTGTAAATTTATAAAAAAAGTTAAAAAGAGCGTGGGTGGTTGCCCTACCCGGTGCCCGGCATTTGAATGTTGGGACGCTCATGTTTAGAATTGGAGTGGCTTGAAGAACCATGCCATCTTGTTGTTGAGGTACTTCTGGCGAAGGACGGCGGCGTATTCTGTAAGGAGAGCCTTCTTAGCTGGGGCATCCTTGAGAGCAGCAACAACCTTCTCGACGGAGATCTTCTTGAAGAAGTCCTCATCCTTTACGTTGTGGCGTGTAAGCATAACGTGGTTGAAGTTGACGGCCTTAACGAAGAGCTTAACCTGTGTCTTCTTAACGAGGACTTCTGTTGGCATGTCCTTTGTGACCTTCTTTGGATACTTCTCGATACCCATAACGATGGCGTATGGGAACTTACGGTCTTCTGTGCCTTCTGGGTAGGCAGCAAGAACGACAGCCTTCTTACCGGCATGGCGGCCTTGGAGCATAACAACGAAACGACCAGCTTGGAGGAGAGACATTGATAGGAAAGGAAGACCAACCGATTATTTTCCTCACAATTTCAATCTTCCTAATTAGATCCTAAAAACAGTATCTCATTATTATGCAAAATAAAATTTCTGCTGAAAATTAGCTTCATGTTTGATTACATTCAATTTTCCAAAATCATTTCTTGTCAATTCATTGTAATCCTATAATATAATTTTCTATACTAGATTTCTAATCATTCTATCTTATGCTATTGCTTTAATAGTATAATCCAAATCGATTTTTCTTCAACTTAGGGCATTTTTATTCATATGTGTAATCATAGCTATGAAATCGTAAAAAACGAAGCATAAAATCGTAAGTGATCTGCTCATTCATGCTGTTGAGGAAAATTCGAAAATATTAACATAAAATATTCAATTTTTATTTACAATATGTAGTTAATTTATACGAGATAATGAATGAAAAGACAAATTTCGATTATTTCAAATTTTTATGAAGAAATTTCGAGAAAAGTATAAATATAACAGAAAGAATGGTAATTTTTGAAATTCTTCAGGACTTCGTATCAGAAATCAAAAGATTCTCTATGCTTGATTTCATCTCTTGCTTGTCGATAAAGTTCTTTTTGCAATTCAATCATTTGCTGCTGTGTCAAGCCAGTTTCTTTAGGTTTTGGCTTTTCTTGCTTCTTTGGCATTTGAACTGCTTCTGCCTTAGTAGCATATTCTGGAAATCCTAATGTTTTGCAAGCATCAACAACGTCCTTTTGAACAACAAGTTTACCATGTTTATCACATTCAGTTGCAATAGCAGCAGCCAGGATTTTAGAAAATTCTAGTATGCACATTGAAATTGCTGTTTTAGTTTCTTCTTTAATACGCTTGACTTTGGGGAATTCGTTTTTAATGATATTTTTGATGTTGTTTGAGAAGTTGATACTGTTTATATCTTTATTAGACATAGTAAAATACTAAAATGATTTTTTTTCAAAGGGAATTGTAAAAATTGATGGTTTTAAATCGGGAAAATCACGAAAAAGAGTCTATGTGTGAATCGGTCATAGTGTAATGGTTATCATGTAAGATTGTCGTTCTTTTGATCCGGGTTCGATTCCCGGTGACCGAGCTTTTTTGTTTTTTTTATTCCGCCCAATTATTCTCTTCATTATTTCCCAGGAATTACTCAATTGTTGTTACCACTGCTTCTTGGGGATTTTGAACCAAAAAGCAACTAATTTTCAATAATGTTCAATTTGAATATTCCTCATATTCCTTTATGACAAATTGCCAGACATTTGAGGGCAAATGAATCTTGAAACTTAACCAATCAAAAATCAAAATATTGAATTTGCTTTCTGATTGACTCAATATCACTACATTTCTCCATCAAAATTAAATTTCACACATAATGAAAATTTTAAATAATCTTTAGCATCACTTAGATCATACTTACATCTAATAATGAAACCATGAAAGATCAATCTTCGAAGAAAACAGCTCGACGGATACTATCAGAATGTGTACGGAAACGAATTCACTTAATTTTATCTGTATTTCCAAAGTTTCCAAATTTGATTGAGTTAACTCCAAATCTCTTGGATAAACTATCAGCAGAGATTTCACAGAACCCAGTGGACAGATACCAGCTCATACAGATAACATTTGGCGATAATTTCTCAAGATAACCTTTAAAATTTGTTTACATATGAAAATTTTAAGATCGAATTTTATTGTTAATCCACATTGTAAATCTAAAATTAATTAACAGAATATTTCTTAGAAATCACGATCACTATGAAAAAGATACGTTATTTCAACAAAAATTCATAATTTATGTTAGTTACACACATATAATATATGTGCTCAAAAACAAATTAGCGATATTGAAAGGTGACAAAATTTGAATACAATTTTCAGTAAAACTTAAAAAATGGATTCTCACCGGTCTTCAAGTGCTGCTTCCTCATCGCATCATACACAGACGCCTGACTTAAAGAAGCGAGCATTGCCAAGTAACTCATTTGCAATGAAGACTTTTCCATTTATTTCGTTATTACAAAGGCAAATCGTACCTTATCGTATATGGACATATCTATTAACGTTTTTGCAGTTTTTCAGCATCTTGTCGTACCTCTTTTTGCAAACCATTTTCCACATTCAAAAGCAGATTTTTATGTAACATCAATATGCATGCTATGCCCAAATACATACGGTAAAACATGGAAAATACTTAGTGGTATAGTCATCGCTGTTGGTTATTTATCAATGATCTTCTTCCTTTTATTGATTGGCTTATTTAAATATTCAAACACACTTCCAAGATGGTCAATCGGCCTAGTGTCAGTTATAATGCATCTAATCGTTCCACTCATCTTCTTACCAACAGCTTCTATCGCAGGATCCGCTTTAGAATTTTTATTAAACTTGACTTACGACAAAACCATCACAACATCATTATTCGTATTAGCATTACTATTGTGGATTGTTCTTATAGGATTTTTTTACATAATTACGCTATTTTCCGCCCATACAGTTTTTTATCATGATTCAGTAGCCACATACTTTGATGGCAGATCAATCTTCTATTCCTACATATTTAATTCGATTATCTTATTTGTTGCTTGGATTTCGAAAGATTTAAACAAAGATTTTCCATATTTTGTAGGAGCTATTCAAATAGTGCTTAACGTGTTCCTTATGTATCATGTATTTCAATTCCCATTTACTTACATCTTTTTAAATGCAGAATTCGGAGCCACATTAATCGGATCTACATTTGCTGTGATTGGCTACTTCATTTCCAAATCATACGTTCCATTACGTTATATACTAGCTGTTTCTACATGGTTTATTGCAGATGGAGTCATCTATTTCATAATGAAATTTTATGTCAAGAAATTACTTCTCAGAACAGAGTTTACCAACAACAAATCAGCCATTATACAGTTCAGATTAGCAGTTGCCACCTTTGACAACAGTTTCTTGACAGGAAAAGTCATTGATATGTTAACACAAGGTACAAATGACTACACAGTTCGTTTGGAGATCGCCAAATTCATTTGTTTCTTCCAAGAATTCCAACCGCAGTTCACTGCCCAGCTTGCGATGTTGAGAAACTCGAATGGTCTATCATTAGGAGAGAGTTTCCTGTTTTATCAGCTTAGAATCGTCGAAACAGGTCGTCAGCCTCTTTGTGCCGTTGACGAACTCATTCCTTTACGCGACGAAACAAAAAGAATTGAGATGAAAATAAGAGCCGCATGGAAATACATCCAGAACAACAGCGAATTCTTTGCTCCAGCCATTATGGAGCCAATCACCCGAGAAGTAACTGCTTGCGACCATCAATGGCAAGATGCACTTAATAAATATCCAAGAAACGCCTTGTTAGCAGAAGAATATGCACATTTCTTGGTCGAATGCAAATGTGATTTCGACCAAGCCGCTCAATGGCATTACCAGGCCTTGCAACTCCAAGATGGCAAAATATTCAAATATGATGCAGCTTGTTTGAACTTTTTGCACATATATCCTGAATACGCCGTCAAGATTATCAACAAAACAGTCATTTCCACCATGGATGACCTCGATGTTAAAGCAAAAGAAGATTCATTAGGTCAATTAGTCGAACATCCTCGCTTACGACTCGAATTCCAACGCGCAATATCCGGCCACATAACCTTTGCACTTCCTGTTCTTGCCTGCATGTCAATGCTTAAGTGTTTGGCCTTTTTAGCGTTTTGGATTTATTTAATTTCGACATTTATTGGTACATTCAATCAATCTGTTGATAGAATGACATTAATTAAGAATTCAACAGACATAGGTGAGAGCACAGCACTTTCCATGATTAGTTTTGCATTGTATTTCGCAAATCACAGTGACATTCTTCCGACAATTGCAGAAATGGCTGCTGTTATAGGCCAAGACAGGGTCAATGAGACAGGATATGTCATTAATCCATTCTATTCATATCTTTTGAATGCGCACGAGTTCATAGAGAATGGAACGAATTCTTTAGTTGATGTCTACAATGGAATGATTGAAGCAATTATTGATGGTGATAAAATCATGAATTCTGTGAATACTTTGTTCAAAACAAACTATACAATTGTTTACGCGAATTCATTATTTATGAATGTTAATGGTGGAAATGAATCACTGGCTTTCATTTTCTCTAATTATTTCATGACTGCACACGCTTTAGCCACCAAAGGTGATTTTGACATGTTCGATACAACCGCTTTTGACATGTTTAATTTAGCGAGTTTAATTGTGGATAATATCAATAAATTCGCGGAAACATTTGTCGAAGAAAAAGGTTATGAACCTGGCCAGTTCAAGACATCAACATTTATTGTAATAGCTATTGTTTATGCAGCTGTTTTCATTACTTCTGATTTAGTATTGATTTTTGTTTTGAATTTCAGAATGATGAAAACTTTGTTTGCTTGTAAGAAATTTTCTGAAGAGACATTCAATGAAATTTCTTCGAATATATTTATTGCACAGATTTCTACTGATGCACCAAATATGTCTGCATCTATTTCGAAGACAGAAAAGAATAATACAAAAGGAATTTTGTTGCTTATTGTTGAAACAATTTTGACTTTGTTGATGTTATTAGGAATTGTCATTTTTATTTTGGCAATGAGAAGAACATCAAAAGATTTTATCAGTATGTCTGAAACTTTGTTATATGCTGCTGTTAGGAAATCAAAAGCAATTGAATCTACTTATTCATTGATTATTGCTAATTCTTTAATAAGAGTTGCTGATGATTCAGGATCTCTTGGAGAAGAATTCAAGTGATATGCTTATACTTATATTTTGGAAGCAAGTAAGAGTTTACAGACAATGATGACAGCTCATCAACAATGCTCTACAGGGCTTTATGGAAGAGATGGTTTAATTGATACGATTAATAGTATAAGAGCTGATTCACCTTGTAACTTTAGTTTGAGCGAATCTACTTATCATGAAAGTCTTGCTTGTTTGTCATTAGATAGTGGTGTTTCTGCTTTTTATAATTTAATGACAGGGTTAATTATACAGGCTTCTTCAACAACATTTTTCACCGACTCTGATTTCATACAAACATTCCATTATATTAATTCCCATTTGTATTACCAGATGGAAGAAAGAGTTGATGATCTTTTGGAACAAGGTAAAAAAGAAGGTGATGTTTCTGATACTTTTGTATCGGCTTTGGCGGTTATTTGTATTTTTATCACTTTAGTTGAATTTTTGATATCTGCTTATAGGAATGTCTTCTTGTTTAGAACGTATAGAACATTGATCAATTTCATTCTTAGAGCAAATCCTACTGATGCCGTCGCAAATGATGATTTAATGATGATTTTGTTGAATAGAAAAATTTCTCAGAGAATGGCAAAAATGTCAGAAACTGCAACTTTACTTGCCAACACTTCCCATCCATTGATATTCACAACGCATGATGGAGTTATTGTATATGTTAATTCTTCTTTCCAGATTGTGTTTAACTACGAAGTTTCGCATATTGTTGGTCAAAATATTTCTTTGATAACTGACATTGATAAACTTGAAAAAATTTATCATCAAGACAAAACTATTAAAGAAACAGTTGTTAAAGATGATGCAACGGAAGATGAAGGATTTAATAAGCATGAAACTGTTGTTTTTGATCATAAGAATCTTAGAATGAAAAGAGAAAATGGACAAGAAATAGAATGCGATGTTTTACCAATAATGACAGGAACAAGGTCAAATAAATTGTTTGCTTTCGTTGTAACTGATCTTAGCTCTGTAACTGCTAAGCAAAAGAAGATAAATATTCTTAAAGGAGCAAATGATACTTTGCAAACAAATATGATGCCAAAAGTTTTGTCTGAAAATGAAGGAAAAACAAAAGTTGGAAATGCAACAGTTTGTACAATAAGATTGGTTCAATTCTCTAATTCTTTGGCTCCTGCTGCTGTAATGAAACAAAAGAAATCGATATTGGTAAAACTAGATGAATGTTTGAAGAAATACGACGTGTTAGAAATATTGTTTTTCGCACAAGGAATGTATTCAATAATTTCTAGGGATCCTAATGCAACTACACATGTTTTCAGGTTTATTGATGATGTATTGGCTTCATTCGATGACCCAACATTCTTCGGAGAAATTACAATTGGCGTGGATACAAATGGAGAAATTGATTTGAAAATTACTGATAAAGAAATCAAAGAAATTGTTTCGTTGGTCAGGAAAAGCTTGTGTTACAGAGGCTGTCTACAACCAAGTCGCTAATATTGGAGCTAAGTTTGTGTCAAAGAAAGATCCTGTTTTAGGTTCATATTACTCTGTTGAACCTTTGGAAAGATAATTGTATTTTTTTTATAATTATTATGTTTGATTAATATAAAAAACTCTTTTTAATATACTTTACTACTTAATTCATATGAGTTTACCTTTTGTACTATCATCTATATCATGCTTATTAAGAAATCTAACAAGTTTTTTATATAAAGTTTTAATGAACGATTTCTTCAAATCATATAGTCAATCATATATGCTATATTAATGCGATTTTTCAGTTGCTCATCAATTATTTATACTTATTCACATGAAATTAAACTATGTTTAAGGCTCAAATACATGTTGCAACTAAGTTTAATGAAATTTAATTACTTTGTATATGAATTTTAATAGAAAAGAAACGAGAGTATTAAATTCAGTCTTAATGAACAATGTAATCTTTAAATATAATAAGAACATATAATCTTAACATGAATTTTGAATTATCAAAATTAATGCTTAAAGAAGAATATTTTGCATTAAATAGCTATTTACTACTTTAGCTTATTCAAATTCACATAATTGTTTCTTGATAACTAATTCAGATACAGAGAAAAATCAAAAATAATTTGGCTAAATTTGTCACTTTTTGAAGAATTAGTATGAACCCCATCATTGCACATCTTTTAGATGGGGTGATCCAAGAGAAAGAGATGTCTCAGCTTTTAGGTACCCTAACGCTTTGCCATGATAAAGATCCTTCTTTTCTCCATTTATTACCTTGGATCGCATTATACTGCAAACCAACAGCGAAAACTAACATGCAAATACTAGCATTCGACTGTTTGGCGCAGTTAACACGTATTTATGGCATTGAATGCGTTCATAATTTTAATGATCTCGCATTAGGTTTTTCAATTGAGTATTCTTTCTTAGATTCCAACAGACAACTCATTGAAGCATCATATAATTTTATTATACAAGCTTTTATGACTCTAAATACAGGAAAACCTCAAGATAAAATCAAAATCATCGCAAAACTCATTCAATTACCTAAAAAATCACTCTTTAAGTACTTCACATTAGCCGACATCAATATCCAGCGTCATTTATTGAAAACAATGATAACTTTCCTTAATAATTTTATTGGTTCTTCATATTTCGAAGTTACACAGCAAGTAGTCAATCTTTTTACAGCGGAAGATGAAGTAGTACGTGAATTAGCCATCAAAGTATATGATACAATCATGAAATTCCTTTCCGTGAACGAAAAATTGATTTTAACTACGAAAAACTTGACTTTACAATTGTATTCGTGTCGTGATTATGATCTATTCGCAACGATACTTATGAGATTGATGAATTTGTTCAAATGCAAAGAGCTATTTGAAGAATTTCAAAAAATGGAAGTTAATTTTCCGAAAATTTTATATAATTTGGACAATTCACTAAATCCTGACAGATCTCCATTGAAAGTAATGGTCGAATTCATCAAAAATATTGCAGAAATCGATAAATCTGAATCTAAAAAAATCCTTTCAAATACTTTCTCAAAATTGGTATTACATCCTGCAATTCTATCGTCTATCGTTGAAAATTTACACGATTTCCTTACAATTGACTTCATTTCACAATATTTGGATTATTTTATCAAATTACTTCATAAAAGAGAGTCCATGGACACAATTATACAAATAATGTCGAACTACAAACGTGATCTGATACCTCCTGACCTCATATCTGCTCTTAATTCCGAAAATGAGAAAAATGAAAATAAGAAATACACAAAATTTGCAGAACTCAATGGAATTCTCACTAAAGTAACACATATAGAAACAATTGCTACCATGGAAACCTTCTCCAGCCTCATAGAAAACCTAAATCCATATGAATATCTTGTTTCAGGGAATTGTGAGACCATTACTAAGTTCATTAACTCACAGACATCATCATTACCTGATCTGACTGCTCAGAGAATCATAGAATCGTGTTTTCAAGCGATAAAATACCTTGATTTGCCAAAACCAGTTGATCCTGTTCCAGGAAAGGACATAAGGACACTCCTCAACTCAATGATGCAGATAAATGTGGAATTTGAAGGAAAAACCTTCAGTTTCAAAGGATTTTCTGATGGATTTTTCACAGAACTCGAAGGATTCATTAATATCACCGAGAAAGAAGTTAATCCAAATGAAATAGCTCAGATATTACGGCGCCATCAAGAAGGATTCCCAAATAATATTCATATCAACGATGAAAACCTTAAACATAGCCTGTACACGTATCTAATGCTTTCCCAACAGATACTGAAGCATCCCAAGTCACAGTTCTACAACTTTTCCATTGGAAAACAGATATTAACCTCTCAAAATTCGATTCTGAGGGCTGTAATATCTTCTCTCCCACAGCCACGTAATTTTCAGAAGACTGTGGCCACAGTGAAGTTGATTCCAATTCAAAATTTTGACAATACGATCGAACAACCAACGAAATACTACCAATGCTCGCTGATTGAGGGTCTAATCAACCTCCTTGATGCTGTATATGCGAAGAATCCGCAATGCGAGTTCGTAAATAGCGGGTTCAACGTATTAGTTAAAAATTTGATAAAACTTTCTCCTTCAGGAGCCGTTACATGGTGCAGCTATCCAGTCTGGCTTGTCAAGAATCGTCCATACCTCTTTAATTTGGACATTCGTCATCTTTCTGCCTATTTATTGTATTCAATGCTTCCTTTGTCGGCTTGCGCCTTTGCAACCCACTTCAGAACGCCTATTCCGAAGATTAGATGCGCTACACCTAGGGTAGATATCAAAAGAAGCGCTATTTTGTCAGATGGCCTGAATGTAATCAACTTTTTGAGGTCCCAGAACATTTGTCCGAACTATTACTTGGACGGATCACCATCTTCTGTCAATGAGTTCCTCTGGAATTACTCCAGAGAGTTCTTTAACGTTAAATTAGCAGAACATCAAATTATTGAAGTAGATGGTTACATATTACCTCAACCAACTGCACCAGATAGCTTCTATCTTCACTTCGGAATCCTCCTTGGCAAGGCAGTTTCTTCTTTGTCTTGTTTGGCCCGACCAATTCACCCAGATTTCTTTGCACTGCTCAAGAATAAGCTAAATACAGACAAAGAAAACATTGTTACGCAAACTTTGACTAACGATAAGATGCCAGCCAAAATGAAATTATTTTCTGAAAGTTTCGGAAGAGTTATCTCTATTTTCGTACTTGATATTTTCTCTCCTAAGGAAATAACTGATATGCTTCACGGAAAAGTCGAATCTTTCGACGCAGATCAAGATTTGAAAACATTTAATTTTTATATCCAAGATAAGAATGATATTCCCGCTTTTTGCTCCTCCTACAAATCATTCGAAATCAAAGAACGTGAGAAGTTCCTCACTAAAATCGTCGGAGCTCCTCAAATTCCGTTTGGAAACATGTCTTTCCTTTATCCGCCAATCAGTATCAAAATTGGGATATATAATGCGATCAACTTGAGAGGAAGAGTGATGCAGATTGTCACAGGTTCGACTCCTGATATTTTATCTACATTTTTAAAGAATTTGTATTAATTGTTTTTCTGTAAATATATTATATCGATTTGTTTAACCGAATTTTATATTATATCATGTTTTACTATAAAACATACTTTGTTTCTTTTGAATTTAGGAAATTTCATGTGAAATCTGCGTCAGATAACTTCTCGGACATTTTCCCCATTTATTTCAATCTCATGAAATAGATTGTCAATGAAATGGGCCTTTGGATTATTGTCGATTTCGTAAATTAATCCAAATTGTCTTTTGAGATAAAATATGAGTATATGGATATTGGGATTGACGAAAGGACTGGAATTGTCTATTTTCATTGAAAGATTGGAATTTAAATGTCTCGAATTTAATAAGTTCAAGGTTTTTTAGTACAGATTATAAAGGGGAAATCCTAAACTCATTTTATAATAGTCAAAGTGAAATGATTTGTATCTAGTCAATTTTTTTCTTTTTTTATTTCATTTTTTTTAAATGAGTTCTGGAGGACCAATACCACCTGATCGTTCAAACTTTCTACAAGTTTTGGAAGATGTATTCGGTAAAGATGAATGGCGTCAGTGGAATTTATTTGGCGTTAAGTTAGGAGGTTTTGGAACAGCGTTTTTACTTGAATATAACGGAATAAATTACTGCCTTAAAATTCAGAATTCTTAGAAGAAGCAGATATTTCAAAAAAGTTATATTTTTTCTCAACATGTAGGCTTATTAAGTGTTCTACCAATAAAAATGTTTTAGCATGGATTCTCTATGAGAACATACCAGGCTGTACTTTATACGACTTGATTACGCAAAAAAAATTGCATTCCATTCCAAATTATGATCTTTTCCTAATGAAAGCATTGGTTTCATCGTACATAACCATTGTTACATTCAATGAAAACACAGATTGTATTATTCGCCATCGCGACATCAACCCAAACAACATTATGGTCAATGCGGACGGAGTTGCCTTTATCATTGACTTCGGACAGTCCAAAAAGTATTCAATAGATGGAATTATGGAGAGTACACGAACTAAACTTCGAGGAACAGGTGAATACAGGCCTGGTTTTGCATCCACAACAGATAAAGATGGAAATAAAAAAGTTATTTCTAAAACCAAAAATAATTGTTATAATTTAAATGAAGAAGTAATTTAAAACGATTTTATTTATGATCAAATTTTATATATTTTTTTGGATCAAATCCATTTTAATAGAATTTATATACTATTCATCTATTAGTAAACACTACCGTATATTATTTTTTAAGCTATCTTATTTTTTGAAATTTTATTCAAATCTTTGGTCGCAAGAAGAATTGCATGATAAATAAAAACATTTAATCAAAGTCAATTTTATTTTTCATATTCTGTAAATCGCATTCCATATTTAGAACCAAAAAGTCCCGGGTATTACAAACTCTTAAAAACAGTGTTGGAAGAGGAGGATAACATTGATTTGAATTGGAAACAAATTCTAGAAGAAATAATTATCAACGCAGGTGATGTTTTAAAGGACCCACAACAATTAAGAGAGTTTCAAGAGTTTGCACGTACTTATGATCCATTGGATCCTAGTTTCCATAACAAATCACAAGAATACTTTGAAAAAGCAAAGAAGATGAATTTAATTTTCAACATAATTGAGAAAGTAAATTTGGGAGAAAAGATGGATGCTTTTGCAAAACTAGGTCCAGATTGGAAGTCAAACTCTGCTTTCAATACATATATAAAACAAATAATCACAATGGGAAAAACAAACATTAAATAGTATTAAACATTTAATCTATATGAAATTAATAATTGAGATAACTCTACATGTAAAACTGTGGAAAATGTGATATCTGTATTGGCTGGGTGAAAATCACTCATATATTAATAATAAAATAATGATGTTTACGAATGTATTCGATTCTAGAGAGATAGTATGAGTCATCAATAATATAAAAATTCATGTGTTTAGGTTTTCTAAACTAAATGCAGAGAAAATTCTCATGTTCTGATGCATGTAAAATTTTGATCCGGACATGCATTCTCTAGAAATCATTTCTAAATATAAAGTTTTCTTTTCTATAAAGTGCACTTACCTCCTTCTGACATCTTCTCATGTTATCAGGATGTGACTTAGTATTAATAACAAAAAAGTATGACAGCCACATTAGGTACTATATAAAGTTTTATAATAACTTTTTACAGACCAAAAATATTAACTCTTCACCTTAGAAATCGGAACATAAAGTTTGAATGTAAAAAAAAATAAGAGATTGTCAGGAAGTAATAAGTTGTTCCGAGCGGGAATTTACAAAGTGGGGCGAAACAACGATAGATATCATTTCACCCAAATTTTTAGGGATTTTGGGCGAAACTTTGTGATAGATTTCATTTTTTTTTAAAATGTCGATATTTCTTTCTAAACATAATGTTTTCTTTTCTATAAATCAATACTTTATATTAAAACAATAAAAAAAATATTTAAACATTTGTTTGTTCCTGCTGAATTTCTTCTTTTTCAGCAGATTCTTCTTGTTTTGGTTCTTCTACAACTGGCTGTTCTTTTTCTTACTCTTCTTGTGCTTCTTCTTTATGTTCTTCAACATTTTCTTTTGATTCTTCTTGAATTTGTTCTTTTTCTTCAGTATTTTCTTTTTGTTCTGGTTCTGGCTCATGTTGAACAGTTTCTTCCTCTTGTTTTTGTTCAGGTTCTTCGTTTTGTTTGCTTTCTTCTTCAATTTCATTAATTTCTTCTAATTTTGCGTCTGCAGTTCTTACAACCATCTCCGGATCATCAACTTCTGGCTCAGGATGATTGATTTGAACATTTGCAGCTGCTTGTTCCTGTAATTTCTTGTTTTCTTCTTCTAATTCTGAAATTCTTTCTTTTGCCTTCTTCACAAGCGTATCTTTCTGCTTCAGAATATTCACTGTTGCTTCAAGTGAAGCAATTTTCCTGTTGGCTTCTTCCAATTCCGAAATCAAAGAATTTCCTGAAACCAAAGATTCCAATTTCGTCATTTTCGCTTGCATTTCCGCCATCTTGAGTTCGAGTTCTTGCTTCTGCTTCCTAAGGAGATCGTTGGATTCCTTTAACGCGATATCAGAAAACGCATTATTTGGAGAAAACATGTTTACGAGGGGTCCTGCCTTGCGGAAGTTCAATATTGATAACTGCTGCTCTCTGTCTTCGTTCCTGGAGTTGATTCTGACCTCGCGATCCTTTGTTTGCTGAATTCTCTGCTTCAAAGTCAGAATTTGGTCGTTGAGATCAGCAATGGTCGAATCAGCTTTCTTTTTATCGATCTGGAGGTCGGACAATCTGCTCTGGAGATCGATTTTTTCGCGATTTATCTGATTCAGGCTGTTTTCAAGAGAATTTATACGGTGATCCTTGGCCCTGTTCTCATCACTGTGGTCCTGTGTTAATTTCTTCGTTTGTTCTTCGTTCGAAGTGCGTAATTCAGAAATTTTTCTTCTTAATTCTGAATTTGCAGAGGTAAGTTTAGCATTTTGCTTGCGGAGATTGTCATGTTCAAACTGGGCGATGTTATCCTTGGTAAAATCTTCGAGTTTGCAGTCAAATTGGTGACCATCGAATTTTATGAAAGAAAAATGAAGACAAAGCTCTTGTATGGCGTTCTCAAGTGTTGTATTTATTGCAATGACATCTGACATTTGATTTAATTCTTGATTTTTATGTTCTAAATTTTCATTCAAATTTTTACATGTATTTTGAATTGTTTCGATCTGAGAACGTAAGTCCTTTGATGTGAGTTCGAGTTCTAATATCTTTTTGTTCGATTCAAGTTCTTTTTCTTGAAATTGTTGTTCAATTGTTTCTTTTTCAGCGCAAAGGTTATAAATCTGCTGTTTGAACTCTCTTTGTAACTTTTCATTTTTATTTTCAGCTGTTGCTTTAAGTAATAAGACAGCTTCTTTTGTATTTGTAAATTTATCGTCGTTGCTGTACATTTCTTCCATTTGTTCATGGTAGAATTTCACTCTCCTTTTGAGTGTATTATTTTCGCGAGCTATTTGGTCATATTTCGCACGCATTTGAATATTATTTGTATAAGTTGTTTTGTGAGCTTGAATTGAGTCATAAGCTATCTTCAATGACATTGCTGCTGCATTCCAAAGCTTTCTGTATTGTTCTCCCATTCCTTTATAGTATTTAGAAATCGTTTCGTAAGAATTCAAGTAAATTTCTCTTTGAGCAGCCATATCATCCAGTTTCATGGTGAGAGTAGCCGCATTCTTATAACTTTCAACCAGTTCTTCTATGACTGAATTAAACACAGGTCGAATTTTATATTGAAAAGATGTCATAACAGCGGAACAGAAGGACGAATCACCGCCAATTGTCTGCTTCATTTTCTGCATCTCTAGAAATGACTTCTTGAGGTCGTCATTAAACTGATCCTGGAGAATTTTGTACACAGAAATTGGATCCTCCATTTTTGTTGAAGTTTACAATGTCAAATTTTAATCTTCTATTGACAATAAGCCCATAATAGGCTTTATTTAAGCAAATTTTGTTTAAAATCAATTATTAAATTCATAAATTTAAAAGTAATTCCACATAAAGTTACAAATGACTCAGCAACCTATGTATCTCTTGCGAATTTTGCTTCGCATACTCGAAGTATGAACGCTTAATACAAGAGTAATTGTCTATTTTCTTTGTATTTTATAGATCATGAATCAATATATACAATACAGCCTTGATAGTGCATATGGAACTGAAAATGTCACTAAAAGTCGTTCTTCCTTCCTTTTTGGCTATCCATGCACTGATGCAAATAATTGTACAAATTATGAAGTCAATCTCCAACCTGCAATATACAAAATCGAATGTTGGGGATCATCAGGAAACAACGGAAATGGTGCATACACAAAAGGCTTTATCGAAATAAAGAAATCAACAACAATTTATTTATATATTGGCAGGAATAATGGCCGATATAATAGTGTGCCTCCATATGCCGCAACGTCAAATGGCAAAATTTCAGGAGGATCCACAGATATCAGATTAATTGATGGAGATTTTTATGATTTTGAATCATTAAAGAGCCGCATAATGGTTGCCGCATCAGGAGGATCTTCTGAACGCCTTCAATCAACAAAATCTCATGCAGGAGGATTAACTGCAATTAATTCGACATCATACAAGAGTTCCACAGAGTTTGGCGGAGATATTGCATTTATTTTAAATGGCGCAACTCAAATATCCCCTGGCAATATTTCATATGTTGCATCTGACTATACATCAAATCCAATTCCTGGGCATTTTGGTATTGCAGGGTATATTAATGAAACAAATGATTGGGGTGGTGTTGCAGGTAATGGATATTATGCAGGTTGTTCGGTTAATTATTTGGGCGCTTCGACAGGTGGCTCATCATTTATTTCTGGCCATCCAGGTTGTGATGCGATTTCAAATGATTCATCATCATTCGATAACATTACTCACACAGGACAGCCTGTTCATTATAGTAACCTTAGTTTCTTTGGAACAGAAATGATTGATGGCCTCGGCCAAATTCCTTTACCATGGATTCATAGGCCATTCAAAAACAAAGAGATTTTTTATAACACATCCAACACTGATTATTACGAAACAGGACACCATGGAAATGGTTTCGTTCGCATATCTCTTTTTGATGAAGCAATTGTTCTCACATGTAAAATAAGAAATACTTTCTCTAATCAAAATATCTTATCTTTCCTTGTTTTTATATTAATTTACTCAGAATAAATTATAATGTTTTTATATGCAAAATGACATTACTTTTTCTTTTTATCCTATGAATTTTCTACAAGGATTGACATTTGCTTTGCGAAAGAAGGAGCTGCGGTATAAATCAAAAGGTTAAATCTTGCTTTACGAGGAGTTATTTCATTTTCATTGCTATTTGCACTGCTTGAAAGAAAAAGCATCAACTATTGTCTAATGAAAACATTTTCTCCTGATGCATCTTTTTCATTCATATTTGCACAATGAAATATTTCATCAAAATATACTGTCATATGACAATATCAAAGATCCTGATTGTGCAATATCAAAAAAGAACCTCAATGAATTTATGATAAACATATATCTTTTATTAAACAAGTATAATGCAAGTTCACTACAAAGTAGCAAACTTTATTTATTATATTTATGCATCTTCCTAAACTAAATACCGGTAATTCTAATATATTCCTTCAGCAACCCTGAAGCACGTGTTCATAGTTTCCATAAGGATCTCTATGCCAATCTCCCAGTGGTGGACATAGTTCTTGAATCTTCGCATTTATGAAACAAATTCTATTGTATTGATGAATGCCTCTTGGAGTTCCTCCCGAAGATAGTTGGAAAAGACCATCTTTAGTCATTTCATTCTTGAAGTACCAATATGTTGCAGATATCATAATTTCGCCCTTTAGATCTCTTTTAAATGAAGGTGCAAGCAATCCATCGTAGAACATTAAATTAAGAAGCGGCTGATCAAGTGTTTTCGTTGGATAACTAAACCAATAACTAAGGTTAATATAACTTTCATATAAATCGGCCATTGCTCTCGCTGAGCCGTATAAGCATCCAGCATTCATGATATATTTGCCTTTATATTTTTCATATGAATATTTTGGATCTGTTTCTCGTATCCAACGGTTATTAATCGGGTTGCTCACAAGCATATCATTCTCATACGTTCCATATGAGTTTGTACGAGGGAATGAATCTAAAAATGGGTCCATCTGGAATAATGTATCTTGTAAATCAGTAACAATCACTCTATCAAACAATGCCCTATAGAACTTTAAAAAAGCACCCATAACTATGTGCCTTGTCGTTATTGTTTCACATGATTTATAAGGTCTCAAATATCCAACCGAAATCAGAATTGCACCGCAGTTATCAAGTGCCTTCCTTTCATTTTCATTGAAGGAGGTATATAATTTATTATCTGTAAGTATTATGACACTTGCTTTGCAATTAACTGATCTTAGCGTTCTTACAAAGGTAATATATGATCGAACAGATTTCCCATAACCCATACCTAACACTAGATCTCGTGGGGTACTTGAAGCTCCTGATTTTTGGAAACTAATATTGCATAATTCACATTTGGACCAGTTTGCTTCTCTTATCTTGCTCACCAAATAACTGTAGTCAAGCCAATTTAAATGCTTTACTATTAACTTGAGAACATCGATTTCAGGTAAAGGATTATCGATATAATGTTCTTCCGTAACCATGCACTCAATAGGCAAGTCAAAGCTAATTAAAATTAAATACGAGTATATGAAAGCAACAATAAATACATCATATTCAAACATTTCGCATTGACTTTGACTTGTGCCTAAAAGGGGAAAAAAAACTTCATTGGGAACAAATCTATCGACCAAAATTGTTCTCATTATGCTTGACATATGAAGTATAGTAATAATGTGTATGGACACATAGAATAACTTTCGTGATATATAATGATCTTCTAAAATATCCATATTTTACTTGATAACGCATATGATTTATCGTATTATGAAAAATTAAAAGAAAAATATGGCCCAAGACAAGCAAAATTCGATGTTAAAAAACCAAATTGTTTATTGATTAGACTGCTTTAAGGTATTTTTAGATTTAACACTTACCTCTTTTTCTTTCTACAATTACGTATAAAATATGCACAAATAAGGATTTATTATTAAAAATATTTTTCGAATTGGGTAAATAATTCGTTAGATCTTAGATCTTATTGATCATTTCTTCTTATAATGAGATGACGGTAATAATTGCTGTGTATGATAGTTGGAGTATTATTAAATTGTGTGAAACTTTGATAAGTTTCAAAAACGATTCATAGTATGTTCAAATATTTTAGAATTTAATGATATGCAATGCCATTAACTGTAAACAATGGACATTAAGTGATTGATGAAAATAGATATCAATATTTAAAATCTTCGAGGATTTTTTGATTGTAAGCAATTGTTTTTGACACCTGAATGAAGTTCTCCTTGGTGAATTTCTCCAAACATACCAAGTTTGCATGTCCAGACTATGTTTTTTCATTTTTATGTCAGAAAAACACATATCCCTTGAGTGTTGAAGCGTATTGAAAGTGCTTGGTGATTTAATCTTATAAACAAAATTCGATTTCAAAATTTGGTAATTTAATCTTACTCCAATATGCAATATTGGATATGATTCTCGTTTGTACAGCTTTAATCGAAGAGAATTGGAATTTTGATGAACAAAAATATGAAATTATTAAAATGAATTTTTTACTTCCATAACTCTTTCCAAGTTAATTCATAAAATTCGTTATCAATAACTTTCATTCTGAATGGGCATTCTCCGAAGCATACGAAAAGTGTATCGCAGATTGTGCAGAAGTTACCACAAATGGTTTGAATAATGACGGAGAAGAACATGATGCATTCGATTCCACAAAGTATATTTAAGAATATATCATTTGTGAACCTTCGAGATGTAGCGTAGCCAACAATGAACAATAGAATGTCGAACACAAGAATTGTGTAGGACATGCAATATCTAATAATCACGCCGTCGAAAATAGTTCTAAAAGCATGTGTATTAGCAGCTTCAATGAATCTCTTGCAGCCATCCCAGAATGGAATACCATATAAAGCACAATAGATCAAACCGTAATGAGTGATAATTTCAATGATATACCTTAAGCAGCATAATATGCAAAGAGCAATGCACTTAATACAACCATTGTCAGAATCTTCAGCTGCATCTTCAAGAAGTTCAATGATAGCAACAATCAAACCACCCTTGCATGCTGATCCAAATGATGTTGTTGTTGCGCGCTTTGTGGATTCAAGAGTTGGTGACTTTGGCATGTATTCTGTATCAAGAAGGAAATAATGTGTTCCTGCGACACCTGCAGTAATTAAAACTTCTACGAATTCATTTGTATAATAGAACCAATAAGCGGAGAAAATAACCCAAATGTAAGCTACATAATTCCAACCTATGCAGAAGATTCCAATAATTTCGAATACTACGAAAATTGTAATAACATCTATAATAATTCCTTGTACAATATTGGCGAGGATGAGACCAGGATACTTGAGTGTAACCCTTGTTGCCACTTTAAATACGGAGATAGCAATTGGAAGTTCATTGTAGCAACAGCAGCAGCAAATGGCAGTCAATAATAGGGTAACACCTGCAGGAATCATACAATAAAAGATTTTTGTAATAACTGTGAGAATAACACATACAATTAGTGTCAATATGAATGGTATAACAAAAGCAAGCTTGATGTAAACTGCTGGCAAGAATATTGCGTATAAACCGTGAAGAACATTGAAAAGTAATGCATAACCGATTGCAGAAAATACGCTTTTCTTCATAGCAGTCTGCCAGTCATCGAAACTTCTATATGTGTATGTAGAATTACTATCATCGTCGCCATAAGCAAGTCCTTGTCGGTTATATGCAAATCCTTTTTGGAAATTGCCGGCCTTGACCATACCAACAATACCAAAAATAATGTTGATCAAGAGGACTATAAGGAATATAATAGCGTATGGCAAATCGTTCCATTTCTTCTCATGGGTTGAGTTTTCTCTGTAGTTCTGAGGTTCGAAAGATTCATAACTGTTCCAGTATGTGGTATATTGCGTTTCTTCGTATGTAACTGCATACCATGTACTTTGATTTGGTTCTGGCTTGATTTCTCTTCCATCTGCTGTCACCATTGCTGGTTGCGGAATATAGAATTCGCCGTTGTATGGCTGTTGCTGGTATTGTGGGAATTCTTGATAGTGCTGCTCATAATGATATGTTTCTGGATTGTAATCTCTTGGAATGTAATCTTCCATACGATAATTTGGTGGTGGTGTCCATCCTGGTGGTGGTGGAGGTACCCAACCAGGCGGAGGTGGTGGTGGAGGTGCCTGAGCCATACCTCCAGGTGGCGGCGGTGCATATCCTTGAATTTGAGGATACTCTTGTGGTTGTGAATTTTGCTGATTCTGTGGTTGTGTGTAAGGACTTGATGGATGGTTTTCTTCTTTAGGATTGGAGTCACTATCTTCTTGATACGGAGATGTCATTATGAGTTTTTACTTTTTACTTTTATAATACTTGACAAATAATTCTGAACTAATTGAAATAATATAAGCATGTTATAAGGTATAAATCAAATTTAACTAAAATTAAAGCTCTTGCGACTTTCAATTTGAGAACTAAACCGCCGAAGCTAATTTTAAATTTTCAGTTGATTTAAGTTATCGATTCATATAGTTAATGAAAAGTGCATATATCATCCAAAAAATATTAATAAAATGACTCCTTGACAATAAAAAAAGCTCAAATCGATAAGACATTATAAAATCCAGAGAAATTCACTAGAAAAATCTCTTGCGACTTTCATTTTGAGAACTAAACCGTTAACTCCGATTTTAATTTTTTTAGTGATTTCAGTTATCGCATTCATTACCAAATGCAAAATGCATATACAATCCCAAAAATTTTATAAATAATGGCAAAGATAATTGAAAAAATGCCACAGTAACGATAAAAAGGTCCAAATTTACAAGACATTATGAAATAGAGAGAGTTTAACTAAAAATAATTTCTTGCGACTTTCAAATTGAGTACTAAACCATCAAATCTAATTTTAAATTTTTCCATGATTATCGTATCCATATTTAATGCAAAATACATATATCATCACAAAAATTTCATAAAATGACTCAGTAACAATAAAATGGCCAAATCTATAAGATATTATGAAATAAAGTGGATGTTAATCTTATAAACATGCTGATAGGAAATATTAGAAATGATTCTCATTTATATACAGATTTCATTAGTGTTTTTTACAAAAATAGTTTTGTAAAGTTGTAATGTGTCAGATTTCAATTTTTTTGACAACGTAAAGATATTTTTTAGTGAGGGTTAAATCAAACTCTGGGGGAAGATCATTGGAACTCTAGAGAAATATAATATAGTTCCAATTATATAAGATTTCTGGATTGAGTCCAAATAATTATTATTTTGAAAATGAATAACTTGGGTACAAGCTATAATTAATAGAAAATTAAAAGATTCATAGTTCCTAATCGATAAATGGGAATACTAGAGCTCCTGATGAGGCAGAATGACTGCCTCCATCTTCTGATCATCAGCCGTCCAATGGAAAATGGTCTCTGTTGATACAGATTCAGGAGTTCAATAGCCGCATCTCGTAGGGTTGGGAGCTCTGGAGCTCTTGGAAAGCAGAGTGATTAAATTTTTGAAAGACCCAAGTCCCCTCTAACTATGGGGGATGCCAAAAACAACTTTCAAAAATGGTAGCAAATTAGCCGCAAAGTTTTGTTACCATCCTGATTTAATAAATGAAAATTTAGATTTTTTATCTCGATTTTAAAGGAAATCAGAGTTATGATGAATAAAAATATGAGGTTATTAAAAATAAACTTAATTTTTTACTACCATATCTCTTTCCAAGTTAATTCGTAAAATTCGTTATCAATAACTTTCATTCTGAATGGGCACTCTCCGAAACATACGAAAAGTGTATCACAAATTGTGCAGAAGTTACCACAAATGATTTCAATAACGAGGGAGAAGAACAATAGGCATTCGAGACCACACATCAAACTTAAGAACATATAATCTGAGAAACTGATGGCAGTTGCGAAACCAACGATGAACAAAAGAATTGCAAACACAAGAATTGTGTAGCTCATGCAATATCTAATGAGTACGCCATCAAGAAGAGTTCTGAAGGCATGTGTTTTAGTTGCTTCAATGAATCTCTTGCAACCATCCCAGTATGGAATACCATATAAAGCGCAATAGATCAAACCGTAATGAGTGATAATTTCAACGATTGATCTTAAGCAGCACAAAATGCAAAGAGCAATGCACCTAAGACAACCGCCATCGGTGTTTTCAGCTAAATATTCAAGAAGTTCAATGATAGCAACAATCAAACCACCCTTGCATGCTGATCCAAATGATGTTGTTGTTGCGCGCTTTGTGGATTCAAGTGTTGGTGACTTTGGCATGTATTCTGTATCAAGAAGGAAATAATGTGTTCCTGCGACACCTGCAGTAATTAAAATTTCCACGAATTTATTTGTATAAGTGAACCAATAAGCGGAGAAAATAACCCAAATGTAAGCTACGAAATTCCAACCTGCACAGAAGGTTCCAATAATTTCACACACCATGAAAATTATATAAGCAGCTGTAATGATTCCCTGTACAACGTTGGCGAGAATGAGACCAGGATACTTGAGTGTAACCTTTATTGCCTGCTTGAAAATAGAGATTGCAAGTGGAAGTAAACTGTGGAAACAGTAGCAGCAACAAAGAGTAAATATTAGATCAATGCCTGCAGGAATCATGCAATACCAAATCTTTGTAATAATTGTGAGAATAACACATACAATTAGTGTCAATATGAATGGTATAACAAATGAAAACTTGATGTAAACTGATGGTAAGAATATCGCGTATAAACCGTGAAGAACATTGAAAAGCAATGCATAGCCAATTGCAGAAAATAGGCCTTTCTTCATAGCAGTCCCAAAATCATCGAGAACAGCATTGGCGTAGGAGTAGGGGTCATCATCAGTGCTGGAAGCAAGTGCTTTTTTGTTCAAAGAAGGTCCTTGGTAATCTGAAATCTTCGTCATACCAATAATACCAAGAATAATGTTGATCAAAAATACAATAAGGAATATAATGGCAAATGGCCAATCATTCCATTTCTTCTCATGTGTTGAGTTTTCTCTGTAGTTCTTAGGTTCGAATGATTCATAGCTGTTCCAATATGCGGTATATTTTGTCTCTTCAAATGTGACTGTATACCATGTACTTTGATCTGGTTCTGGCTTGATTTCTCTTCCATCTGGTAGTACCATTACTGGTTGTTGAATAACATTTGAGCCAATTAATGGTTGTTGTTGATATTGTGGGAATTCTTGATAGTGCTGCTCATAATGATATGTTTCTGGATTGTAATCTCTTGGAATGTAATCTTCCATACGATAATTTGGTGGTGGTGTCCATCCTGGTGGTGGTGGAGGTACCCAACCAGGCGGAGGTGGTGGTGGAGGTGCCTGAGCCATACCTCCAGGTGGCTGAGGTACATATCCTTGAATTTGAGGGTAACATTGCAATTGTGGATTTTGCTGCACTTGTGGTTGGATGAAAGGAATTACTGGCTGAACTTCTGGACTATTTCCTTGGGGAACGGCAGCACTATCATCTTGATAAGGAGCTGTCATTCGTGATTTTTGATTTATATTTTTTCTGAATCAATTGAATTTAATATATGTATGATTTAGGATGTAAATCAAATTTAAGTTAAATTATATTTAACGCGACTCCCAATTTGATTAGAAAACCGTTATATCCAATTTCAATTTTTTCTTGATTTCAGTCATCATATAGATTATTTAATGAAAATGACACTTGCCACATCAAAATGACGAAAATTTTCACGCGACTCAAACAAATCAACGTACAAAACAATTTCTTAGCCCATTTTCTAACAAAATTTAATAAAACAATCGTAAGTTTATAGAAATTCAGATCAATTAAAGTCAAATAACTTAAATTGAAGCAATTTTTAATGTATTTAAGTTGCTATTTTAATAAAAAACATCAAAAACTGATTGACTTGAAAAGTTAAAACAGTGGATAAATGTTGGTTTGGTCAGGGCTAATTTTCACTTTTTGATTTAAATATCATGCTCATTAAGCTCCCATAGATTTCGTTGTAGCTATTGCTTAGTATCACAAAAACTGTCATCAAATTAATTTTAGATTTAAGTGATAAATATATAAGTTTTATTATAAAATAACTTAGTATTATCATATTCACTCCTATGTTAAGGGAAGGCATGATTGATGAATGCTTTTAATGTTAACATTTTTAAAAATACCTTTAATTAACGATTACAACCATAATGAATTAGATAACCATCATCACATCGTGACATCTAAAAGTTATCATAATGGAATGATCATGATTTCAGGATTTTTCATCAAAACGGAATTTAAAATCCCATTTTTGAATTCCATTTCATTATTATTTATATAATTTTCCATATAACAAATATATTAATGCAGTTTATTTTGAATTTCAAGATTTTTTTGGCCTAACTTCTGATTTTGAAATAGTATGGTCGGCCCTTTTTTTCTAATGTCTTCTGCTGCCGCTGCTGATCGCGAAGCCGTGATCAAGATGATGCTTGCTGCTAAGGTTTACCTCGGCTCCACAAATCTTTCCTTCGGAATGAAGCCATACGTCTTCACATGCAGAAAGGATGGAACACATGTTATCAACCTCGCCATGACATACGAGAAGATCAAACTTGCTGCTCGTATGATCTACGCCGTTGAAGAACCAAAGGATGTTCTTGCCATCTCCACAAAGTCCTTCGGTACACGTGCTGTCCACAAATTCGCCGAATTCCTTGGCGCTAACTACGTTGAGCAGCGTTTCACACCAGGTCTCTTCACAAACTACTCCATCAAGAACTTCTGCGAACCACGCCTAATGATCGTCTGCGATCCAAACACAGACTCCCAGGCCGTTCACGAAGCCGCCTACGCTAACATCCCATGCATTGCTCTTTGCGATACAGATGCTCACCTCGACTACGTTGACTGCGTCATCCCATGCAACACAAAGAACAAAAACTCCATGGGTCTTGTAATGTGGCTCCTCACACGTGAGGTTCTCCGCCTCCGTGGTGCCCTTACACGCACACAGGAGTGGTCTGTCCTTCCAGATCTCTTCTTCTACCGTGATGCTGCTGATGAAGCCAAGATCGCCGAGGCTCTTGAAGCAGAAGGTGAAGAGACAGTCTCCGAGGAAGGCGCTATCATCAACGCTGCCGTTCCAAAGGCTGAAATCAAGGCTGGTGCCACAAACGAAGAGTGGGAAAACAAGCAGGAATGGGATGCCTAAATCTTTATCCTAAATATAATACAGTCATGTTTCGACAATCGTAATTCTTTTTATTTCAATTACAATAAAGAAAAAAATAATTCAAAATACAATTTCTTATTTTTTCTATTTCAATGGTTCGGTCTCTTCAAATACCGACGTACTTTCTCTGCTTTTGAAATTTCTATAATATGATCACTTTGAGCAGAAAATTGAAGTTAATTTGAATGAGATTTCAAGAATGATTGCATTTCCATGATACAATAGAGCTCCATTATCAGTTCTATCCATGATCAGATTATCTCTGGCCTAAAATCAATTGATATGAGTTCTCAGTCTTGTATTTATTGGAATTTTCATTCAAAAGTACTGATAAAAAACCATCTGGAAAAATTAATGAGATAATCATAAATTATTGTCATATAAATGAGGTAACATTAATAAATTCAAATGTGTGGGGTTTTACACGAAAAATTATATGGCTGAAAAAAATTTAGGTAAAAAAGCGTAATATTTTCCTAAACAAAATACAGACAGAACAGTTTATTTATAAATTTATACAGTTTCATGGTTAGCTTCCGAGCCTTCTTGGCTTTCGGCGTAAAAAACAATATTACGTGGCTTCAAGAGATCTTGATAGAGCATAAAAAATAACAATAATGAAGGAAGAAGTAGTACGCATCCCGTAAAGTAAAGAATAATCTGGCCGAGGAAAGAGCACGAATGAACATGCGCGCGGTAGAGAAGGAACATTCCTGTCAAGCACGAAGCGAGCATTATGATGAAAGGTTTGAATTCGCCAAGAACTTCGAGGAACGCATTACGGTGAAACTGCGGCTCGAAATCTGGCTTGTTACTGTCCATAAATTTTTTTGGAAAGTGACACTTTAACAATTTTTCAGAGGAATATCGTAGCTACATCTACAAAGGTATTTTATCTTAGATTTTTCGAAATTTCGAATTCTATTCGTATTCCACAATTTTTGTGAGAATAAAGTTGTTGATTTTCGGACTTATGAAATATACACTCAGTAAACAAATAGTAGTATATTTCTGAAATTTCCGTTTGAATGCAAATATTTGAAAAAAAAAGTTTGGATTTGTTCTAAGACAAATGTTTTTTTTTTAAATATTTGATACTTTTCAGAAACTATTTTTTTTAATATATATATAGATTAATTGTGAATTACAATAATAAAATAAACAACAAAAATAATTAACGTTAAATTCATTTTTGGAGTAACGTTCGACATTATAAGTAAAATTGATCCCACCCTCGAAAGTTACGCTTTTTCCAAGGAAGGAACATTCTGGAAAAATGCCACCTTTCTTTGAAAGTCTCGTCTTTTTCCTAAATCAATTTAATTAATTCTATGTGGTTTCTCAATTATATTATCAGATTACTTGTGCGCTTTGGTCAATATCGATTAACTATCCTATTTTTTTAGTGAAGTGATCTGAATTCCAGATTAAGATACATCTCAATTGGACATCTGAAAACCTTATCTTACAGTTTAGAGAATTCTCTAGATTTTTCACAGACCCTCATAATTTATTAATTTAAGGTGCATTTTCAAAATTCTTTCAAAATCAAAAACCGCTAAATGCATTCAATACCTATCGTTTTTACAAAAGTGACAATTTAATATATATAGATTAATTGTGAATTACAATAATAAAATAAACAACAAAAATAATTAACGTTAAATTCATTTTTGGAGTAACGTTCGACATTATAAGTAAATACCCAGTTCAAATTAATGGCATTTACAATTTAAATTCAACAATGATGTACTTAAATAATTTTATGCTCATATCCGATGAAAGCGATTCTATCTTTTACAAACCAAATTTATGTTCGAATTATTTGATATATCATAATGGAGTATACTAAAACAAATCACATTCTGAGGCTATTCTTCGACTCTGCTCCAAACATTGACATTTGGAAACATTATTATGGAAACGAAAATATCCCAGAATATCACACTAAAAGTGAAGTATTTAGTCAAACAAAAGAAGGAAATTATCATGTTACAGCATGTTTCTTCAATGGATTTGAAGAAGTTGTTGTTAATATAAACGAAGACGAACAAACGGATACAAGACTTCTAATTTCTATTTCTGGATTCAATGGCACAAAAACTCCATCTTCAACAGTTTATTCTAAACAAGGAAATTGTGTTATATATCGAACATGTGCTACAAAATCTATACCAATATTATCATCAGAATCATCATTAGAAGGAATATTTTTATATTCAAACATAGAAAATTCAAACAACAAAAACATTCTTGAAGATTCAACAGTCTTTGATTGTGGAGATACAGAAAAAGGGAAATCAATTTGTTATTTAGAAAAAGGAAATCTAAGTTTTTCACGAAATAACATAACAAATAACAAATGTAATGAAGATGTTTCACTTCATATTGTTTCTTCAAAGAAATACAACATCAGCCAAACATCTTTCATTAATAACAATGCAAACACTTAATGTTTTTATTTTTGGAGTAAATCTTTACATCAATTTTATTTATGTAATATCATTAGAAACAATGCTAATAATCAATGTTTTTATTTAAATCGAGCAACAGTTACATTTGAATCTTGTTCAATTAAAAATAATTGTCAACAAACATTTTCTTTATATTCATCAAGTTCAGTTACAATCAAAAATTGTGATTACGATGGAGAAACATCAAGTGTAACAATAACAAATTCTATAAACAATTTATACAACGAATTATCACACCTTTCTTCTGGACTTTGTGGAGCAGAAAATAACTTTAAATATACTGATTATTTTGGAGATGAATATAAGGACAGTTCATCCGATAATAGTTATGCTACGAAAAAGTTCAGGGAATTAAGGGTGCACACGAGAGGATCGTGTAAACTTCAGAATTTAGAACCTTATTTTTGGGCATTATCTTGGCTACCTATTTAGGCTCGAAAAGCAAAAAATATCAAAAAATACAACTTGACTCCATTATGACCCTTTCACAGAGGTAGTTTTTATCCGCTAGTATTTTCCCTTTGAATCTCTTTACAATTCGAAATCAAATTCAAACCTCAGTAGAAGAAAGGAAGAATCGACTTACTACGGTTGTAATACTAATAAATACATATATTTAATTATTTTTATTTACATAATAATTGTTTGAAGCTCATATTCCATCAAATTTTTAAATAAAAACATTAAAATGTTGAAAATGTTCATATATTTTAATAGGGTTTTGGCACTTTATTGAGGAATTACTACATACATAGTCGAACTGAACTTGATATTTTGAAATTTAAATTATTTATCAAAATTAAACTTTAACTTGAAATTTATAATTATTTAGTCATATTTTGCATAATTCTAAGTAGATTTTGTAAAAAATCAAGAAAGAAAAATTTTAACGTGCTTTATTTTTTCTTTTTTATAATAATACATATTATTATATAATTAACATATTCATAATGTTTCACCCTTTCAAAAATATAATCCTCCTCCTCTCAAATAAACGTACATACGGGTGGCCTCTTTTTTCAAAAAATTAAAATTTGAAATTTTGGGCTCAAATATTAGAGATTTTTTCAACCTTCAACGATATATGTTGTCTATATCAGACCTCCTTTCTTTTTGATACTTAACATTGTTCCTAAATCTTAGCCGTTAAGGTTGTTCTGAAAATATTTTTTTTCTCGAAAAAATTCGAAAAAAATTCTTAAAATTCAAAAATCCCTTAATTCCTGAGGATTTTGGAAAAAAGTTTTTACATGAACATGTGTATATTATATGAAGTATATTGATAAGGTAAAAATCAAATTTTATTGCATATTCATCGAGAAAATAAACTAACGAATCCCTCAAAATTGAGAGGGTAATCCTCCTCCTCTCAAATAAACGTACATACGGGTGCACCCTTAAAATATTTTGAAAACCCTGGTGTCAGATTGCGAAGATGACATTAATACAAAGAATTAAACATTTATAATTCATAATTATGGAATATTTGAATATGAATTTCTTTATTTACGCTTTCCAACTATTAATAATAAGTAAATCTTCTTTCTCCACCGAATAAATATACTTTTATAAATAAAAAGTATACAAATAATTTTTTAAAAGTATAATTAAATAGATATATAGATCGGAGACAAGCACATAAGAAGTTAAGCATGTGAAAATAACACTTACTTTAGTCAGATAAAAAAAGATTCCAAGATTTGAAAATTTAGCAGGTAGTTTTTAAAGATTTTCATGCTGAATGATGACTTAGCCACAATGAGGATATATAGCTATAGTTAGTCATATGTCAATTCTTTTTTATTGTCCGATTGTTTTTATAATTCCATATTACTTTTATAGTATTCATCAGTATCAACAACAAAATATATCTATTTAATCGAAATAAAGGTATGCTTTCGGTATTTTGTAATATTTTGGGAAATTATTTCAATTCGCTCAGAAAACAAAAACATATTCAGAATGTACTATTTTAAATAATTAATGATCAGTTTCTGTTTAAAATTGATCCAAATTTGCATGTATTAAGGTACTTTATTTAGATAATGCCGATCTTTCATGCGATCTCATGAAATTGTCAATTAAGGAGGCCTTCATGCATTGATAGTCATACCCGCTCAATCATTCTCTTTTGATTTATCATAAATAGCAAGTCAAAACAATTGATCACATTAATTCAGGCTTATTCTGAAGAATAAAGTAGAATTTTTATAATGTTGACTCTTTAGGAATTTTATATAACATTTCATTCCATTTTTGTAAATTATTTGCAGATTTCAATAATGAAAAATAATTTGAGAACTCCATAATATATGAAAAATACAATACGTTGATTCAAATACAAAAGAGTGATCTAAATAAATGAAATTCAAGAAATTAGTTGCTATCAAATTTCAAATTAAAATGTTAAACTGTCATGCAAATATTAATATTATTGCATTGAACATTAATATAAAAATTACCCAAAAATAAAAATATAAAAAGGGGATCATATTTTTTATATCTTGACAATAAATGAATTTCAATATGTTTGCCTTCAGATAAATTGTCAAATATTGATGTTTTGCTTTACCTGACAATTCTAACAAAATTTTTAACGTGCTGCATTTGAAAATTTGTTTTCTCATACTTCAAATAAATTATCAATATTATTAAGTTTTTAAACATTAGCTTCAATTGAAATTTTTGAGAATATATTCAAAAGATAAATATAAATAAAATTTTGTCAATTTTATCAATTACAATGATTTTGCTGTTATATCTAATAGAAGGAAATGCCATTAATGATTCTCATGGGCTAAACAGTCAATTCCAATGCACAGTTGGTGCAGATTACAAAATACACGACTCTTTCTTTAAAGATTTAGGAGATCTCGCAAAGGAATCATCAACAATAATTGTTCAAGGATCAAGCCAATCAAAATCTTATGATGTATCAATTTATAAATGCGTTTTCATTACATGTAAGTCAAAAAATTGTGCAGCAATGAAAATTGAAGGAGATTTTTCAAACTCTATATGTTTAATTTGTTTATCAAACTGTTCGTCAGGTGGCTATGCTGCAACAATATATACGAATGTTAATCCAAAGGTAGTACTATCATATATTACAGCTGAATATTGCACTTCACCTAAAAAGAATCTTTACATTTGTCAGAGTCATGATATCAAAAATATAAACTACTCGTGTTGTTCTGTGACACAAGTTTATCATTATCTTTCCTTGAATTCTTGGTCATCTGGAATTTTCACTCCTGAACGAACTCAAGAAAGAAGTAATTTGTCATTCAGTAATTTCTATAAATGCAAATCACAATGTTCAATTTATTATGCAAATGAGCCAAACAGTACTTTGAATTTGAAAGCAATCAATTTTATTAATAATACTATTTTTGATTGTGGAATAATATATGCTGATAATCCTAAATCAGATAATCTTAATATGGATATATTCAATTGCATTTTTCAAGAAAATCAATATGATGATAAACCAATTTTTCAAAAAAGATTAAGTCAATCTTATAGATTCTATTTATGGGAAAATAACTACATTGATCATAAGACTGACAACTATATAATTAACAAAACAGAATATTTTACTACATTTACAGTTCCGCCCATCTTTCAATTCTATATGACCGCAAAATGTAATGTTGTAAAGCCATATGGAAAAAAATTGAAAGAGAGCAATGTTGATTTCTATGTGAATTCAATAGAAAATGCCGAAATTTTGATGTTATTTTCTTGTCTCTCAAAATGATTTAAATCCTGTGTTTTTATTGTTTGTAACTAGCGTAAAAACATATATTCCATGATTATCTTAAAGTTTATTTAATTTTAATTTTTATTCAGAGATCCAGAATATCATCATTCAATGCTGATCTAAGATTTTACTCCTTCTAATATTTACTATCCTTAAATGGGGTTAATTAGGATCATGAAAATAATAAAAATATTCTTCTTTTGGTAATATGACCGGATTCGTGTTACAACAAAGCGCATAAGTGCATATAATTTAATATTTCTATAATATAGCCAATCTACAAGTGTATTTATTATTAAAATCATTATTTTGATGAGTTAAGCTTTTGTAATAACTTCAGAAACTTCACGCCCATCATCAAGAGCTTTTCCTGAAATTGTAATTGAGTTGACATGCGGAACAAACATAGAAGTAACTACATCAATATAAATTGTTTCAATAATAGCATCAACTCCATTAATAAGGCATTTGCACAAATATTTATCATCTTTCTTAATAGCTGTAAGGTTGATTCTTGAGATCGCTACAACATGGAATTTGATATTATCATCATGGACTTCATCAATCCTTACACCATATCTCATTTGCTTTTCTATCCATTTCAAATCTCTTTTTGCGCCATCTTCTGCAGCTCTAATCCAGAATGCATGAACAGTTTCCATTTTTTCAGGTTCATCTTTCTTCATAACAAGCTCGTACACAACATAGTTCTTATTTTCTGATTTTGTAACCTTGAATAACTCATACCGAACTTGATCTTCATACATTTTTTTATTGTTGTCAAAAAAGTTTTTCTTAAAATTCAATTTTGAGAAGCCATTGAAAATAAACAATGTCAATTAAATGATCGGAAGAAATCAAATTTACTTTATGTTTGATGAGCACTGTATGAACAGATAAAAGTCCTTTAATTTCAAGGTAAAATTTATTCAATATACGAAAGAGCATAGATAAAATATCCTTTTGAAGCTTTTGTGCATATCTTCTGTAATCTTTTTGCATTAACATTAAACGAATCTATTAAGGGTTCATTAGCACATTAAATTAATCTCGAAATTTTATTATTTATGAGATAATGGTCACCAAATGATATATTGGCGGTGGCTTTTGTAGTTTCTGCTGTTGTTGAAATAAATAACTTCGAAAAAGATTTATAATCTTTGAGTAATTGGAATATTTCAGAATCTGGGAAAAAAAGTTTTCCGACACGGGGAGTCGAACCCCGCTCCAGCGGATGAGAACCGCTTATCCTAACCGATGAACGATGTCGGATTTCCGAAAATTTTTAAAATAATTAATATATCACTGTAATCTATTGTTCAATTGTAAATTTCATCGTCTTCTTATCTGATTAAAAAATGATTTTTAGCTTTATTTCATTAACTTTATCACGAAATATGACAGGATATGTCGATGATAATCTCAAAATTACTACTGCAGAAGGTGTCATTGATAAAAATGGTACTTGCTGGGCAATTTGGGATGATAATTTAGATAAAAATGGTCTGATGCATTTTAATGTCAGCGGCAAAGAAGGTGAAACACCAATTAAAATGATGTACTGCGCAGGCTATTTAGAAGGCGTTTTAGCACAAACAAGAATTTATCAAGCTTATATTAATAATATGGATGCCATGGGTATGCAAGATGGCTTTCCACAAACAATACGCGATCATTACTCAAGTAATACCAAATACATGCAAGAAATGATTGATGCAAATCCGAATTCAGACTATTGGCAAGTAATTGGCGGATTCTACAATCTTGGACAAGGTATAATTGATGGATATGCATCAGTTGCACCCGAAGATCAAAAGATCAGCGCAGAAAATCTAAGAATTCATCAAAACTTCCCAGATATTTGGGATATTATGACAGCTTTCCAACAGCTCGATCCGAAAGATCCTATTAGAGCCAAATGCACTGCTGGCATTCGCTTACTTCCTGATTATTCAGATGTATTTGTTTATCACAACGCATGGTCAGATTACAGAAACAGTATTGGATGTGTTATCGACTACGACTTCCCATTACCACAATTCCATGCTCGCCATGTCACTCTTACTACTTTGGCCGGATTAATTTCTTCATTAGACGACTTTTACATTTCAGATTCAGGTCTAGTAGTTTTCGAAACATCCCTTATGTCCCAAGATGTACAAATGCTCAAGAATTTCATCAATCCGAAGTCATTATTCTGCGGATATCGCTCAATCTACGCAATGTTCACTGCTCACAACGGAACAGACTGGACAGAGAAATTCTTGATGCATAACAGTGGTACTTATAACAACGATTACTTTATTACTGATATGAATAAATTTATTCGCGGAAAGAAGCCATCAAAAGACCTTGTATGGCTTGTAGAGCAATTACCATCCGAAAAACATTATACTTATGATGTTACTGGCAATCTAACAAAAGATGGATTCATTGCTTCGTTTAATGTTCCATTTAGTGAAGATTTATACTATGTCTTGCAGTACGACAAGGTAGAGAACTCATCTGAATACTACTTACCATATAAAACCCATCCAAGATATTTGATTTCCGCAAGAGATCTTCCGACAGTGAAGAATTTCCAAGATTTCAAGAAATTCTCGCGTTACAATAATTACAAACGCGATCCACTCTCACGCGGAGACCCTCTCTTCGCTATTTCCTCAAGAGAAGATTTACTTGGAAAAGCTCCAAACGGAGCGTTCAATCAGAAGGCAGTTATGGGTTCTAGAGCATTCACAAATGGAGAGTTCTCGTTCTGCAACAGTCCAACGAACGAAGATTTGCCTTCATTTACTTGGAATTCCCCGGATTTCAAAAACGTCAGCCATATCGGAATTCCTGATACTCTCAACTTCACATGGAACGAGATGGGAGCAACAAGAGATGATACTTGCCATAAAATAACTGATGCAGACGTTTGCAAGAAATCTTCTTTCTGCGGATGGTGCGGAAGGACTAAAATCTGCATGGCAGGTAACGAGGATGGTCCATTCTACGAGAAATGCTACAGCGGATGGCACTCCAAGTACACTTCCTTCAAATTCTACATAATTGGCATTGTTTTCATCGTTGTTTTGACTCTTGTAGGTGGAATTGTCGTTGCTTGGATCATTTATAGACGTTCTCGCTCCAAATTAAATGTTAGTGACACTCTTCTTCTCCAACAAAATTAAAAATTATCTATAGCTCATATATTTTCTTAACTTTGTAATTGCTTTTTATTGTCTTTGACTAAGTGGTCTTAATATTCGATTTTATACAAAAACTATTAAAATTATTTAAATGAAATTTGATTTTGAAGGAGAAGATTTCATGTATTATGCTTAGAACTTTTCAAAAAGTCGATGACGCATGTATTATTGATCATACATATTGTGAATGTTTCTGTATTATTAATGTGTTTCGCTCATTTGTATCTTGTCATATATAGAGTTTAATAAGCAATTGCATATTGCACTATGCACAACATTAAGATAATGTATACAATAATTACATTCACAATTCATGAAATCAAAACAATATCTAATTTCTTTATTTTCGTGGAATAGAGTTTATAGAAGAATTTCATCTAGTTAATACAATATTAACATGCAAATGAATTTAGATATTTGAGGGATAGGTTTAGGGTTTTATATATAAAATAAGAAAAAAAAATATAAGACTAAAAAATTAGCAAGCACAATCATACCAGTGTGGAACATAAGGAGTATAAGTTACATGTTCGCCTTCGATATGTTTTTCAAGAGCTCTATCAACAGCAAATTCAATAACATTAATCTCTGAAGGTTGTTGAGAAGAAAGCTCAAGGAAAGGGATATTGAATTGGTCTGCAATAGCTTTACCTTGATCATATGTGATAACTTCATGTTCTTTGTCATCAACTTTCATTCCTATTAAAATTTTGATGATTTCTGGTCCACATCTTTCATCAGCAGTGTGAATCCATTCAGGAATAGCATCAAAGCTTTCTTTATTAGTCTTATCATAAATAATAAATGTAATATGTGTTCCACGAAAATAAATCTTTCCTAGTGATTTAAACCTTTCTTGTTCATATGTATCCCACATTAAAACATTTATCTTCAAGCCGTTCCGTTCAACAACTTTGGATGGCGTGTAATAATCACTTGAAAAATGAATATCAGCTTGATATGAATCATCTTTTAGTGATTTCATGAGTGATGTCTTTCCTACACCGTATTCTCCAATAAAGATCGCTCGCATTCTTGAGTGATCATTGATGATTTGCTTTTCAGAACTCATAATGATTTTTTGAGGAAATCTTTAAAAATTAAGAGCACTCAGTCAATTCTTTTCTGAGCATAACCGTGAGATCAAAATTTTGTCACTTTTAAAAAATACCGAAAAACACAATATTTTGCTTCATAAGGCTGTTATTTAGTTTTATCACATCATGCTAAAGATAAAACGAGCGTAATTTGTTATATTTATGATTCTTTCAGTCTTTTATTTTATGTCACTTTTCGAGAACGGAAACTTTGACACTTTTCATTTCACATTACCTATGTTTTTCAGATTTAAGCTTGAAAAGGCTAAGAACAAGAAAACACTCGGATCAGCAATGATTTCAAAACTTAGAGAAGCAGCATCCGCAACAATGCCGTTGTTTCCTGAAATAGAAAACGATTATCTTCCAAAGAAGGCACCAGTTACAGTTTTTGGTCTTCAAGATCATGCAAAATTATACTTTGTCGGAAATTATCCGGCGGTAGTTGAGCTCGGCCATGGCGAAGTTTTCCCTCATCTTCGTATCGCAATGGAAAACATGGGCTTGCTTAGAACAATCGTTGTTGATGAACCAACTGCTAGAGCTGTTATGCGTGGTGCTGATTTGATGGCTCCTGGCGTAAATGGAATGGATGAAGATTTCCATGAAGGCGACATTGTTCAAATTGTATTGATGGGAGAAAGTATTCCATTTGCTATTTGCCAAATGCAAAGAGAAGGAGCAGATATATTGAAGAATCCAAAGGGAAAGGCTTGCAAGACACTCCACACCATGAAAGACGACTTATTTACTCTTAAGCTTGAATGAAATACCATTCAGCAACTGTTTTTACAAATAAATTCGAAATCTTAAAAAGGTTTTGATACGAAATTTTCCAAAATTCCTTTTTTAAAAGTAATTTCCAATTCTTATTTAGTTTTAATCTGTGATATGAATCTCCTTTTAACGTTTGCGCTCTTTATGTTGCTTTGAGATTTACAATCATCATATTATGTTCAAAGATCTGTGATGGTCAGTGATTGAATAGATTTATGTTATTACATGTTTAATCCCAGATGATTACTATATTTTGTACTTCAAAATAATTGAACAACAATAATTCAGAGAATTAAAGTTCAATGTAATCAGAGAAAACATTTGTTACACTTTATATATTTTTGGTATTATTTCAATGATACACAACTAAAATTTCGAAGAATGAATCATCCAACTGTGCTGGTTAGCAAATGTAGAATATACTTCGTTCATTAAGTTAATGATAAAAACAATATTTAACCGGTTTGACATTATAATTTATGAAAATGAGAAAATTTCAATTAATTTTAATATGAAATAGAATAGAATATAATAAGTTTAGGATGAAAAATGCATAACAAGTTAGTTATACTTCGGCATTGGAAGAGATGATGTTTCAGTTAGAGCTTGTGGGCGTCGTTCAAATTTCTTTTGTTTGACGACTTTTTTAACGGGTTGGAATGAAATATAGCCGAAAATTAAGCCAATGACCATTCCAGCAATGGCGTCATCAATGTGGTTTCTGCGATCCCAGATGCAAGCTGCGGAAACGAAAATTCCGAAGACAAGTGGTAGGAGCATCAAGAGGGTAGAAAAGTTATTTGCGTATCCCATAAATAATCCTAAGTATAAGCATAAGAAAATTGCAGATGCCATAGCTTCTGCAGATTCTGATGAAGGGAAGGAAGAGAACTGGTATGTGAGTTGTGATTTGCTAAGATATGCACTGCAAGCAAGGAAAGAGCCATCACCACCACATAATGCAATTGTGTCTGGTCTTGGTCTTCTAATGATCTTAGCAACAGCTGCACAAGCAAGCATTGATGCAGAAATACCAAATACGTATGATGCTGTAACCTTGAAAACATTAACATCATAGAATGCGATTAACCAAATACAAGCAACAATAGCTAAGCCGATGCCAAATGTAATGATGTATGTCTGAGCGTAAGATAATGTTGAAGTGGATAATTGGTTGCTGATATCAGATGAAATCATTGGAGTAAAGTCCGAATTGAATGGAATAAATCTAATGATAAGTGCTGCAACGAGGACAATAATGCTTACTAGCCAGTCAACAATGCCGTACTTAGAAAGAATACCTACAATATCTGCTAAATACATTTTTGAAAGTTTTTTTATCGTCTAATGATTTGACACGACGATTATTTTGGTAACTGCAGATCTGTAATAAGGTCTGAAATTGTATTATCATAATTATTTCATGACATGCAATCAATTTTTCCTTAGACATTGTCATTATCCCCAAATTTAAATTCCAAATTTCATGAATAACAAAGAAACTCTAATTCATACTATTGCAGCATTTTCTATATCAATAATTTAAAATGATTTTCATGCTATTAATGACGGAATATATATTTTTACTTTTTTCATTTTGATTGAGCAAAGAGTTGCAGTAAATTTTGGTGATAATTTTGATAAATATTAGATGATGCTAAGTCATTACACGAACGATGATGACCATTAATGCTTTTTCGCGATTCCTCAATTGAACATCTATCGTCAAAAATTTTCAATAGGAGTCCGCGCCTGTAATTTTTATTAATTTAAGTTATCTTTATTTGAACAGTACTCTAAATATTTAACCGATTTTTAACTGTAACCAATTGAGACACATTAAAATTTTACATTCAATTTTCTGACAATACTTTTTATGTCTGAAGAGGTCGCTCAAATAAGTAGAGATTCTTCAGAAAATATGGGTGATAGCTTAGACAACAAGGATATTATTGAAGTTGATAGTGGTAAAGATGATGAACACAAGAGATTAGGTGGATATCCACCTTTGCAAACAGTTGTTCGCCTTTGTCCTGGTCCGATCATATCTCAATTTGTCAATTCATTGTATGGCGTTGTAGATTCAATATGGGTTTCGAAATTTATCGGTGAACTTGGTTTGACTGCATTATCATTAGCATATATTATTGATAATTCTGCATTATCATTTGGATTTTTCTTAGCTACAGCTGCATCCTCACAGATATCTTATCTTTTTTCGAGAAAATTATATGAAGAAATCTCGCATTTGTCAATAGATCTGTTTCGCATAGCAGTTATTTTCGCATTAATAGTTCCTGCCATATTACTTCCATGTTCGACACCTCTTTTTAAATTTTTAGGTGGAGAAGGAAAAGTAAATAAATTAGCACTTCAATATGTCATTCCGTTGTGCGCTTTAAACCTATTTACATGCATGTACCATACAGTGTGTGGCATTCTACAGGCAGAAGGAAGAACTTGGGCCTATGCTGGCGCTCAAATTTTGTCTATGATTCTTAACATGGTTTTATTCGATCCATTACTATTGTATTTAATCAAGAATACATCTGGCTCATCACTTGCTACGGAACTTTCCATGTTTATCCCTGCATTAATTATTTTTATTTTATTATGGCTTGGAAAGTTCTCAACGAAGCCACAAGCCAAATATATTACCAAATGTTTCTCACCAGAAGCCGGAGAAGCTTTGAAAACAGGCTTATCTGCCTTCATTATGAATATATCAATTGGATTACCATCATTAATCATGCAAAAGTTCATTGCAATACGCGCGAACAGGGTTGGCCATTACGATATGGTTGTCGCCGTTTACAATGCGCTTTGCAGGATCTATAATGTATCAATGTGTGTTCCAATTGCACTAAACGCTGCATATTTACCCGCAGCATCATATGCATTTGGATTAAAGGACTACAAAAGAATCCTTTTACTTACATTTCATGTTGTTTGGATCTCTGTTGTCTGGGGATTATTTGTTTCATTTGTTGTTATAACATTTCCGAAACAAGTCTGCACTATATGGAGTAGAAATGATGATTTCTTGTATTGGTGCAAAGAAATTGTCCCTGTCAGTTTCTATTGCACAGGAATTACAGGAATTAAATTCATTGTTATTTCATTTCTTCAAGCATCACAACAGACAATCACAGCAACAATTATGAGTTTTATTACAGAGCTTGGTGTTCTTCCTATTGTTGCATCAATCTTCCATTATAATGGAGATCCAAACTCTCCGAGATGGATTTTCTATGCATATCCTGTGAGTGACGCAATTACAACTGTTTGTTCTATTTCTGTTGCAATGAAAACTCTTATTAAGTTCTACAAATTATCAAAGGAACAAGATCCAGAAAAGAAAGATTCTACAAGTAGCAAATCAAGTAGTGAAGAAGACCAACCATCAAAGATAATTCCTGAATTGTAATTTATTTATTTTTGTTTTCTTTTCTATATTATAAAGTTTTTTGTTATATATTACATCAATTTCTTTCTGAAGGCTTCTAATGGATAAATACTATTTAGATTAGAGATGTTTGATATGAGATGTATCTCATGATAGTATTCTTATTTATTTGTTTGAACTTACACACCAAAATTGATAATTTTTTGCAAATTTTCTGTTTTTTGTAGATCTAGTATAATAGTATGATTTCATGTAGCATAATATATAAAGAATATTAGATTTTGCGAAGAGAATTCTGTTTATTTTAGTTGAAAATCTCATTTAATGCTAAACTAATTGATATTGAAGTTCTCTTTATCATGTTTTGATATGATCATAGAAATATGTGTAAGTGGTCTTGACGTTTTGTATGAAACATGAAAATGATGGAAATTTAGGAAAATGAATTTATAAGAACCGCATCAATTATCAGATTCTAGCGAATGACCAAGTTATGGTTGCATTTCAAATATTTTTGTAGCTTCGTTTCGTTCTAAACATCCTGCATTCAAAGTGAAATTCAATGGGACCGTCAAAAAAAATTATAAATTCAAAATGACTATGAAACAGACGATCTATGAATCTATGCTTCTTGGGTCCAATGTCAGAGCAATTGCATACATGGATGTACTTCCATCTGTTGAATGGATTCAAAAGAGAATGCAAGTTATTGAAAATTCGTATCCGGTTATCAAGTACAAAGTAGAAAACGGAGAAATAACAAGAAAAGGAGAATACGAAATCCATAATGCAAAGGATGATGGCAATAGCATTGAAGAATTCGTTTCAAATTGTCTCACAAATATGACTCCAAAGTCAAACTTTGAAATATTCTTAGTACAACATGGAAATTCCAAATCTGGTGCTATTATGGCATCCTGCAATCATGCATTTACAGATGGTCGCCACATGTTGAACTTTATGGCTGATTTTCTTTCCGAACAAACAGAATTTCCAGTCATTCCGCATCCAAATATACCAGAACTGATCAAAGATGTTGTCAGATCACAACAAACTCTTGATTTCTCAAAGCAAATTTCTGTTCCAAACAATCCATCGCCGAAGAACATTCCTCCGAAGTATGCCGCTAAATGTACATCGTTTGACATTCAAAATGTCTTAAAAGTTTGCAAATCTCTTGGAATTAAGCTTCAAGCTTTCTTTTCTGTTTCAGATATTTACGCAATCGCGAAAACATTAAAGGCAAAAGATCCATTTGAGATTGGAAACCAAGTTTCTGCAAATGTTAACTCATATTTAGGAATTCCAGAAAATTCTCCAATTTTGGCAAGCTCTTTGATCTATACTCTATCAAAGATCGATAGATCTACAAAAGCAGGAGCTTTAATGAAGGAAATCCAAACAAAAATCGATAATAACATGTCCAAAAACGTATTAAACCATTTTGCATGCCTAACAGATGGAAAATTCAATGTTTTGAACCCATTATCATTGATATCTAATGTCGGAATGCGTAAAACTCCTTATAATATTCGGGTTCACGGTGGAATGTTCGAAGTTCCAGCAGTTATGAGTAATCTCAGAAGATTTACATCTCATGTTGTTACAACAAACAATATAGGTCATATTACTCAGACTTATTTAGTTCCTGGATGCGAAGATGAGTTCATCAACACACTTAATAGTCATTTAATGGACATGCTTAACAACCCAGAAGATGCAATAGAACGTAGCATCCTTTAAAGCAGTTCTTCTTTCTTAAATTCTTTTTAAAAGTTATTTTTTATTTTTAATTCTTTTTCTTTGGCATTGGTTTCTAATCAACATCTACTAAATTTATTCAAATTTAAATTATTCATATAAAATATCGGAGCTTACAAGTAAAATTTGTGGAAAAATCTTGAAATAATGTTGATTCTTTAAAACAATAGCAAGATAAACACCTCTATAGAATGACCATGAAATGCATCAGTGATATCTTTGGATTTATCCAAGGGAAGAGAAGTTCCAAAAAAAGTATTTTAAAAAGTGACAAAAATGGAGGAAAGTGATGCAAATACTCCTACCACATTTTTAGATAATTTAGCTAAATCTGTACATGGTGTAAAGAAAATTTATATCTCAGATTCCCATGGTGCCATATTAGCTGAATCTTCAGCTCCAAAAAATGAAAAAGAAGAAAAAATAGTTCGTTCTTTTCCAACATATAACGACCGTCTCGGAAAATTATCATATGGAAATAACAAGTCGATCATAGTTGAATGCAATGATACTTCTTATGTGATGTGCGAAACAGAATCCTTCTTTATTACTTTTGTTTGCTCGAAAGATGCAAACTTTTCCCTTCTTAGCGAATTTCCAAACGATATGAGTGGTTTCTTAACTCAATTACGATCTTATGTTGATCAAATGTAAACAAAAATACTGTATCTATTAGAAAATTACTATTACTCTTTTTAGACACATATTTCAATGATCTAGACTAGGATTTATTACACTTTATGTATTGAATGAAATGTATGAAAAATGAAAGCAAGTTCTGAATAACTCTGTTCTGGATTATTATTTAAAATACTAAATAACATCCAAATTAACAATATGTACATTCTTGTTATTTGAGGTATTTATCCATTGAAAAATAATCTCTATTCCAGCTTAATATCTTTGCAGATCTTAATAAATTTCGATATTCTTTCTGTACAAAAGCATTATGATCTCTATTCAAAGAATATCAAAGAAACTGAAAAAAAATCAAGAATGAAGTATAAAAAGTATTAAATATATTGCCATCCCGATTCTATATATGTGAAAATATTTATTAAAATGTAAAGGTTTGGCATTGTAGAGAAAAAAAAAGATGGAGGAGATATCAACATTCCAATGTAGGCCAAATAAATTTTACTGATCGACAACCTTTGTAGTCTGGAGGCCATTGAAGGAGGCAACATTCTTGAAGGAGGCGATGGTGATCATCTTCTCGGCATCTTCCTCATCAGCCTTGCGCTCGAATGTAACACGGACGCGTGTTGGTGGGCAGTTCTTGCCGTGGATCCAGATGCGGGAGTTAAGCTCTGGGTCGATCTTAACAACTTCTGTGTGCATCATCTTCTTGGCGGTAGCAGCGATAACCTTGATGGCTCTCTCAGCACGGAATCTGCGTGTTGTTCCGTGGACAGCCTTCTGGAGGTGGATTGTTGTTTCAATCTTAGCTGGAGCGAGTTCCTTCGGCATTAGAATTCAAAGGCCGACCAAATCCACAGAATTTTTTTTCTATCGTCCGTAAAATTTTGATTACGTTTTTTGTTGATTTTCAGTTTCATATTGCTTTGTATATCTCTGTAGATGATAAAATGTAAGTTATTTTTGAGATAACACAACTTTCTAAAAATTCTCACATATTTTTTTGAGCAAATTCATGCCATCGACTCAGTATCAATTTTTATGGTTGGGTTATGTATGTACTTGCAATATATGTAGTATTTATTGGATGATAGGTTATGTTTCAAATCAATTAAGCGTTTTATCAACACATATGTAAAGAAAAGCGAACACTTTAATACACAATCGAATAGTATAGTAGATTTATCCAAATTTTCATTTGTATATTTGCTTTTTTTCTATTAAAATTGAATTTTATGATATTGATGGTATTTAATTACGAAATAATAATATATTCGAAATGGATACTATCGTGCTAATTGAATTACGTCTGTTTATTAATTCAGGTTTAGTAATTTGTTCGAAGAGTATGGGATTGAATGATATTTTTTAGATTTGCCTGCATTTTGATATTAAATAAGTGTGAGATTTATTTAATCTCGATATGGGTAGCAAAGTTAATCATTTTGTCAATAATGTTGGAGTATTTCCCCAGATAGTTGCAGTCTGCTTTTGTAGACATGTGAATATAGGACTATTGGATAGGGAATTACAGATTAATCAGTAACGCAGTTAAAATCACAATCAATTAAAAATTATCGTATATTTTTGATGTCAAAATAGAGAAATGAGAAGAAGATAGCAGGACAATTGAATTGAGGACATGAGAATTTGATCATTAATATGGTGTAAAACGATGTTAACTTTACAAAATATAATTTGAATGTCTAACGATAATATCGGTTCGAAGTTTTGAAATGTACTGTATCATAAAGAGCATATTTTTAGTGAATTTGATTCTGTAGCTGATATGAAGCATAACGATAATTTACTTTTCATCATTTATTTTTTACTCAATTAAGGTGCGTTTAAATCTAATTTATAATTAGTTGTGCATTAATATTATCAACCTTTTTTTGAGTTACGTTATTTTCAATAAATGAGATTTCATTGTTGCCACAAAAATTCTAAGAAACTATTGAACGTAGTCAAAATTCTGTACTCAAAACAAGTTTTTGATTAAATTGTCATGCATGCTTATATCATATACAATTCTATTTTATAAACTTTACCATTGATAAATTATTTTTTGAGAGCAAGTTATTTCAAGCAAATTTATCAATGGCCGAACTAGCTGTTTCATTCTTTAAAACTCTTTTAGAAGCAAAGGATGTATCTGAGATAGGAGATACAATACCCATTCCTCGCTTCAGTGAAACTCATCTTCTTCAAATTATTCAACAAGCAAGAAAAACTCTCTCCTTAGGTTCCCAGTTGTACATTTTAATGGTCCGTGTATTATAGTAGGCGATTTACACGGTAATCTCCATGATTTAATTCGAATTTTTATCTTATTTGGACTTCCTCCCAACACAAAATACGTCTTTTTGGGAGATTATGTAGATCGAGGCGAGTACTCCCTTGAAGTAGTTACATTACTCTTTGCATTATATATAATGGACCCATATTCAATTGTCTTATTAAGAGGAAACCACGAATTTAGGAATGTAAATTGCAATTACGGATTCAAAAAGCAAATATTAGATGAATATGAATCAGAAAATTTATGGGAAGCCTTTAACAACGCTTTCGAATATCTACCAATTCTTTGCACTATAAACACTCGCATTATATGTCTTCACGGCGGAATTAGTGAGAAATGTATGGATTCTGAAGTATACTTTAGCCTCAAGAATGGCTTCAAGTTCACTCCAAAGGCTGAATCAATGATTGAAGACATTGTTTGGTCCGATCCATCCAATGTTATAACTACGTACGGTTCCAACCAACGTGGTAGAGGTGTTGTTTTTGGTCAAGTGGCCATATCTGCTTTCCTCAAACAGTATGATTATGACAAAATGATTCGTGGCCATGAAGCAGTTGATGGCATTGCAAAGCATTTCAGTGGTCAACTCATTACAGTCTTTTCTACCTCAGGATATTCAGCATACCATGGTGGCGTAGCTTTTGTTGCAGAAGATCTCGAAATTCAAACAAAGAAGCTTCATCTTACTCACTACAACAGGAAAGAAGAAAGCGCTTTCTATGATGTAGTTGTTCCTACAAACAACCCTGAAGAGAAACACGCATCCCTGAAATCTGTTTGCACGAACAGTTCATCACCTCACTTCAAGCACTTGCCAACAAATAACAATGCCGGAGTTAAACCACTCCGCATTGTTAGAAGCTCAGGAAGTCTTTTAGCGTTGAGAAAAACTCTCGCTATTGTCAAACCAAAAATTTAATTGATATTATTGGCATATATATTCTTTGTAAGTTATATTAACTCCAATCATATCAAGTTCTAAGAGAATAATTTTATATCTTCAAAATATGATGGGCGCATTCGATGAATACCAAATGGAATCGTAATGATTTTCATGGAAATAATATCGATCAGCACTAATATTTTGAAGATTTTTTGAAATTTTCTCAGTAGTAGGATAGGATGGGTTGTGTGACTTTTTTTGTAAACGTAAGAATTCATACAATATTGAACGATTTTGTATCATTTAAAATTAACATTATTTTTAAAATAATTTATTTTTTATTCTTACATAAATGACCCAACAAGTAAAACCAGATAAAATAGATTATCGAATTTTAGAGGATGGTGTTCCTGTTTATATTCAAAGATTTAAAGGGAAGCAATATTATAGAATTCTTAATCCTGAATACATAAAACATTTATTTAAAAAGGAAGACTGTGAATTATTAAACGCTAATGAATATGAAAATGCTAAATCAAAACTGAGATATAAATATATTGGAAGTGATGAAAGGTGTAGAGATAAAAATAAAGTTTATTCAGTTTCATATAATGAATGGCACACGTTAGGGATAAGAAAACATTTAGGAGATTATGGGAAATGTTCTGAATTCTTTAAATCTAGTATATACGAGAGAGTAAAAGAAATTAGAAATAATTATTTTCATGAATAAAAAAGAAACTTTAAATATTTTCTTCTGACATTTTTGAATAATTTATTTTTTTAATTCGTAAGAATTCTCACATAATTGAATGATTTTTGAACATACTTCCGAATAGCAGATTTTAAAAATTTATGAATAATTTATAAAAAGTTTTTATCTGATAGAAATAATACCTACAAATGATGGTATATAAAAAATTGACTTCTTACGTAAAATTAAAACTAAGTTAAATTTATTTTTTTATTTTTTATTTAATGATAAATGAGTATAACAACTAATTCATTGAAATCTTTAAAGTTCACTAATTCAGAATTAGAAAATATTTTAGAAAATTTTGGAGACGGTTCTTATCCAACATATATGCAGAATGTGAAAGAGTTTTCCAGATTGTTGAATGAATTTAAATATAACGGACCAATTACTAAAAAGGCTATAATGAGATATTTATATCCCAAAAAAGTTGAAAAACAGGAGAATATTCCTCTTTATGGTCCAGAGGACCTGGGCTCAGAGAGCCTTGAAACACCCCCTGAATATTTTGAAGAAAAAATTAAACAAGATGAATATTATAACGATGAGATTGAGAAATTGGAACAATTAAGAAATGAAATAGATGAAAAAATTAAGGAATTGAGAAATGCTGAGAATGAAGTAGAGGGTTTAATGAATATCCCAGCTTCAGAATCAGAAGTTCAAAAATCACATGAGGAAAGATATAAAAATTACTTTTTGGAATCTACTAAAAATTTATTAGATGGTGATATTGACGAAACACTTTCAGAAGAAGGCACAAAATTTATTCATAAACATAAGTTACAATTTATTGACGATGGAGATTATCCATGTATATTACTTTCACCTCCTCTTGATTCTGAAAAATTCAAAAAAGCACTGAAAAATGTAACATATGCAACAAATACGATTAAGAAAGAAGACCATGATATTTACACAAATTATTATTTAAATAAATGTACAGGTGTTGATAAAGTTTTTGATTTGTTAGATAAAATATCAAAAGAAACAATTGGAACCTATAAAATTTTATGTGATTGTGGTTTCATTATTGAAGATACCAATAATGTTTCATATGAAAGAACAGCACCGAAGGAAGACGAAGTTGAAAGGTCTATACCATTCGTTATTAAGAATATAAAAGATATGAAAACGTATAAGCATTATATTTATTCATTTATTTCAGAAAAAATGGAAGCAACCCATAAAACATCATCTCATCATTTTATAGCTATTCATACATTCCTTTTCAAAGTTGTGAAATTAAATAAGACAGGAATTAGATTTAATGTATCAGGGTACGCATTCTTGAGTAAATTAAAATGTATTCGTCACGTCGCAGATGATAAAAATTTATGTGTTCTTAATTCATTTTATGGACTTTAGCCCTGGACTTTAAAAAATAAACTTTATTTTTATTTATTTTTTAATTTTTATTCTTACATAAATGAACAAAAATGGAACCGCTAAAATGAATGATAATCAAATAAGAGCCGAAGGTAGAAGGTTATTTAAACGCTTCTATAACATTCCTGATGGTGTTAATCCTAAAACTCGTAGAAGTTATTTAAATGAAGCAATAGATTCATATGAAGGGTTTGACATTTCATCAGAAAGTGAGAGATTAGCGAGAATGTTAAATGTTAATATTGATTTCTATTATTGTGATCCTCAACCAGAAGACGTGGACATAAATAAGGTAGACTTTCCATTAGTGGAATCAATAATGATAGATCCAGAATTTGAAACAGTAAATATTTTATTAACACAGAGTCCATGTGGAAAACTTCACGCTGACAGAATAACAGACGTTGAAGCACTCACCGGCTATAGAGTTTGTCCATATTGTAAAGAAGAAGTTTATTCTATCCGTGATGATCCAGAAAGGAAAAACCAAAGAAGATTTTTAAAGCATTGTGAGAAATGTAAAGAAAATAATGGGAGATTAATTCAAGACGTTCAGTTGCAAAAGATCCAGCAACCATATGCACCACATATTACGAAACAGAAGATATATCAGTGGTTATTAGCTCATAATTTGCAGGAATATTATAAACCGACAAGATATTATATTACTTTTGACTTCGAAACATTAGAGACTAAAGAAGAATTACAACTTTCTGAGTGTGCAACTTTAAACGCTTACTTAAAACCATTCATGGTATCATCAACGGTTAAATTAAACGATAAAACATATACGAGGAATTTTTGCTTAACTTCGAGTGATTCTTTTATTTCTGATTGGATTGAGTTTTTATTTTCAACCTGTTCATTAGTTGCTAAATCAAATATTGAACAATATGAAGAATTAATGAAGTCGCAAACATTAAATGAAAAACAGAAGGAAGCATTTAAAGAACTTCTAGATGAGGAATTCAATAAAGTGAATATCATAGGTTTTAATTCGGGAAAGTTTGATTTAAATTTAATTCTTCGTGATTTAAACACTGCAAAATGGAAAATAAAATCAATGCTGGGTTCTTCTTCTCAATTTAAGCAAGTCATTGTAAAGAAAACAAACGCTCCATATGAATTGAGATTTATTGACATCAGAAATTATATAGCGGGTGGGACATTAGACCAATTCACTCAAGATTTCGGAAACAATAAATCACGTGTTAAATCCTTTTTCCCTTATCAATTCATCACATGGGAAAATTACGAAGAAGAATTATATAAAGAGGAACCATTCACTCAAGATTCATTTTATTCAGCATTAACACAAGAAACAATATCCGATTCAGATTATCAAATATATCTCAATGATGCTAAAAATTTTAAGAATAGATTAGAATATTTTATTCATTATTGCAATAAAGATGTTGAAATTATGATTGACCCAATTGATAAAATTATTGAAGAAACATTTGTTTATAAAATTGACATGCTTCATAATCTTTCTTTATCATCGAATGCTTCAATGATTCGTTACGCTTTAGCATATAAAGACTTTAATCCTAATGAAAACTATCTTGAGGAAGAGATAGAATCAAGTTTTGAATTAACGAAAAAGTATTGGAAATATAAAATTGAATCATATAAGAAACAAGATGAAAAAGCAGAAAGGGATAGTAAAAATAATGTTTCAATGGATGATTTTCAATACTATCACGATTTAATCCTTTCATCTAAATGCAAAATGTGTGGTAAAGCGTTTACATATGCAAATAAACCAACATTAGATAGAATCGATAATGAAAAACCACATACTAAAGAAAATTGTCAGTTAATGTGTTGTTATTGCAATGTCGTAAAATCAAATAAAGATGAAGATGTTCAACGTTTAAGAATCAATTTAAGAAATTATGCATTAAAAAATAATTTACCAATGACTTTAGATTCAGTTGAAGCTTATCACATTCTCCGTAATGGAATTACTGGTGGTCTATCAAATGTTCAACATCGTGTTAATCTTAAAGGAATCACGCACATTAATAAACTTTCATATAATCCAGAAACTAAAACTGTATCAAATGAGGACACCACCAACATTATGACTCATTTCGTTGGAGTTGACTTTAATTCATTATATCCTTCATCATTTTCATCTAATCCTCATGATTTCATTCAATATACTGACCATAAAATGTATATGCCGGGAAGATTGAATGGTGTTATCATTTGTGATACAGCAACAAAGAAAGCAAAAGCATTGGGAATAATTAAGAAGAAAAATACTTTATTCGTGGCTGAAGTAAAGGGTCACATTGATGAAAAATACATTAATGATTACATAAACTTTTTACCGATAATAAGAAACTTAGATATTATCACAGATGAAAAAACAATTGGCAGTTTTATGTATAATTACATGAAATCAAACAATCTACCGGTTGACCAGAAACAGAGAAAATTAACTCAGTTAGCATCAACACACAACCAATATCAACCATTTTCTTCTTATTATCTTTGGTATCTAATAGACAGATTTCATTTTATCATTGATGACATTCAATCAATTTTAACATTTACTAAAAACATTTGTTTTAATGAATTTGCGAACAAATTTATGAACGAAAGACAAAAGGCTGAATTAGAAGGAAATAAAGGAAAAAGTTTATTTTGCAAGATTTCACTTAATGGATCATATGGTTACGATGCAATGAATACACAAAATTACGCAAAGACTAAAATAATGAATGCACAGAAGTCACGCGTTGCATGTATGTCAAATAAGTTTAAAAACATAAGAGAAATAGGTGAGGATACATATCAAGTGATGCTCAAAGATAGATTTTATAGATGTGAAACATGTTTACAAGAGGCATTCTTCACTTTAGATAATGCTAAATACTGGTAT